TTGAATCGATCGAATATATTCATAACGTAGCGATGTCGGGGGAGACGATGTAGGAAGCGATGTACAGTATAGACGAGGCAGCGGCACTTAGACGCGACGCGTCTGCAATTCAGGGGCTCAGTTCCCTTATCCGGGGGCGATCTTCTCTCGGGCCGAGGCCAAATTCAAACTCAGTTGGCTCCCTGCCAGGGAGTCGACGAAATCTCCCAGTCTCCCAGATGCGAAGGCCCCCATGGCCTGTTGCCTCTTTAGGCACGCGTCTCGGGAGACTGGTCACGAGTCTATGAGAGATGTCGATGAGGGTTTGCAACGGGCAATAGCGAGCTGATGAAAACCTGAGCACGTTTTTGCGTGGGAACATGTTGGTTTCGTGAAACATTATCGCGGATAAACGTTTAAACGTTAAGACATCGATGCGGACAGATACAAATCACGCGCACACTTGCGTGGATGTCCGTGGCGCAGTATACTTGCATCTACATTTTATGCCACGCTCGCTAAGTTGTAGGTACGCCACTTCTAGCTAATAGTAATGCGCTTCTTCACCCGCGTTGCCTGCACCACTCTACAAACCCCCTCCCAGTACTCGTCCGCCTGCTCCGGCCACCACCCTCTGTTCCGCTGAACAATGGCCGACAGGTGAGGAAAGAAGCGGAAAAGAAGTGCCCCCATCGCGTCCGTACTAGGAAGAATCTCAAACTCCTCTTCGTTCCAGGAGAGCCACAGCTTTTCTACATTGCCAAAAGTAGGAATCTCCGACTCCAGCGTGTCTAGAAGCGACATCTGCGCACTGCCGATTTCGATATGCACACCGATTATGCGTATCTGAGGAAGTCGGCGTGTGAGCTCGATAAGATCAGAGAAAGATGAGGGAAGATCGGGTCGACGCGAAGAACTTCCAATCTCGGCCAACTGGCGACTAGCTCTATCAGTTGATCGCTATGAAGCCGCACAGAATCGTCATAGTATCGGAGCTCCATTGATCGGAGGTTGCGGAAAGAAGTCAGATGGCGGAGAGCGTCGAATGGAGGGATAGTACCAGACTCGATAGAGACGTCCTCCACGGAGAAGTTGGAAATGGAGACTTCGGCGAGACTATCAGAACAGAGGCGCTCAACAGCTCTGGCGAATGAGTGGATGGAGGACCTGCTAAGTGGTCCGCAGACTATACGTCGAACACTTGCCCGGCGATGGGAGGGGGACGGAGGAGGACCTAGAAGGCGTTCTAAAGCAAGAACGTTCGCATCACCGCTGTCCGCGTCAAGGGTCAAAGTGTCAAGATCGTCAAAGGGGACGATGCTGTCCGAAGAGAGCCAATGAGACGTCCGCGTGGTGTAAACACCGAGTGAATGAAGAGAGGGAAGGTTTCTAAGATGATGAAGCATGTAGACATCGACAGGCCCGCACTTCACCGAGCGCAGGTTTGACCAGGCGCAGATAGACTGAGACATTGCCAACGATGGCTCAGAGTTTGGTGGAGGCGTTTCAAACTCGATGGTTTCGATTAGAGGACACTGTGTGGCCAAGCTTGGGGCATAATTCAGAAGAAGTTCACTCTTGAGCGTCGCGTTACTGATGACAATGTTCCGCACGCTGGGTCCCAGGAAGATGGATGCCATCAAGCGAAAACGATTCGCGTCCATACTCCACAACTCCAATGACGTCAGCTTGGGGAACAAGACTGGGATAGGGCAAAAGCAGAGCGACTCGTAGACCAGGTCTGTGAGACTCAAGGGAGGAATGCCAGGCTCGTAACTCCATGTCTCTTTAATGCTGATTACCCGGCGAGCGTATGATCGCAGAACTTCCCAATCTCTGGATGACATTCGACGCGTGAAAGTCTAACGCGTAACGAGGTTCAAGAAATGGGACGACGGTGAGAAACCTTTTACGTACTAGCTGACTCTGGCGGTTTCCCCTCTCCTCTATGGTCCATATGTCTAAGGGCAAACACCTAAGAAACTGAGTAAAGGGATGGATGTGCGCGTAGAGCGCGTCGAGGGCGGGGTCTTTGAACACTGTGCACACTCTGGCCAATGCAGCAAGCGTAGGTTTGTGGTCGATGCAGCTGATGATTAGTGCTTGAAGTTCTGCTATACCCAAACACGTATCCATAGCAAAAGACGATGAGATGAAGCCTGGTTGGTGGTGATGGAAAGGTCAATTGTGAGATCTAGTGACTCAGAGACGCGACGCGGTGGAACGACATGTGGCTGTGCTCCATTACGTAGCCCATCGGTTTTCACCGGACCGCTCGAGCTTGCTGTTTCTTGCTGTGCAATTCAATCAAAACTCCGCCTAGTTGCTCTTTCGTGGCGTCCCCGTTCTTTATTTTCTTGTCCTCCCTGCACGCGTACAGAGCATCTATTCCATCGAATTGAGTGGATACTAGGAAACTTGGGTATGCTCTCTCCGACCGGCATAGTCTAATGCAGCTGACACTGGGCACAGGTCCCCTGAACCATGCCCGACGAGCAACCAGCAAAACCGCTGCCTTTCCAAGACATGCACAACGAGGCTCTGTATCAGCAATACCTGAAGTACTGGGAAGGTCTGTGTCTTACGGCTAATCAGCTACAACCCCACCTCTTCCTCGGTCCACCTTTCGAAGTCGCGCACGTCCCCGCCTTTAGTCAATACCTCAAAGGCTACCTTCACCCAGTCCTTCCCCTCGACCAATCCGATTTCATCGAAGCAGATTGTACTGCTGTGTGGTGCATTGAATCCACCGTGGCCGGTATCGCTCCTCCTGTCGTCCAATCTGATCAGTACCTCATGCTCGGCGTGAAGAAAGAGGCCGCCGTTTTCTCCACGTTTGATAATGATATGCCAGCTCCCGCTCCCGCTGTGCTATCCGGTGTGCGCACGCTCGATGCTGCTCATCGGGGTGCCAGTGAAGATTGCCCTACAGTACAGATTCCTGTACGCGACAACCACCTCGCCATGCTGACCCTCGCGTGGTCTTATATTCTTTCCGCCCATTGGTCGGAGACTCAGGGCGGATCTATTCTATTCGCGTCAGCTGCGCCAATCGGTTTAGCAACGAGCGTCGAATTGAGGGGGAGGGATCACCATCGCGTCCGCACTCACGACCCAGAGGCAGCAGTCTGGTGGTCCCACGTCTTAGCCCCGAAAGCAGGCTGGGTGGCTAGCATCCAACGCTTCGATACCACCTTCCACTCGCCCTGGTCCATTCGACCAAGGGGTACGGCTCCATCGTTCTACATCGAGGTACCTACACCCCTCCACGGGTTGCCGGTTGCTCCTGACTCGGCTAGAGCATACTCGTACTTGGAAAGCTACGTTTCAACTTACGGCCTGGAAGAACAGGCTGAAATGGCTCTGCTCGCTGCACTTCTCGTTCCTTCTCACCTGAGGCGTAACTGCCCGTACAGACTTCCCTACCCGTGCCACACGGCGGACACGATGCAGCACCTGAGGTCCGGAGAAGGCCGTACAACCAGAGCTCTTTCATCCGTTCCGCGGCTGATGACAATAAGTGCAACAGACCCCTTTCTTATCTTGCGCAACGCCCTTTACAACCCCGAAGTCAGCTGCACTTCGGTTGAGGAGTGGGCTATGGCTGCATCACGAAGGTGGCCCGATTCGTCTGGTGCGGGGACTGTGATAGGTTGCCTGCGGTCGCCGCAAGCGGCATGGTGGTGGATAGCTGCTGGCGTTACCGGTTTATCGCAACGGATAAGGCTCATCGCCGACGAACAGTGCTCCAACTTGGCACTTGCAGCGTGGACGGGGATACCCCAAGGCTACCTCACTTCCACGTTGTTTCGTGACGTTCGAGTCGGTCTCAAGCATGATATGGAAAACGGTAGACATGTCATCCTCAGGGAAGAAGAGATGCCTGTCCTCTTCATGTCGACATTACACGACGTTACAGGAAAGATCTTTGTGCCCCTTGAAGCTGATTGGAAGCCGGTTGGCTATTCTATCTTGTCCGCAAGTACAGATGTTGTCCAGCAGGTCACAAAGCACGGCGCCTCTCTGCGGCTTGCATTTCGCTGCTTGGTTTGGGAGGGATCCATCTCATGTTCCCCAAGAGTTCAGCAGGTGTTTGATGACGACATACCTCCCAGAGTCCCAACACATGTGGCCACCATCACAAACCGAATTGCTGTTAGACAGACGCTGCTGCATATGGCAGATTGGAGGGGATCAGACGCAGATAAGACGGGAGACTTTGACGTTGACGAATGGATTAAGCCATACACATACTTTTTATAAGTGTCTGGACTTGTGATTGGTGGCCTTGTCACGGCGTCTCGTACCCTATACCTGTGCACGACAACAAGACACGCCGCGCTACGCTCCGGCACTTTCTATCGAAGTTAGAAATATCAATAAGCTCGAGCTCGCACCGCTACAGCATAATTTATATTCAGTTTTAATCAACATTTATTCGAAAATCATAATTTTCCCGAGGGCTTAGCCGGGGACAAAAACGCACCATAGAAAATTGTACGTATCACCAGCAAAGTGTCGTTCTCCCACGTTCGGGATTTGTTCGGGATAAACGTCGCAGGCCAAGATCAAAAAGGAAACGCCCATATCAAAACGTCAAACAAAGGTCAACAAAAGCCTACCATAATTTTGAAGATACGAGTTACAATCATAGGAAACACGTTTGCAGATCGCGGGAAGCTGACTTATGTCCTTTCAGCCAGTGACCGATGTGAGAAAAGTGATCCACGAGACCTGAAGATGAAGCATAAAGACACCCCTCTACTACTCTCCGGCATCTGGTCGCCGACGGTGGTGTGCAGTGTGCAGTGAGGTTATGCGACTGTTTAAAGACAGCCAGCAATGCAACGCACATATGCTACAATACACGGTAGTTGAATATGGAAATATCGAGGCTATGTTCACATTCTGTGCGCATAATCAACAACAGCTCTTCTCCAGATGGAAAGCCATCATGCATCATTCTTGCCAAGATACCTCAAATTTACCGTTTAACATGAAGCCAGTCAGCGACATGGCCTCCCATAGGGCTATAGACGGGCTACTAGGCGGGGCAAGGCGATGGAGGTCATGTCGGAACGCGGTGTCGTAAAAGTAATACATAGTTTGAGAGCTTCCCGGCTGCTCTTAACGGTGAATACCCCTCATTAAGCTGAAAATTCACCCATCAAGTCATGAATATCTCGACAAAGAACGCGGTGGACATGATGGTACGCCAAGGGAGGCACTGGCACAGCTGAAAAACGACGTTTGAAACGGGGTAGTACCTATGCGGAACTCTACCTATTGAAATTGATATAACTGAACGGTTTGTCTAGGGGAGCACAAAAAGATACGACTAATTAATCAAAGGAAGGACCCTTCTGCATACAGTATGGTTTATGCCAAATTGAATCATATCTTCGCAACGCAACGAGTCGCTGTGCCGGATCGCTTTGACTGCCTTCAATTTAGTGCAGAGGATGAGATCAAAAATTTCAGGGGTACATGTTGGTGTGCGTTCGTAACAATTAACATATCTTCTGAGGTGCACATCAACGACCCGTGTTTCTCAGAAAGATCGACGATGTGATACTCACAGATCTAATTAGTTACAGGGACGCGAAGATTGTGTAAACATTCATGAAGGTCTTCTAATCCGAGCATCGATGTAGGCATGAGCAAACTCCGTCGTACTGTACAACGGAGTCCATGTCAAAAGATAATATACCGTCTTTAGCTCCATATTGTTTGGGTTCCTCTGCACTTTAACAGCGCTAACAATGATAACAATAAAAATGAATGAGTCGGATCGGAATGCCGTGTAGTGGAAGCGGTAGAACGTCTGGGAGTTATCCAATTTCTCAGAGCGTCGGGCACTACCTATCAAGCTGAACGATCCGACGATGTACGCGATGGTCATGATAGTGAGTGGACGAGGTGGAAACCTGATGCAATTCAGCGTTCAAATCAGCCCCGTATCTAAGCAGACTTTTGAATACATATCAACAGGACTGATCGTAACTTCCATGGGCCTGCAAATACATCGATAGGGTCCCAATAGCGCATGTTCCTATTTGATCACGTATAAAACCATTCAGAACTATTCTCACTTGAACAAGGGGTTAACAAAGGACTGGGTGATCTCGCTAACTCTGATTTCTGATCTGGAGTTTCTTACGTTCAGTACATGCTCAGATAAGCGTGCAGCACTCGGGTTGCAGATGTCTTCCGCGTCCAACGTTCAAATATTCGTCATGAAGAGTGAATGGAGCTGGTCGACGAGAAAAGGGGACTATGAACCAAATGGCGGCAAACGAAACGCGACCACCTATGCTGCTTAAGATACGATTAATAGGTGTTCGTTCATAAACTCATTTCGAAATTTCATGTCCAGATTGCGTCGGGGACCACCCACCGCCACCGTATTTCATTGTTTCTCAACGTGTAGTTATCCTGCCTTGTTTTCCTTCATTATTTGAGAAAGATGCAGGTTCTTCGTAAATGCAGAACACTGAACCTGTTGGGCTCTGCAAAGTAAATACTGCCAGTGGGATAATACACGTGGGAAATTTCCAGCCGACCGCACTGGGATTGTTCTCCATTGTGAAACAACGGGTTATTGGTACTACACAGAAGGGGATACTACATAGACACGGAGAAGAAAATACGGAAGCGAGGGCAGAAACACGCCTCAATCGCTATCAGAACTAGAATACGCCTCCGGGAAAGGGCAACCTCCGCGCCTATGTGTGGGGCACTCCCGGCAGACTTGGAGTCCGCCGGTACGCTTGAACAGGTAGACGAACCCACATGGCACCCACTCGTACTGAACCGGTCTCGTGTTAGGGACTCGGACGCGCTGCTTTCCTTTGCAAATGCCCTCTCGATGCTCGTTGCTTGCGAGATGGCAGTTTTCGCATATGCCGGTAACTCCGCTTCTGTACATGGTGAACGAGTGGTAGGCTGGATCACCAATAATAAAAGATCAAGTGAAAGCGCAGAAAGCGGGAAGTGCCAGGTAATCAGTGATTTTGAACTGGTTAGAGAGGGGAATCAATACGTACGCAGGTAATGGCTAGTATGATATATGTAGAGATGGGTATAGAGCTGATGCGTCTTAGATGGACAGGAAGATGTGTAGAGAGAACGAGACGAAGAAGGGAGGTTCTCAAAGCTGATATCGGTTGATGAGAAGGACGGCTCTCTTATTTCTGCATGCTTTTATAGTGTGGATGCCCTCGTAGCATGGGTGAGAGTGGCGGGGACATAGACTTCACGTTATGGGACCGTCAGATTGTAGGGACGCCAGTAGAGCACATCTGGCGCTCGCCCGACTCGCGAAAGAGCCGTCTGTTTTTGGATGCGGAGACGCCACAACGTCAGCGTCAAACAGCAGTAGTGGATCAATCTTGCAGCATTTGTGCGAGGCAAAAAGCTGGCGTCCTGATGAACACTCACAATTGGGCTGCTTGGCAGGACGCCACAAGGCTATCTTGCCGGCCATTAGAAGATGTGCCAATCATCGTCGCCACTGGAAGCAGTCGTTATATTGAAGATTGCGAGCGATAGATCTTGGAAAGTGCTAGTGCGTCACCTGCATGCTGTATCGTAGCGTTTAATTTATTCACAACGTACAGCCATATTTCCTCCTATGCAAAGAGGCATGTCTCATTCAATCTCTGACTCCCAGTATATAAGTCGCCTCGATATACTGTACATAGTCATACTCCATCTCTGGTCACCTGCATTTTCGCATACACCTCTCCTGACCCGCCTACCGAAGCCACTACCTATAAATCGCATTCTTCCCTTAAACTTTGAAGTGTAAGCACTTTGACATTCGTTGGATGATACATGGTACTCAGTAAAGAGTATTCAGGATGATCCCACCAACTGAATTAAAAGGAAGCTGCCGAAAGTGCAGACATCCGGACTCAGCTCATGGATACGTTAGGTGCATAGGCCGACGCAGAGATGGGCAATCCTGCAACTTCGAATGGAAACTGACTCCTTCTGGGTGCCACGACTCTGCGTGCAAGAGATGTCCAGCACATCCTGACGAGCAACCCGTTCCTTTCTATCGAGGCCCATATTAGTACTTGACCTTTTGTAATTGTATACACCATTCTCATTGCTCGTGTATTTGGTCTCGTATAAATGAATTGTCATAGCTTGCCTTAATTTTATCTTGAGCGCCCCAAAGCTTGCAATTGAGTGTACTCGAATCCAGGCAATAAATTGTCCTCAATCAGATCACCCGCACTGTCGTCTTAGAGGCGTCTCTTGTTGTGTCTAAGACAATCTGCTCGCAGGACGAAAGTGGCGTCAACGCTATTCGGAGGAGTCACCGCTGGCGCCACTTTGTTCACCGCCAGTATTGACAAACCTGTACGCACTACGTTACAAAAAAGAGGTATGGGTTGTGGCGTCCAATCTGGCGCCTTCGCTACGAGACTACAATTACTAAATCGGTTTGTTTGGCTTATGCACAGGTGTTGCGTGAAAACTCGGCTATTTCTTGCGCACTCATGGATGGGGCGTCCTTACCACTGGCTTACAGCTAGACAAGCGCCGTAGGAACATTAATCACTGGTAAAGCGAGACTCACGCTATACCTTGTGGGCCGCCACCTGACCTAGTGGTTCTCGAGAAGCTGAACAGCTTGAATCCATTGCTCTATCAGGTAGCCGCCACCGAAATAGTCTTCTTAATTATAGCGCGGTATAGGTTTTTACCAAGCGTCTCCGGTCATTATTTGACTCAGAAAGGTCAAGCGGCGAATGATACTGCGTTTCTCCATTCCTCTCTGTGAGGCGTCCATACACAGCACACCATGCCATACTTTTCGTTATCTAGAAGCATGACTAGAAGTATAAAAGGGCTCTCCATAGACAGACCTACCCGCACCAACAAAGGCTCTTCGAAATCGCAGGTCAGTCTCGTTATTCGCTCCCCTGCTCCCTTTTCACCGCGGTTCACTAGACATCAGAATATCACCCATCGTATATATCTTTCAAAGTCCCTTTCAGATAACTTCGAAGACTTCAGATCTTTGTGAGCTCCACATATATTGCATGTTTGCTGTTTGCCCGTTAAATGACGTTTTCATTCCCAGAGGTCTACAAACCAAACGAATAAATTGCATCATGTGGAACAGGAATGCGGGTGGATTTTGCCAGTCGTGCAACTTGGCTCAGTCAACCCATAATAAAGTCAAATGCAACGCTAGGTATAAACGGTGGTTGAACAGCAGTGAGTGGGAGTGGGCGCATTGCCAGAACTGGTGGAGAGCCACGCGCTCAGGCTTGAACGGGACACGTGTTTGCCAGAGCTGCCCAGCCCACCCGGGGAAGAATCCATTCGAGGATGAGTGAAGTATTATTAATGGCTTACAAGGAACCGGTGTCTTCTACCTTCAAGTATATTCTCTCCATGTGTATTTTTGTAGTACTCAATATGACTGTATCATGAATTCAAGATATACGCATATGAGACGGAGGATCGTCGATAACATATCAGACTAGCTGTGACCTCTCTACATACTGGTGGGGTTCGACGGTGTTTTATGCTCCACTCCGATGATATCTACTTCCCTCAGCCTTCAAACTCAAAACAAACCTCTCGCATCATGCCGACACAGTTTTATTACATACTACCGACGCCCGAGGAAACAGCCGACTCTGACAATACAAGATCTGCAAAGCATTACTATCGCACACTTTTGAGCGTCCAGCAATTCACTCACCCCATGGCTTGGTCCATTCGTCGATATAAAAATCACCGGTTTTGTCTGCGTCTGGGCCCCTCCAGTCCGCGAGGTGCATAAAGGTTTCCTTGATGGCAACATCATTTGTGATAGTTGCTATACGCTTCCGATTTCTAGGCGGGTCGTCGTCGTCGAACTCTTGATGTATGCCCTGCATAGCATTATTCCATACTAGGCAGCGATACACAAGTCGCAGCGATGCGCTGTGCTTCGCGACTTGCTGAACCGTATCCGTACTTTTCGATAAGATAGAATACCCAACAGGCTTCCAGTCAGCGACGACGGGGACATAAATCTTTCCTGTAGCATTGTCCACCGTCGAAATGAGAAGGGCGAGCATTTCTTCCTCTCTCAGGATGAGATCCTGTCCGCTTTCCTCATCGTGCTTGACGCTGATGCAAACGCCACGAGAAATAGAAGAGGTCAGGTATCCTTGGGTTATTCCCGTCCACGCTGCGAGCACCAAATTGGAGCTTGCTTCACCAGAGATAGATCGTATTTGTTGCGAGAAACCGGTAACACCGGCAGCTAACCACCACCAGGCAGCTTGAGGCGATCGAAGACAGCCCATCACGGCCGCAGACCCAGAAGATTCAGGCCACCTTCGCGACGCAGCCATTGCCCACTCTTTAGCGCACGTGCAGTCCACTTCGGGGTTGTAGAGTGCGTTTCGCAAGATGAGAGTGGGGTCGGTTGCGCTTATTGTCATCAGTCGCGGGACGGATGAAAGGGCTCTGAGTGTGCGGCCTTCTCTGGATGTCAGTGGTGGGAACATGTCTACTACATGGCACGGGGATGGGAGTCTGTAACGGCTGTTCCTCCTCAGGTGGGATGGGACGAGAAGTGTAGCGAACAGGGCCATTTCAGCCTGCTCTGCCAGGCCGTAAGCTGAAACGTAGCTTTCCAGAAACGAATATGCTCTAGCCGAGTCAGGAGCAATCTGCGACCCAGGGAGGGGTGTAGGTCCCTCGACATAGAATAATGGAGCTGTACTCTTTGGTCGAATGGACCACGGCGAGTGGAAGGTGGTGTCGAAACGTTGGATGCTGGCCAACCAGCCTGCTTCGGGAGCTAGGACGTGAGCCCACCAGACTGCCGCATCTGAGTCGTGAGTACGAACGCGATGGTGATCTGTCTCGGTCTCCCTCAACTCGAGGCTCGTTGGTGCACCAATTGGCGCAGCCGACGCGAATAGAATAGATCCGCCCTGAGTCTCCGACCAATGAGCGGAAAGAATATAAGACCACGCGAGGGTCAGCATGGCGAGGTGGTTGTCGTGGACAGGAGTCTGTACTGTAGGGCAATCTTCACTGGCACCCTGATGAGCAGCATCGAGCGTGCGCACACCGGATAGCACAGCGGGAGTGGGGGCTGGCATATCATTATCAAACGTGGAGAAAACGGCGGCCTCTTTCGTCACGCCGAGCATGAGGTACTGATCGGATTGGACGACAGGAGGAGCGATACCGGCCACGGTGGACTCAATGCACCACACAGCAGTACAATCTGCTTCGATGAAATCGGATTGGTCGAGGGGAAGGACTGGGTGAAGGTAGCCTTTGAGGTATTGACTAAAGGCGGGGACGTGCGCGACTTCGATAGGTGGACCGAGGAAGAGGTGGGGTTGTAGCTGATTAGCCGTAAGACACAGACCTTCCCAGTACTTCAGGTATCGCTGATACAGAGCTTCGTTGTGCATATCCTGGAAAGGCAGCGGTTTTGCCGGTTGCTCGTCGGGCATGGTTCAGGTAAGCTATACGTAGTGTCAGCTGCATTAAATTTGGCAGATAGTAAGATACATACTTGATTTACTAATATCGACTCAATCCGACGGAATAGATGCTCTGTACGCGCGCAGGGACTCGGGGGACGAGAAAATAAAGAACGGGGACGCCACGAAAGAGCAACTGGGCGGAGTTTTGATTGAGTTGCACAGCAAGCTCGAGCGGTCCGGTGAAAGCCGATGACCCTATGTAATGGAGCACAGCCACTCATCGAACCGAAGAAAGAAGACACCTTCCTTACTGTTTAAGAAGGTCTCTCAAAAGAAGCATGCGATTACGCCGGTCTCGAGTTCCACAGGGAAGGCGTTTCTCTATATTCATCACGATTTTAATGGCAGGGCGCGGAGGCTTACAAAACGATATCATTGGTTACAAGTCTCCGAGGCTCATTAGGCTCAGCCGCAGTCCGCACAAGTCTAAGTCTAGGTGTTCGCCTCAACCCATTCTTCTCCTCGTAATTCGAACCACGCCTCAAACCACCAAATCACATCGAATCTTCTTTCGATCGCGGTCAGTTCTGCCAGAGAGGGAAGTGGGATACCACCAAGAACGTCCAAAGCCTCCAGCGGCTTCCCCAACCTTTCCCTCGCCTTAGCTAGCTGAATCAGAGCGCGCGGAGTGCAAGGGCTGTGTCCGACTTGTATATCGGTGAGATTAGGACAGACGCTCCGGCTCTGCGTAAGCACATTCATAAAGGTGTCGTCGAATCCTGGACATCCATCGACAGATAGCCAGGACCCGTCCCATTTGCTGAGTATCGTCAGGAGGTCGGTTTGGTCGTCCGCGTCTTAGAGACGAAGTCGACAGGTGGAACCTAATCTGTTTTGCATCGGAAAAGAAGTCAAGTCACTGCTGCGCAGGCTGATGAGATGTTTGGGGTATAGCCTAGGCGTGATGTAGTCTAGCAAGCGAGAGATTGAAGGGCCCCCCATGTCAGAAATCCAGATAGTCAGTTCGTCGCTCCACTCGTCAGTGTCTTCGTGTATCAGATGATAAAACGGAGAATGGGAGATGGTGAGATATGCAGGGTCGATTTCGCCAAAATGCACATCTTCAATGAAAAAACCAGTCCGCGTTCTCGTTCTCTCGTGGGCACCCTTGCGCGGCTATGAGAGCGTCACCGAAAAGTTTGGGAGAAAGGGCGTCCATGATTGTAGGAGGGCGATATCGACAAGCGACTAGGGACAGGGAGCATGATGCCCCATCCTTGCGTCCGTCGATGGCAAGAACGAAGTCAGCGAGGCTCCGCGCGTCTAGTTCCAGTTGAGACATCTTAGGGCAGTAGAACGCTATTATTTGGGCTGGTTCATCGGTATCCGTAATAGCGGAGATAGACGTGAGCTTGTCCATTTTAGGTGCTGATACACCGTCAAAGAGGCGGCTAGCGAGAACTGTAGACGAGCGGTAGAGACCTTTCAGGGTGAATTTGGAGCACCGAGAAAGATGAGGCCTGATGCATTCCATGGCTGCTAGAATGCGCCTGTTTTCGAGGTTAGGGTCCATCAGAGGAGCGCCGCGATAGCACACGTAGATCTCTATGGTACGCATGCGCGTGGCGGCAAGGAAGGTATTGATGACATGGCGGGTGACGTACGGGGCATCGACGTGGATGATGATCCGTGACCAGAAGCGCCTATCCATAGCCAGTACATCGAGTCACCTGCGACAAACGCCAGCACAGAGTAAGGAAACGTAGCAGGGCTGTGGAAATCGAAGAATGCGTGCGACGAGCGAGACGGATGCACGCCCTTGCGGACGAGCTTGAAGATAACGAGTAGAGTTTCTGTTGGCAAGGACGAGATAGAGACGCGAGGATAGCATGCTTTATACATGAGTGTGTTTATGCGTACTTGTGCGAGTGAATGCATGGGGGGTGTCGCGGAGGAGGAGAGCGATAAAGGATAAAGAGATGAACCACTGTCACGTCCTTGAGCGGGTTCGCTTTCAGCGTGGGAAAATGCAACACAACGGACCGAGTTACCGAGTAGGCTCAGCAGCGACCTGACGCGCCGGGTTTCACGCTACAAGTCATCTCGAGCAGCTACAGCTTGGTGAGTAGAACCTCAATATCTCAATTCCTGGAATGTGCAGATACCGTCGCGGACCACGTCATAGAGGGGTAGGATGTATTTAGCTTGGAGCAGGCAGGCGCAAGCGCGGTGCAGCTTTGAGCACTAGCGAAGCTTGCGTCGGGGACTGCGAAGGAGACCAAGTCGTTGAGAGATGGGGAATCCGTCGAATACTTCTCTAATGGTACTCAATCCAAGCATCCCATGGCATAGCGCGCGAGCTGATGACAGGGGTTAGTAAAACACATCGGAAATGGGGTTACGATACGCAGACTCTAGCGAAGCGGGCGACGTGTGCTTAATATCTTTAGCACCCTAAGCTACTCGAGCTCACAGGAAATTGGCCACGCGTCCGAAGGCGTCGTAAAGGGTCGATGGATGCCGAAGTCCCAGGCTTAGGCACGAGGAAGAGGATGTGGATGTGCGGAACGCGAGAAGGTCTGTTTATAAACACGATCACATGGTGCCCTGTTCTCAGGGCGGCCTCGATATCAGACTTGGCTTCTCTTAAATACCCTCGTCCACAACCACACCAATGTTTCGCCCAGCTTGCACCCGCGCCCTCACACCAGCATGGCCCGCACCAGTCCGTTTGGCCTCCTGGTCCTCTTCGTCGGTCTTGCCCTGTCCAACGGCGTGCTCGCCCTCTGGCCCATTCCCCGCAACCTGACCACCGGCTCCACCGCACTCAAGCTCTCCCCTGCGTTCACCATCCAAGTCGACGTGCCCAACGCGCCAAGCGACCTCTACGACGCCGTCGGCCAGGCGAAGCAGTATCTCGAGAATGACAAGCTCGGCCGCCTTGTCGTCGGACGGGGTGCGAACGACACCACTGCCGTTCAAGGAGCGAAGACCATCTCCACGCTCACGCTCTCGCTCGAGGAAGGCGCAACGGTCAACAGCATCACGGATGAAGCCCGCGCCAAGTTTGAGGACCGGAGCGAGGAATACCAGCTCACTATTCCCGACGACGGCTCTGCTGCGACGCTCGTCGCCAACTCGACGCTGGGGCTCTACCGTGGGCTGACGACGTTCGGCCAGATCTGGTACACGTATGGGGCGGACACGTATACGTTGGAGGCGCCGTTTGATATCACGGATTCACCTGCATACGTGCGTCTCCTCCCTTGATTGTGTCGCGTTATAACGTGTTTTATCTAACTTTGGCTTGATGGTTCCCATAGCCTTATCGTGGGTTGGGTCTTGATACATCTCGGTGAGTAGCTGGTAGCCTCCTATTCCTATGCCCACATTGACGGTTTATTGTAGTAATTAGTAAGCCTCGTCCACCCATTTCGATTTTACGATGCTCAACGGCGTAGTTTCCCAGTCCAGAGCATCCTTCGAACCTTGGACGCCATGAGCTGGGTCAAGGTACATACGCCTCCCACAATCCCTCCATTTCGCCGCTAAGGTTTGATACCCAATCGACAAGATTAACACGTTCCACTGGCATATCACCGATAGCCAAAGCTGGCCACTCGAGGTTGCCGAGTACCCCGAGCTCGCTCAGTATGGCGCGTACTCTGCGCAGGATGTCTACACCGAGCAGGACATCCAGCAAATCTTGTCTTATGCGGGTGCAGTGCGTATATTTAGCTCTTTGCGCCCAAATTAGCTGCTGATCCGAAAATATCTATCTTTAGCGCGGCATTGATGTTCTCCTCGTGCGTCCCGCCGACTATCTCACATCATCGCGACCCTAATCTCACTACCCCTCTATGATTACAGGAAATCGACACACCAGGCCACACCGCCATCATTGGAACCGCGTACCCCGAGTACGTCGCGTGCATGACCGAGTCGCCCTGGTCGACCTACGCGAACGAGCCCCCGGCCGGGCAACTCCGCTTCCCGCTCCCCGAAGTGCGCAACTTCACGACAAACCTGCTCGCGTCGATCGCGAAGACGATGCCGTCTTACTACTTCAGCACGGGTGGCGACGAGCTCAATCTCCCGTGCTACACCGACGACCCCATCACCTCCGGGTACTTGAACAGCACGGGCACGACGATCAACGATGCGCTGGATGAGTTCACGAACAGCACGCATAGCGCCCTCATTGGGCTGGGCAAGACGCCTGTCGTGTGGGAGGAGATGGTGCTCGATTTCAATCTGACGTCGTTGTCAGACGAGACGATCGTTATGACTTGGATTTCATCCGCCGATGCGGCCGCCATTGCAGACAAGGGATTCAGGATCGTGCAAGCGCCATCGAACTATTTCTATCTCGTGCGTACTACTCTTTCCTTTCCTATCCTCCCACTTTTACTCGGTGCTAACGCACGTAAAACGAACCATAGGACTGCGGCGCCGGCGAATGGATCGGCGACGACCCCGCCGGCAACTCGTGGTGCGACCCGTTCAAAACATGGCAATACGCCTACACCTACGACCCGCTCGCGAACCTCACTACCGCACAGCAGTCCCTCGTGCTCGGCGGCGAGCAGATTCTGTGGACCGAGCAGTCCGGCCCGGAGAACCTCGAACCGATCGTGTGGCCGCGCGCGGCCGCGTCCGCCGAGATCTTCTGGAGCGCCGCGCAGCCGGGCGGGGCGCCGCTGAACGGGACGGAGGCGCTGCCGAGGTTGCAGGATGTGAGGTACAGGATGGTGCAGAGGGGGTTGAACCCGATTCAGCTGCAGCCGCAGTGGTGCGCGCTGAGGCCGTACGAGTGTGATTTGTATGCTTGAGAGGAGCGGTGCTTTGCGTAGCGAGTGGTGGGGCAGTGGACTTTGATCTTCTCGTAGGGATAAGGGGGTTTTACGGACTTGGTAATTCATTGCTATGGTCGGGTTTTGCTCGTACCTTCTCCAGACACCAATGGTTTGATGATCTAAATTTCTAAGCTGGATGAATGCACGCAAACACGAGGTCGCCAGCCGGGGACATGGGAATCAAGCTCAAGTTTGACGTCCGGAATTTCCCGCGTTTACGTGTTTCGTCCACCTCGCTGTCTCCCCATACGTCTGCGTCAAGCTTCACGTCTTGCTTCCACGCCAACTATCCGCGCGTCATGCACCGCTGCCTGAGTATAGCAGAACTGCAAAGTCAGATCGTTCAATCGATCGAATGCAAGGCCAGTCTCGCTCGACTCGCAAGAGTCAGCAGATGGTTCAAGGATCCGGCGCTCGATGCTCTCTACACCCACATTGACGACTTTCCGGCCTTCCTCAGGTGCTTGCCCTTAGATCTGTGGACCATTGAAAAGGGAAAATAAATGGGACCAAAGGAGCTTGTAAGTTAAAAAATTATTTGCAATGCCATTTTGACCGACCCGTCTCTAGACGTTCATTCACCCGATGACATTCGTCGATTGGGACATCCTGCAAGCATACGCTAGTCGCGTAGTCTTTATCAGTTCATGTTTTTACGGCCCTTCATGCTCCATTCTGTCTGTCGAGGTCTGCGAGGTCCTTTCTCAATGTCCCTACGCGGTTGTTTTTCCCAGGCTCCGGTCGCTTAAGGCACAGATGTATGTTGACGATGAACGCCAAGTTTTGGAGTCTGTTCTTCTTGGGCCTCAGCTTCGGGACCTCAACGTTTACGGTCATTCATTCCATGAGTTCTTGGAGCATGTCCCGGATTTTGCAACAAGGTGCCCTTTGGTCGAGAGCATCAAGTTCCTTCTGAGGAGGCGGGAAGACAACGACTACCAGGAGCACAATGACAAACATTATGCATCACCCGCAGTGTCGAACACCATCTGCTCTTTACGGAATATCCACACATTCAAATGGGGCCCCGTCAACGAGCAGATCCTTCTTCATTTACGAAGCCAACCGCTCATAAAGTCACTTACCATCTACGCCACAGAACTTTCGAGCTGGTTGTCGTCTGAACAGGACTTCAGTCTTCGCAGGGTGGACTCCTTGAGGATTGTCGCAGAGGAGAGTAGTATGGCCGTCCAAGCTCTCAACCGCATTATATCCATCCCGGCAGCAACGCCTTTCGCCAGCCGCACTCGTATTGCTCGACTCAATGTCGTGTCGCTCATAGCACCATCGTTACCAGAGTTTGGGGCGGTAATCCAGCGTATTTGTGCTGATGACCTGGTTGAGCTTTCTATAACGGACGAGCTTATCGGATGGGATCCTGAAGACATTGCCGACATCTCCCATCTCAGACATTTTGACCTCTTCGCCCTTTTCACACCGTTTCATAACCTCAAGGTTCTCAAAGTCATCAGATCCGAGGACCATGACATTCAACAACCTTTTAGTCTATCTGGGGATCAGCTTCTCGAACTAGCTTTGAACTGGCCTCGCTTGGAAGTCCTGGCCATCAATCCTTACGAGCTATTCATCCCTATTTCCACCCTTATCCGACTCATTCAGCTTTTGCCTGAGGTGCGCGAGGTTAAGGTTCCAGCAATCATACATCCCGAAGACAAAACACTGTTGGCAGCATCAGATATCCCGATTCCTCGATTTCCGCAGGTGACAACCCTTCTTTTGGTTCATGAACTCGATCAAGATCTCTCCCCTGAGATGGTTGATCTCTTTGCCGACATCCTGCTCAGTTTTGCGCCAAGGTTGTCCTGCATTTTCTGCGCCGGAAGGTGGCCACTGCATCATTGTGCGGACTGCTGGAGCACAGTCGTTAAAGCTCTGGAGACCAAGAGAGAATCTAGAAATCTGTGCTGATTTAGATATCATGTAAGTCGAGCTTCTTAACTGCATGTCTTTTCTCGAGCCTGATTTTACTAAGTGCGTTGATGTAACACTTCAGTCACATCTTCTGGCTGAACGCCCGCCTTCAAACCGAGCGAAGCCGAAAGTTGGGTTGTATAGCATAGCATAACCCCAAGTACATAGGTTTTCAACTATGTCGGCTTGATCATTCATGCATGAGGTGACCATGTGGATGTGGAGATCATAAAGGTATCGATGTTCCCGTAAGCACTGCTAGTAGATAGTAAGACGTGCTATCTCTACTGCATACTGACAGAGGTGCTGCTGCCACCTTTCCGCTCAATTTCCGAGTCCGGGCGAGGTCCCAGCAATTTTCACACGAGTCGCTCTAAGGTTTTCCCTTCACCGCGCGTCTCTGCCTCATCCCCTTCCATTCTCGATCACTCAGCCGTACTCAGCCTTGTCGTCTCTAAGCGGTGTATACCGACCTCCCATTTCCAGTGAATCTTCAGCCTTCTATCCATGATGCATGACTGCTTGCGCATACCAGAGCTACAGAGTCATGTCGCCCTGCAGGTGGAAGACAAGTGTACTCTTGCTAGCCTAGCAAGAGTAAGCAAATCATTCAAAGGTCCCGCGTTAGACGCTCTTTACACAGACGTATCTTTCTCCGACTTCCTTCTGTGCCTGCCTGCGGACCTATGGCAGAGAACGTCAAGCACCGTGAACGGTGTGGTGACCATGTCATTTGTGAGTGTGCTGTCCCTCGGATGACCCCTACTATTCTCAGCATTCACATGCTCTAGGCCTTCACTCGTCGTATGACTATGGAAGACTGGGATGCATTGCAAACGTACTCATGTCGAGTCATCAACTTCACGGTCTCATTACAAGGCGGATATATCACAGCTGGAGTATGCGATGCCTTGTGCCGATGCCCTATCCCAATTTTGTTCCCAAAGCTTCGGAGCCTAGAGGCGCATCTCAATAAGAATGACGGTTTCAGGCTACTTAACTCAATCCTCCTTGGGCCCCAGCTTCGACACCTCACCATCTGGGACGTGTCTCCGACCCATGACCTACTTTTGCACTATTCCCCCAAGCTTGCCATCACGTGTCCGCTGATCGAAACCCTCGAGCTTCCAATCCACGGTACACTCTCTGAACCATCTCTTGGGATGTCAGAGACTGTATGCGCGCTGAAGAACCTGCGCTCGCTCAACTGCGGGATTGTGGATGAACACATGCTGGCTCATCTTAGCCGAATTCCGTCGTTGCGGTCGCTGGTTCTTTACGCAGCTGCATCTTCACAGTGGCTAGGAATCAATTGCTTCATCTCTCTGAGAAACCTCAAAGAACTGTCTCTTGATACGGACACCGGTGACACTGCAATACGCGCTTTGGAGCGTGTTTTACCTTGTTCATCAACGCCAACCCCAAGGAAACTTTCAGGGCTCTGCATAGTGATATGCAGAACCCTTCAAGCATGCTCTCTGTCCGCATTTATAGCAACTCTTCGGCGTCTGTGCGACGCAGACCTTGCACGCATCTCATTATCCGACACTCAGTCCAAAACTATCGGCCCGGTGTCTGTTAACCACTTCGATTCTCTCCGTCCTTTGACCTACTTCCGAAACCTGGAATTCCTCTTTATCCATTTTTCTAACAGCGAAGACCCCAACCTCGCCCTTTCCGACACTCAAATACTTGATCTCGCATCTCATTGGCCGCGCTTGGAAGCACTGACCATCAATTACCTTGTAGAGCCCATCTCTCTCAATACCCTCGTTAAGCTCATACGCCTACTTCCACACGCGGAAACCGTTGCTGTGTCCACCATGATTACGGATGTCGATATGGCTGATGTGGACGGACTGGAAAGCCCACTTCCGACCTTTGAGCATATAACGGGGTTGAGTGTTGGTTACGAGCAGGAATATGATGAATCGTCCGTTACCAAGGAGGACTTTGCGTCATTCTTACTACGTTTGGCGCCCAATTTATCCTACATCGATCAAGTTGGCTCCGACATTGATTGGATGTATGAAGTGATCGAGGAATTAGAGGGCCAGCGATTGAATGGGTCATCAGGTGGCCTATGAGATCAAGGGTAGCTTTTAGGTCTCGTGTTTCGCTAAGTTGTATGTAACGTTACTGCGTTTGATATCAATGTTTGATTAATCACTGTGAAGCCATTCAACCCGTACTAACAGGCCCATCGATGCATTTCTGACGTCCTAAAACCATCTGAGCATGATATGGTCGCAGCATCGTCCAGCCTCCGAGAGTATCATCTCCGACTAACGCTAATTCACCACTGCCAAACGCTCAAGGATCTCAATACTTCGAACAAAGATCCATAGCTCACGAATACTGATCACATGCATGCGGCCTCAACGAGCACCACTCCGGCTGCAGCGGAATCGCGTTCAAACCCCTCTGCACCATCCTATACCTCAAATCCTGCAAGCGCGGCAGTGCCTCCGTCCCGTTCAATGGTATGCCGCCGGGTTGCGTCGCGCTCCAGAAGATCTCAGCCGAGGCAGCTGCTCGGGGCCAAACGGTCGGCTCGAGGTTCTGGGCTGCCGACTGCTCTGCCCAGAGGATCTGCTGGCCGCCGAGCACAAGCGCCTGCTGGGACTCGGTGAGGTTCGCGAGCGGGTCGTAGGTGTATGCGTATTGCCAGGTTATGAACGTTCCTGACCCGCCGAAGGGGTCTCCACCGACCCATGAGCCTTGACCTTCGTCCTGAAAAACGCTTTCAGCTACACAGTAACTGGTTGAAACACAAAGGACGAATGGCGTACGAGATAGAAGTAATTCGACGGCGCCTGGACGATACGGAACCCTTTATCGGCAATGGCAGCTGCATCCTGTGAGGATATCCACGTCATGACGATCGTCTCGTTCGATAACGACGTCAGATTCCACTCGAGCACCATCTCCTCCCACACCACTGGTGTCTTTCCCAAACCGACGAGCGCACTATGCGTACTGTTCGTGAACGTATCGAGCACGCCGTTCAGCGTTGTATTCGTGGTGTTCAAGTATGTAGATGTGATGGGGTCGTCTAGATAGCACGCAGAGTTGATCTCGTCGCCGCCGGTGGAGAAGTACGACGACGGCATCGTCTTCGCGACAGATGAGAGAAGGCTCGTGGTGAAGTTCACGACTTCGGGGACCGTCATGCGGAGCTGGCCTGCGGGAGGCTCGCCCGCGTACGAGGACCAGGGTGTCTCGTACATGCAGGCGATATAGTCCGGGTATGCGGAGCCAATGCTGCCGCTGTGCCCGGGAGTGTCAATTTCCTGAGAAAATCATGAGGATCACGAGGGTGGACGCCATGAAGTGTACGCACAAGTAGAACGTCGATGCCATGCTTAAAAAAACATATGTTCAGGACAAAAGGAGAGCATACGGGGCACGAGAAAACGTACCGCGCCTGCATATGAAAGTATGTTCTGAATGTCTTGTTCGGAATAGACCTGTTGCGCAGAGTATGCGCCGTACTGAGCCAGATCGGGATACTCCACGACATACAGGGGCCAACTTTGGCTGTCGGTGACGTGCCAATGAAACGTGTTAATCTGAGCGAGAGTTAGGCGTGGATGATTAAAAGACCATTAGAGTTAACGCACCTTGACCCAGCTCATGGCATCTAGGGTTCGTAAGATGCTGTCCACTGGGAAGCTGATGTACCTCAGATATCATGGATTCAAGGACCAACACCGTAGACCTACTAGTGCCTAACTGAAGTTAAGGCTGCATATCATGGCATGATCGAGGTAAGCTTACCGTGAAGTGTCGAGACCTAATCCGCGATAAGGCTAAGCAAACCAGTCAGAATCAGTTATAACTCGAGTCACAACCGACGAGGAACGCACGTATGCTGGCAAATCGGCGATTTCAAACGGTGCTTCGAGCGTATACGTCTCTCCACCATACCAATACCAGATCTGACTAAACGTCGTGAGGCCCCTATACAGCCCGAGTGTCGTGTTCGCAACGAGAGTCGCATCGGAACCATCGTTGGGAATGGTGAGTCTGTATCCTTCGACCCTATCCTCCAGCTTCAGACGCGCCTCGTACGCGATGCTGTTGACCGTAGTGTTCTCTTCAAGCGAGAGAGTGAGTCCAGATATGGTCTTCGCACCGCTGAGCGCTGCAGTGTCGTTGGCACCGCGACCGACGACAAGACGACCAAGTCTGTCGTTCTCGAGGTACTGTTTGGTCTGATTGACGGCATCCACGAGATCGCTAGGGGAATCGGATACGTTGACGCTAATGGTGAAGTTGGTGTCGAGCTTGAGAGCAGACGTGCCAGTGGTGAGATTGCGAGGGATGGGCCAAAGGGCGAGCGCGCCGCTGGGCAAGACGAGGGCCACGAAGAGGACCAAAAGACCAGAAACGTTGAAGCGGGCCATGGTGAGCGATTGCTATCCCACAAGGTCTATATATGCGACAACAGTGAATGCCACGGCATGACCGGGCGTGTCGGTCATTTTAGCATGACCGTGACCGACAGTGACCGACACTGTCGGTCATCGTGACTAGTGACCGAGCGGACTTCTCGGAAGTTCGCGAATCATACCCATAAACAGTAATATTAATTACACGTGACTGTCCGAAGTCGACGCGCGAGGGACGCGTTCGCCGAAGGCAATGCTCCCTCGCCGCCTCGCACAATGAAACACAGGCCGCATTGCTTTAATATGATAGCGTGATGAGTGATTCAAAATATGAGCACCAAAGTAAACTGAAAAGAGTAATTTCCGTGTGTGAAATAAGATTGTGGAGTGCCCTTCTATCACTGTGTGTAGTTAGCCATCTATTAGCTAGCTACTCATGTATCTACGACACATAGCAATGAAGTGACGCAATAACACGAGTTTAGCACTCGGAAGTCGTTCGTATTTCATCTGTCTTGTCACTATTAATTAACTGTGAATGAATGTCTTTGGAGTCGAAGTTTGATCTACACACTACAAATGGCCTACATTAATCAGAGTGGCTACTTCATCTTCGTGTGATGTATCTGTGAAATTCGGCGACCAACTCCTAGTTATTCATGTCGCCGACTCGTCCTAATATTCTGCAGAGAGCCAAGTCGAAATATAAAGTCTCTGCACACTTAGAGGCAGAAAAAATATCGATCCTACATGTCCCATAGCCCAGGATGCCCAGGGCTCCAGGCGCACCTTTACTCGTACCCAGGCCCGCTCTCGATGTCCCATGGTGGCAGCTTCACTTTCAAGCCCATCCTCTGCTCCCGACAAAGGCTAGGGAAGCTTACATGGGCACGGGCCCCTCGGCGAAGCCGAAAATGTATTGTATTAAATGCCTTAACTTTGACATAGGTGTTGAGCAGAGTAAGGATCAGCGGGAGTATGCGCACGGCACACGTACTCATCTCCGTAGTGTTGAAGAGATCGAGGAGTATTGTAAGTACCCTTAATTCCTATCTGCATAGCTATCTAATAACAGGCTTATTTTATTAGTATGGGCATTTGATCCCAAGCGGTGGGTTCGAGGTGTGGCTGATACAACCTTGAACCATATGATAAAATACTGCACCCACGTCACTTCTGACGATCGAGACATGGCGAAAGATCAGCGCAGTAACAAGAAGAAGAAAAAGAGTAACCAGAGCGACTTCCAGGATGAATATATTCCGGGTGCTGGTGAGTCTGTATGCTTCCATTGTTTTTCTTCGACTAATCATTGCTGCTATCTAGTCTATTCTACATCGCCGGCAGGTTATGGATTTTTAGACTACCAGCAGCCCTTAGCAGCTGGCAGTGCGCCTCAGCTTGCTAGTGTAGGGTCCAGTGCCTCTGTCAACGCTTTAAGTATTAATACTGGTTCGCTATCCGTCCCTCCGAGTCTGGCGCCCTCTCCATCCCCATCTGTTCTTAATATTCAGGGCCTTCCTAACAGCCCTGCAATCGACCTTTCGCTACCTGGTGCACCTCACTGGCCGGTTGGTATTGGCCAGCCTCGAGGATCATTATCTCGTCGAGCTAGTCAAGCTGTTCTCGGGCCCATAAATCCCCCTGCTCCTGCCTGGACTCCTGCTTTGCAGCAGGAATTTGAGCGCAGGATTCTTCGGCTCACCGTCTCTGCTGGGCTCCCGTTTTCTTGGGCAGACAATCCAGAGTGGCAGGCGTTCTGTCATAAATTTATTCCAGCTGCAAAACTTCCCTCTCAGCGAACTCTTTCTCGGCGCCTTTTACCAGAGGCTGTGGCTGAGGGTCGTGCATCAATACGGGCAGCTGCTCAAGGGCACGAAGCCACTTTACAGGCGGACGGTTGGACCGGCTTGAATAGCCACCATCTCATCGCTTTCATGATAACAGTAAATAATCAGGTATGTTTCAATCATTATTCATAGTTCGAAGGCTCATAAATTACTACAGGTACATACAGTGCAGGTGGACGATGTTTCCGCCGAACGGAAAACAGCGGACAACCTTCTGGATCGCCTGCAGGCAGTTATTGACAAAGTAAATACTGAGTGGAAGGCTCCGATAATCGCTGTAGTTACAGATGCATCGGGAGAATCACGAAAAGCACGTAGATTACTTGGAGAACGGCATCCCGAGCTTATGGTGCTTGATTGTTATGCGCACCAGGTACGCCAGTATATTTAATTCTAAGGTCTTTCACTCACTGACATTATTGTAGATTAATCTAGTTGTTGGCGACTACTTTAAAGCACTCAAGGAGTCGGGCTCAAGCACGTTTATTTTTACGGAGCTCGCTGACGATCTTATTTCCTGGCTTCGAAGCAAAACATTAGTCCTAGCACTAATTCGAGAACAGCAGCTGTCGACTGGCAATATAGCTTGCTCAGTTCTTCGAGCAGTTATTACTCGATGGACTGCCCACTTTGTGGCATATCGTCGACTCATCAAGCTGCGCCGAACATTAGGAACTGTGGCGGGAAATGAGATCTTGAGGCCAGACGACCAGAAAATGATTATCACAGGCGACAAGAAGGCTCGTCAAAAAGCCCTGACTATGCTTCTCCTTATTCAAGATCAGTCACAACAGTTCTGGAAGGCTATCGAGCGGTAGGCATTATATTCACAGTCCTGAGACATTGCTAATAACTATCTGTAGCATAACACGGCACCTTGAGCCTCTAGCGATCGCAGCAAATATCACGCAGGCTTCTCAGTGTCGATTGTATCAGGTTCTTCTCACTTTTGGATTTCTCATGGACGAGTACCTCGGTAAAATTCGTGATGGTGATAACAATGAGTGCCATGCGATTATTTCTAGTCTTGAGGCGCGCTGGGCCAAGTCGGATCAAGAACTCTTCATTGCTTCAGTTATTCTGAATCCTTTCTATCGGACAACTCCCTTCGCAAAAATCCCTGTCCTTAACAATGCTGGCGTCCACATGCTTATCGAACACATGTGGGAGCACCTTTTTTCTTCTCAAGTACCACTCGAGCTCGAAGGTCAGGTCGAAGACTATCTATTCAACAAAGGACTATTCGCACACCTCGATGTTCGGACTGATAGAAAACGCTCTGCTGCTCAGGCAAATGTATGTACTCTGATTTTTATTCTACATCACATATGCTTACAGATCTACAGGGACAGCAGCCCGATCCTATTGCTTTATACACTGAGTTCTGCTTTTCTGGCGAGCCTATCCCGGCCTTAATTCTTCTGGCTCGACGGCTACTGTTAGTTGCAGCAAACTCTGCATCATGTGAACGGCTTTTTAGTATTTTCGGAACCACTATGACAAAGCTACGTTCAAGACTAGGTACCTCCACGCTTCAGTATCTCGCAGAGTTAAAGATGATGATCCGAGATGAGCATACACGCTCTGCGGAAAGTCGGAAGCGCATGATACAATCGATTCAAGACAGGACTCGCGAAAATATCATCCCAGCCTCTAGCACCATTCCCATTCCTTCCAATGCTTCTGACGATATCGAGGACATCATGTTCGCTGCTCAAACTGATCTTCATGCCCGTGTTTCCGCCCCGGAACCGACCGAAGAATCTATCCCATCCGAGTCCAACACCTCTGCAGATCAATTCCATGTCTTGATTCAGCAACACATGCGTCTTTCGGATGAAGATGAACTTGACGAGGAGCCTATTCGCCAGCCATCTATCATCGGAATGCGAATTCCCCTTCGCGACCTCTTCAATTTTGCTAACAAAAGCTGGTCTGACTTGTATAAACAGTCTGCTCGTCAGAACTTCGAGGAAGAAATGTCTATGTACGAATTATTAGAGCTAGACTCGATTCCTAAGCAGGAAGAGACAGGATCGGACGGTAACATCGAGATTTCGTTAGATGATATTACGCAGCAGGTATTATTAGGTACTACATAGGTTTTGTACGGTACAGACGGACGTTCTACGCTATCTACGTGTTTCTAATCTACGAACCCCTGAGTTCCCCCGAGATCTCCGCGCGCGACCGGATCACCGGCCAAGCTCATAACCGAGACGCGACTCGACGTTCTGGTCACGGTTTTTAAATGACCGACATTCAGTCATCGTGTCGGTCACTGTCGGTCGCTGACCGACGCGTGACTTGGCATTCTCTGTGCGACAACGATGCGGGCCGTATGTTATGTCTTCTCCGTAGGTGGGGCGGCCAGCTGACCTGTTGTCACGCATGTGCGTCTCATTTTTGTGGCCAGGCGAGTGTATAGGAAGACAGGGATGACTTTATGCGTGTCATCAATGGAGACTATTCAAGGAGTGGAAAGGTGTTCGTTGGGGGTGGAAATGACATAGTTCCTGCTGTTCCTGGAGCCGAAGACTCCAGGTGTAAGGAAAGAAATGTCGTATCCCTCCGATCATGCCGGCTCGCGGCCCGCGAGCGCGGATGGCCCGCACCGCCTGAATATTTGGGGTTTACGTCTAAATTTGGCAATGTCTCAGCGTCTGCGGCAGCACTCACACGTGTTCTTTACTGCTCTGAATTAGTGTACAGTGAACGTCTCCGCAGCCAGGACGCTGACCAAGGTCACTGACGTTAGTGACCTTGCCGGGTCAGTGACCGGGTCACTAACCCATAGATAGGGGTAAAGAATTACTGTAGTATTTCAGTTAGCCTTACTATCACTCCATCTCCTCGTCGAGTCTGAATGTGCGCAGTGGGCACGGTGTTCGAACTTCGGACCTGGCCAGATGTGTTGACGCCCCGACAGGGATAGCACTGTTGAGACTTGTGTGACGTTTCTCTAAACATGACCAGGTTGTCGTAAAAAATAACAGTTATTTGGGACTAATATCGAGCGCCATGTTTTGCATTCTGTCGACCTCCAAGTGGGCCTCATCGTTGAGTAGATGTATTCTCCTTTGTACATCCAGTAAAAACCCTGGTAAAACCAGTAGATGTATGCTAGAGGTTGTTGTGTAGACAAACGCGTATAGTACAGTATCCTTGCGTGGCAACCAAAGTGACATAGTGTCCTTCGGGTCCAGGTGTGCCCACTAGGGCCTTGAGTCTACTAGGGGAGAGATGGATTTAGTGACTGACCTCGGGTGGGGCGGAGCGGCCCGGAGTCAACGGATAAGGTTTCCCACACACCAAAAGCGAACTTGCCCGAAGACATGTCGGTTCATTTGTCCTCTAAACCTACCAACCTCCGCGCATCTCTTCGTATTACGAAGTCTTCGACACACTCATGGTAAACATGCTATATATAAAAACACCTATCTCTTCTTTGCCGACGGAAACCTTACTCACCATCTTCAAGTTCATCTACAAGGACGCGCTGGTCCCACTCTTGGAATCGCACCTACCAGTCTCATCCCATACGCGCGTCGATCCTCACAGCGCCGCCACGTTTCCCTGCTCATGTGCTGAAGTGTGTCGCAGATGGCTCAATATACTAGCAATGGATGCGCGCTTCTGGCCGTGGATCATCATTCATATCGATGCTCCGTATGTTTCGCGTCGCGTCGTGCAAACCTTCCTCGCCGCCTCGCGCAAAAACACAATCGCCATCCACATGTGCTATCGCGGCGCTCCTCTGATGGATCCCAACTTTGAGAACAGACGCGTTCTGGAAGCTATGGAGTGTATCGGGCCCCATCTTTCCCGATGCTCCCAGTTCACCCTTAGAGGACTCTACCGCTCGTCGACAGTCCTCGCTAGCCGCTTCTTCAACGGGGTATCTGCGTCTCAAATGATCAGCTTGGATCTGACCTCTGCTATTACGGACAGCGACAGACCATTCTGCGTAACGTCCTTTTACTGCGCTCAGCTGTCTCACGTAGAGCTAGATGCGCGAAGTCTGGCAGATTTTGTTCTTGTTAACGATGGGTGCAAGCATTGGAGGACACACCCCCTATCCCTTACGGCCACCAGATACCGCCCCTCTCCCGTCATTCTTCCGCTTTCTTCGAGAATCTTTGGATACGCACTTCTGGTCGCACAGGATAGGACGAAAACGAACCTCTGTGTGGATGACGTTGAATTCGATGACACCGACTCTTCGTCTGCTAGAGCTTCTCATACTATGTCACAGGCGTTCATGAACAACGGATCGGATGAGCTCGGTGATGAGCCATGGATCTGGTTTTCTCATATGGAAGGCCCTTCGATCTCCCGGTTGCTGGATTACGCCATACCCGGTCTGCGCTCAAACATTCTTTTGTACATGAATAACAATGACTTTGGTTCTTTCCCTGTGCGACGCCGACTAGGCTCCAGCTGTCGACTTCTCCTTAGAAACATAGGCGATCACACAGGCTTATCTGCGGTCCTCAGTAAATGGGACGGATCGTACCTGTCTATCGATGGTTGTGCAGCATTCGACGACACTTTTCTAGGGCTACTGACGCAGAACATGGACCTCTGCGCGAATCTCACTGAAGTCACTATTGGAGACTGTCCTTGTACTCCGCGCGCCTTGATCAAGTTCTGCAACGCAAGGAAAAGGTCCGGAAGACAGCTAGATTCCTTAGACATCCTGGATGGCGTCGTTCTGCCTTCTCAGGCAGAGTTCAACGCGATCGAAAGAAGGGTTGATATCCTTCGGTGGTTCGAGGCGGAGGGCGCGCTGCAAGGGAGTGGTGCTGATATCTGATCGTTCTGGACTAGATCTCGACCCACTTTATCGTAGCAGAACTAGTTCGAAGACTTGTTGCAAAAATCGTCGTTCCGCGGACTTCTAGAATGTTGTACTACCAAGGAAGCTTGCGTCAGCGAAAGAAAACCCTGAAAGAAGCATATGCTTCTTTCTTCAGCCTGTCTTTCAATGACGCGCTCGGTGTCTTCTTTCTGAGGCGCTTCGATTGCCAGATACGGTGCAGGTTCTCCTAGATTCTGAAGCTTCTCGCCGAGCCTAGGCTTAGGTATGTATCGTTACTTGACAACCTAGGCAAGACTTCTAGGGCCGCCGCGTTCCTTGCCTCTCCCACTTCTCTCCCACCACCGTCAAATTTTGTAGCCTCGTTCCCTCATTCATGGATGCTTGCCTGAACATAGCAGAGCTGCGTGGTCACATCGCGCAATACATAGAAGACAAAATCACGCTCACCAGTCTCGCTAGAGTCAGCAAGTTGTTTAAGGATCCTGCTCTCGACGTCTTATATGCACACATCGATAGTTTTCCGACCTTTCTCCAGTGCTTGCCGTCTGATCTATGGACCGTAGACGCAACACCGGTGGAGTTTGGGGTATACCGTCGCCTTGTGAGTGCCCACCCTGGGAAGTTGACGGTCCTACTGGCTAAAGTCTTTGGCGTCAAATCATCGTCAGGTCTTCAAACGAAGGTTGTTACCAAGAGACTGGAAGGTTCTGGAGACATACGCTGCTCGCGTTATCACCCTTAGGCTTACCTTCACTTCCATGGGTCTCCCCGAAAAGCTTGATCTTTCCTCTGAGGCATGCGACGCGCTCTGCCGTTGCCCTGTCCCCATATTGTTCCGCAAACTACGGTCACTACAGCTCGCTTTATGCGACATAGCCCAGTCGCAACTGATTGGCGCTATCCTTCTTGGTCCTCAGCTTCGGTACCTCAAGGTTAGAGACATGTCTCCACTCCAAGATGTCCTCCTGCGTGGTGCTCCAAAGCTTGCCATGGCATGTCCCTTGATAAAGACCATTGAATGCCCCGACTCCAACTTCCCGTATAAGCGTACTCGCTCCGAACCACCTCTCGCAACATCAGCGACGATTTGCTCACTTAAGCACTTGGTTTCTGTTAACTGTGGATTGGTCGACGAATACATGCTTACTCATCTCCGTCGACTCCCTTCGCTGTGGAGCCTTACTTTGTATGCGTCATGCACGTCACGGTGGCTAAACTCGACAAGACATCTCCTTTAAAGAACTGGACAGCGTAAAAATCTCAGCCGATCTTGCTAGCACAGGCTTACGAGCTCTCGAGCGCCTTTTCACTGGCCCCTCTATTCCAAGCGGAAAGCGCGCTACCGTCTCCACCTTGGAGTGTGAATCCGTACAGCCATCTTCCTTGAACCACTACGTGTCGACGATTTCCCGCCTGGTTTCTGACGACCTCGAAGATCTCCGATTCTCTGATGAGGACTACGAGGACGACACGGAAAGATCGCTCGTGAGCGACTATGATGCTCTTCGTCCGCTGACTTCATTTCACAACCTTGAAACGCTCTGGCTGTGGTTTATCATAGCACTAGACCCTCTCGAAATCTCTGGCGATCAGTTGATTGAGCTCGTTCGGCACTGGCCTCGATTGAGGACGCTTGCCATCAGCCCTCTCGAGCCCATGATTTCCTTCGACGACCTCATCAAAATCATTAGTCTTCTTCCTCGCAGCCAAAAGGTGTGTATTCCGACGTTGGTTACTCCTGACGATGTAACAAGCTTCAGCAGTCCCACACGGACAGCCCCTTGCTTCAGACGGGTCACATCCCTGTATCTCGGGTGCGATGACGCGGCCATTCTGACTGTGGACGCAGTTGCAACCATGCTGGCGCGTGTCGTACCCCGACTTTCGGACATCTGTCCGGTCATGGAATGGAGCGGAGCTGACGAGTATTGGCTTGATGTTGTCAACGCGGTAATGGAAAAACAGGGCTTAGAATTGTAGCGGTACTGATCAGCAACTTCTTCGTTCACATGTTATGTGTTGTGCATGTAACATGTGTGATGATGTCTGTTATAGCAGTGCTGTCCTGATACTTAATGGCATGAGTCGGAAAGTACTTCTGTCGCAAGCAGTTCGAGGCAAGAGCGAAGACGCCAGCCGTGCATTGCGACTAAGGTCGAACTCAAAATAAGCAAAGCAGTGCACATCATGACCCACGCCACACGTTGTCCCACGGGTAGAGTTTCTGATGGCTTGTCCTGCGCGTCAGTTTCACGTCAACGTTCAACATCCTATCCGCAGCTAGACGCGCACATCTCCCCACCAGCTTTCAGAGCAATCGCTTGTCAGGAGCATACACACATCGCTAATAACTATGTCTTTCTCTTCACGCGCCTCCATCTCGTGCCTAGCGAATGAAACGCTGCTGGCCATCTTCGGCCACATCTACCAGCACACGCAAGACCCCTTCCTTCGTTTCCCCCTCGGTCATCCACCCCGTCCCATCCTCAACGTACACAGCAAGACTATGTTTCCGTATGCATGCGCCGAGGTCTGTCGGAGGTGGCTGGCCATCTCAGCTATGGACGCTCGCTTCTGGAGGCGCGTCGTCATCCCCATTGATGCTCCATACGTCACTCGCGAGGTCATTCAGACTGTTCTCGAGGCCTCGCGCAAGAACAGCAAGATCACCGTTGATATCTGCTACCGTGGAGCGCCACTCATGGATCCTAGCCTCGAGCACGTGCGCATCAAGCTCGCTATGGAGTGTCTCCGGCCCCATCTCTCCCGCTGCTCCGAGTTTACCCTCGGAGGTCTCTACCGCTCATCCACTGTGCTCTTAGCTCGCCTCTTTGAATGCATCGTGCTGCCCGAGGTGGTCGACTTGACACTCGCTTCTTCCATCGTTGATACCGACGAACGCTTTGCTCTGACGGTACTCGACTGCCCGAAGCTTCATCGCGTAGACCTCGACGCGCGTAGTCTAGCCGATTTTGTGCTTTCTAGTGCAGGCTGGAAGCTCTGGAAGAAATGCGAACCAGTTCTAAGCGCTACGAGCTACCGTCCTCATGGGGAGCTCTACCCTCTTTCCCCCGCATTCTTCGGTCAGGCTGTTATCACCGCTCACATGAGAGCCAGAGTCGCCTTCTGTATAGAAGATGTGGAGTTCTCCGGCTTAGACGCATCTCCTTCGGAAACTTCCGATCCCTCTCCGGCTGGCCTGCCAATATTTGTCGTGCCCAAAAGTGACGATGGTAATAACAACAACGAGCTGTCAGTATGCTTCTCGTGCATGGACGGCCTCTCGATCTCCCGCTTGCTCGATCACGTCGTGCCAAGCGCAAAGCCCGATGTTTCTATCGCCATCATGAGCAGTGATTTATCCTCCTTCTCTATGAAGCACCGACTCGGCTCTCGGTCTCGGCTGCTTCTGAGCGACGTTAATGACAAGGCTTCCCTCCTCGCCATCCTTGGCAATTGGGATGGGCCTGTCCTCCTTCTAAGCTACTGCCCAGCATTCGACGACAGCGTTCTTCGGCTGCTCAGGAAGAACAAGAAATTCTGTCCGAACCTGATCAATTTCATCGTAGGCGGCTGTCCTTGTACTCCACGTGCGCTCTCGCGAATGCTCAGAGCGCGACATCGGGCCGGGAGACGTGTTCATGGCGTCGACGTGACAGGAGATGTTATGTTACCTACTGAGGAAGAGCTGACGTTGATCGAGAAGAGCGTCGATGAGCTTTGCTGGTACGAAGCCTATCGCGCGTTGCGGGGAGGGGATGGAGGCGAGGATGATGACGAACACGAAGCCGACTCGGAGTCGGAGACGGGCCAGTTGTTTGAAGGGCTGGGAGGTTTGTTACCTACGTTCAGTCTGGGAGACCTTGGAACTCTATGAATAATGTCCTTTCTCTTTTGATTTATTTTGGAACTGCTAGACTTTTTCGGACAAGTGTGAAGTTAGTGTGCGAAGGAGTGGTACGTGAGAAAGGGGGTCCAGACAAAAATGAGCGAGCCGCCTTCCCACGCGCTCCTTATCCCGCTCCTATTCTCTTAAAGCTGGCCACGACTGTCCAAGCTTTCGCTACCAAGTCATACCTTGCACGAGGACATTACAAGGCACGCTATACCCACTTCTCACCAGTCCCGCTTTACTCATTAGACCAGAGCTGAACAGACATGGCTACAGGAGGAGAAACCTGTTATAGTCCAATCTCCTCTCTGCCAACTGAAACTTTATTCAGAATTTTCAAGGCCGTCTACGAGTGGGAACTGCCAACGGACTCTGGAACTCTGATGCAGAAACACGAGCGACGGAATGATCCATGCGATCTCGGGCTGTTTCCGTACTCGTGTGCATACGTCTGTCACAGATGGCTTGACGTGTTGACTATGGATTCGCGTTTTTGGAGATGGGTCGTCATACACATCGATGCTCCATACGTCACACGAGAGATCGCGGAGACATTCTTCCACGCCTCCCGCAAAAACAGGATACGCATCTATATCTGCTACAGCGGTCCTCCCTTCATGAACCCCGACCGCGAAAACAGACGCGTGATGATGGCCATGGAATGTGCCAGACCACACCTCTCTCGATGTTCCGAGTTTAACCTCCGGATCCTCTATCGTTCGTCTACCGTCATTGCAAGCCGTTACCTGGACGGCACCTATGCTCCTTCTCGGGGAAAACTCTCCCTCATTTCATCTATCACGGACAGCACCGAGTGCTTTGGCGCGATCAAACTCATCTGCCCTCGGCTTTTATGGATATGGCTCGACGCTCAAAGTCTTGTCGACTTCATCTTTACAAACACCGGTCATACCTCCTTTCCACAGTCCAACATCATACTCCACGCCACTCGTTATCGACCCCATGGCATCCCTAATTCGCTTTTAGCAAAGTCTTTTGCTCATGCAGTAGCTATAGCAAGAAGAAAAGTGATTGTCACGTTCACTCTGACCGACGTTGAATTTTCCCACAACGATCATTCTGAGGTCATCTCGTCAATATCTCTCAACACGCGTCCCCAAGAGGAAGAAGACCATGGTCGCGAACTGATCATCCGCCTCACGGATATGGAAGGACCATCCATCTCAAGTTTACTAAACCATATCATGGCAGACACGCTCTCATCGTCACTCATCAGCATTGACAACTGTGACCTCGCAGGCTTCGAGTTACACGACCGACTACCCTTCCAGTGCCGCCTAAGCCTAGATAACATCCGGAGCACATCAAGCCTAACCGCAATCACCAGCCAATGGGACGGTTCTGTCCTGTTGCTCCGTAGTTGTGCTGGTTTCAACCGCGACTTCCTGTACATCCTTGGAGAAGACACGAATATTTGTCCCAACATGAAAACACTCGCGATCGACGGTCTACATTGGAGTTTGGGCGAGTTGATACACATGTGTGAAGCGAGGCACAACGCTGGGCGGCGATTGGAAAGACTGGAAGTTGAGGGCGACATTCCTGTTGCCAGCGGGGAGGAGTTGGAGTTACTTGAGATGTATGTGGATGAGGTCGATTGGAGCCCTGGGTATGATTTGATGCAGGAGCATGCTGATATGGGACGGAGGGGGAGCTCGGATGAGGTTCAAGTCTAGGTAAAGAGTACATAAGGGGTACTGATCATCAAGGTTAATATACGTTTTTTTTTTTCATCTTTCTTGCTATTTATTTGTTGAACACTAAGCAATAACCAACTTTGTCTTCTTCCAGATTGCTCGCCGCAGATGCGATGTAGGTGTCTTTGTCGCCAAGGCCTGACGAAGCTCTGCCATCAACTGCGATGGCGCGCACTCTGTACTCTAAAACATGCACAAATCATAGCTATACCAAACATATTAAAGCGTTCATTGTTGCTCCTCAACAGACATGCGATACAAATCCACATGGAAGTCACGATCTTCCGAGAAATGTGCGATACTGTTTGTGATAGCTATCGCCATCCGTTGTGCACTGTCCATAAAACAGTTTTGTGTTCGTGTACTTGATGATATATTCACTGAATTCGTATATAGCGCCCTTCAGGATGAATGAGGTCCAAGAGATGTTGGCACATGGGAAAAGTAGACACTCCATTACTTGAAGCTGGACCAGTTGCCCAGCGAAACGTGCCAGTGACCGCCAGCTCGGGTTCTATTTCAGATACAATCACCACATGTATTCATCACAGAAAGTGGGGAAAAATTATAAGTATTATGGTGTGAGCGTACTTACGATCGTCACTATGGGCTACGATAGAGGCCCACCGTGAGAAAGGGAACATTATGAGGGTGGACTCGGGCACTATATTATAGTGCTTGGTCCGACAGAGAATTATAGACACGCACCGTATGAATGCCATGTATTATAGCCAACTATAGATGGTCATCCAAAGAGTCGTATTCAATGTAGACGCCCAGTGATTTTGCACGGTATAATTTCATATATTATAGAGTCTTGTCAAGTTAGTCGCCTACATTATAGAGGTCTGCTTCTCCAGCTTCTCTGCTTCATGCCTTCTCTTATGCTTCTCTGTCCGTCTTCTCTTCTCCCAAACCTCCCGAACCACTGCAAAGTGGTGTTCTATCAAATTCCGACAAACGAACCAACAGAAGCAGTCAGAGGGCCCGGATTGAATTCTAACTGTCAGTACTGTTAACATAAAGTGATGTGTGTGAGCTTGTTGTTCCTCAGCCAAAATAAGGTGCCGCGAGCGCTCTTTACATTAAGCGAGCATTAAATCGATACTGTTTTTGGAGCCGTTCTTAGGCTTCAGTAGCAAGTAATAATAACAAAGAAGTAAGTACTTGGTTAATAATTAGACACCGACCGTTATGTGTCCAAAACATATGATATGCTAAAATTTCAGGCGAGTGGCGATCAACGGGTACATTTGCAGCACCAACACAGAAGCAAGAGGCGAGAATGCCAAGCGCTGATCGTCGAATACCTCAAAAATGTGCAGTTTTACACCGTTTAGGCACACAACAGTGGCGTACCATTTTTAGCGCAGCCGCAGGAGTCAAAACACCGAGGATACTGATCGTCGTTTGCCTAAAGCGTTTCCGAAACACCCTCTTTAGGCTAGTGAGAGTGAAGTTGGTGTGACACAAGGGAAGCATATTCAAATATTCAAGCTTCAAAGCTCGATCGCGTCCGGAAAGAAGCACCCTTTGAATTCCTTTGGCCGAGTCCAGCAAGAGGTCCGTGCGTGCGCCACCGAGGCAAGATGCCTCTTAACATCACAGAGTCTGTGATGCGCCCGAAGAAACCTCTCTTGTTCCCCCCGTTCCACTTCGTCGTACCGAGGACTCTTTGAATGAAGAGTCCATCTGTGTTGTGAGTCGTCCATTATTTTATTAGGCTATCACTGATTCATTCTCATAAACCAATACAGAATCTGGCTGCCGAGACTAATGATTCCTAGGGCAATGAGCTTGAGCGCCCAATGAGCGCGGTGACCAGTGTACCAGAACATCTTTGCAGAGCATGTAGCTCAAGTTGTACGTCCTCTCTGTTTTCTTATCAGTTTACTGCTGAATCTCCTGCCCATTCATCCTATACCGGCGTTGCTTATACACCCCCTCAGTTATCAGCGTCAAGTTCGTCCACCCCTCCACACGACTCCAAGCCCCAGAAAGCTTGTAGTCCTGCTCTCGCCTCGCGTGATGGCTCAAAGACTCGAGTCTCTGACCTCAACTGCAAAGCAGGCACCGGCAAAGGAGAAGCCGCTGTTGAAGGTTCCCGCAAAGATTCCCGCAGCGTCGACGCCGGCAGAGCCGGGATCTCGGAGCAGAGTATATAGGTGAGTAGCCGCGGTCCTCGTTTTTGGCATTCCATTAATTGTATTCTTTCTATGTGTATCTAAAGTATGCGCCGCTCTCCTAATTATCACCTTCTCCTCACATTTCCAATCCTTGTATGCTGACTTGTGTACTCGACCATGTCTACACCATGTATTTTGATGCTTTGACCTGTACTATACAAGGTACCATCAAATCTAATAGAATATTGTCGTCTTGATCATGCATTGTGTGACTTGAGTATCATTATAGACCTGAGCTTTGCGTGTAATGCCATGTAATTTCGCAGCCCTTCTATCGTGCTCGATTGTATCAGCCTTACTCTACCATGCACGATAATATCAGCCTCACTCTATAATGCTGTATCGTGACTGGGCTCAAAATGTGAAACTTCGAGGTCTTCCGTAATGAAAGTTGGACCTGTCCTTCGGTGATATGCATTATGGTCATTGTACTGTAAGTTAATACATGTTTTCCGTGTACAATATCTCCCTAGTTTTTGTGATGTTCATGCTGCCCTTCCCATGAGTCGGTGTTCTTCATTGAAAATGCTGCTATCAGTTTCAGGCCTTTTGAGTCAAAGTGCGTTTTACCACTCCGCAGTCTTGCTACAATCCATTCCAAGGGCATGGGCATTAATTGCATGGGCGCCGAGTCCTTCACCGGGCGCTCAAACTATGTGAAAAGATTAGCTGATGGTATCCCACGCATGCGCTACGTCAGAGGTCCCAGCTTCGCATTTGCTTTTCCAGCTGCAAGTTCCAGAGTCCATCTTGGTTCCGTGCTAGTTTCGCTTTCAGTTCGAACTATGCGTATGATCTAAATCAGGCATGCTCACTCAGCTTCCTTCTTAGATCCTTCGATTACTTACGAAAACGTCCCAGGAATCATGATGCCTACACCCGAAGAAACCCGTACTTCGATTTCATCTCTCGCACCCGAGACTTTACTCGAGATTTTCAAGTTCGTACATGAATGGGCCCATGAACCCACATCTGGAGCGCAAAATTATGAACACAGAAAGCCAAACGATCACCACGATCTCAGACTGTTTCCATACTCTTGCGCCTATGTTTGTCGCAGATGGCTTGATGTGCTGGCGATGGATCCTCGCTTTTGGAGATGGACTGTGATCCACATTGATGTCCCCTTTGTCACGCAGCACGTTATGAAGACATTCTTTCGCGCCTCTCGCGATAGCTTGATACGCATATACATATGCTACAGCGGGGCGCCCCTCATGAGCCCTGAGCACGAGCACGACCGCGTGGCAACGGCCATGGAAAGTGCCAGACCCCATCTGTCTCGATGCTTCGGGTTCAATCTGCGAGCCCTCTATCGATCATCTACCGTTCTTGCGAGCCGTTATCTGGATGGCCTGTCTGCCCCTTCTTTGACGAAGCTATTGCTGACATCCGCCATTACGGACAGCAACGAGCGCTTCGACGCGACGACGCTCAGCTGCCCTAATCTTCGATGGTTATGGCTTGACGCGCAGAGTCTCGTCAACTTTGTCCTTACAAACACTGGTCATACTCCCCCTCGAAAATTTCCGCAATCCTACCTCATGGAACTCCACGCCACGCGTTATCGCCCTCACGGGATATCCAACTCACTTTCGTCGACATCCTTCGCCGAGGCTGTTGCTGCCGCAAAAAGAAAATCAATCTTCACATTCACACTCACCGACGTCGAGTTCGCCAATGATTATCGTCCTTCATCCAGCTCACCAACATCTCTTAGCACACATCCAGCCGTGGATCCAGATCTTATCATTCGCGACATGATCATCCGCTTCACAAACATGGAAGGCCCTTCCATTTCACGGGTGCTAAACTACATTATTCCCGAGCTCAGTCAGTCCTCACTCGTCAGCATTGTCGATGGCGATCTCGCGGGTTTAGAACTGCAAGTTCGGCTTCCTCCGCAATGCCGTCTCAGCCTTCACAACATCCAGAGCTCATCGGTCTTGCGTATAATCACTGATCAATGGGATGGTTCCGAGCTCTTCCTCTACAGCTGCCCCGGTTTCGACGACGACTTCCTGCAGATCCTCGCAGACGATATGGAGTTCTGCTCAAACCTACAGATACTCGCGATCGACGGCCGGCATTGGAGTACAGCTGCGATGATACGTATGTGTGAAGCGAGGCACAGCGCCGAACGGCGGCTGGAGCGGTTGGAGGTTGAGGGTGACATCCCTGGTGCTAGTGGCGAGGAACTGGGACTACTTGAAACGTATGTAGACCATGTAGACTGGATCCCGGGGTACACTTGGAGGGAGCAGGTTGGGAGGAGACAAGGCGAGCTCAGCGATGTTCAGCCCTAGGTTTCAACTACATTTAGCATCTAGAGGGTGAACGCTTTTAAGTTTACCACTAGGGGTCTGCTACTATACTGCAATAAAGAATCACGGCGTTTACATTTCTTGTGGCTTCTTCCGATTCTCGATCCCAACCCGAACGCCCTATTCAGATTCTCCGCCGTGGCCGTATCGGGCGTGAGTTAGCCGGCAAGTTCCAGCGAAGCTTAGGCGTCGGTTCTGAAGCTGAAGGAGCGCGTGTTCCCTCGCATTCCACTCTTTTCTTCATTCCCTTCACGTCCCGTTATCGACCCATGTCGCTCTCGCCGGGTCGTTTTATCTCTCCAACTAATGCCTGTCTCAACGTTGCTGAGCTTCAGTGTCTCATTGCCCGCCTTGTGGACGACAAAGCCGATCTCGCCAAGCTGGCCTGTGTCAGCAAGTCGTTCAAGGATCCTGCCCTCGACGCGCTCTACGCTCATGTCGACTCGCTCGCGACATTCATTCAATGTCTTCCGTCAGACTTGTGGAAGCGTAAACATAAGCGATCTGAATCTTTCCGATGGATTGTACGTGCTCTCCGTGCCATCCGTCACTAGTTCTCATGTTCTGCCCCTTTGACAGGCTTTCACGCGCGAGATGATGCCTCGCGACTGGAGCGTGTTGCAGTCATACGCGTCTCGAGTTCTTAGCATCAATGGGATCTATCATGAATACCCATCTGGCTGCTTGACCCTCTCAACCGAAGTGTGTGAGGCGCTCTGTCGATGTCCTATGCAGCCCCTGTTCCCAAAGCTGCGGTCACTCAACTTGAGGATGTCTAGTGGAGCCCATTTGCGCATGCTGGTCCCTGTTTTCCTGGGTTCCCAACTTCGCTCTCTGAATCTTTTCGAGGGACAACTTACCCAGGATCGCCTTCTCAAATACGCTCCTGATCTCGCATCGACCTGCCCTTTGATCGAGACGATCACTTTGTCTAGCACCCCAATGTTCTCAGTGCCTCCTAGGTCTGAAGAGCCGCATCCCGACATGTCTAAGGCGGTATGTTCTTGGAGAAACCTTCGCTCTATTTCGTGCGGACCGGTGGACATTGCTATGCTCGCGTATCTCCGCGAACTCCCTTCCCTCCGCTCCTTGACTGTACACGTCGGCCCAGAGTCGCGTTGGCTTTCCTCAAATAAGCCAGTGTTCTTCAAGAAACTCTGCTCGCTCAGCATCACCGCCGAAGTAGCCGAGGCGGCCGTTCGGGCGCTTGACCGTCTCTTAGCAGCTCCACCCCCTAACTCTTCGCGCAATCGCCATTCAGACGTCCATAACATCAAATGCTCATCGCTCGTACTCTCCTCCCTCCTTCCCTTCGCTGTGTCTTTGCAAAATCTATGCTCGGGCAACCTCGTCAAGTTATATTTGTCGAATGACGTCAGTGTCATCAACCGCGGCGATCCCTTCTCATCCACACACCTTGACGCCCTTCGCGCCCTCACGTCGTTCAAAAATCTCGAGTACCTCAAAGTCTGGTTCTGGGAGGACTTTCTCGCCGTCTCTGCCGACAACATTCGCGACCTTGTTCGCAGCTGGCCGAAGTTGAAGACACTCTTTATTGCCCCACTGACAAAGCATCTCTCGCTGTCCGAGCTCATCGAAGTCGTGCGCCTCTTGCCTCATGCGTGCGATGTTACCCTGCCAACCATGGTTGAGGACGCAGAGCTCAACGCTTTGAACGCCGGACGCACGGAGATTCCCTGCTTCGTTCGAGTCAAGCAGCTTAACCTGGGTTATTCCCGCGCTCGCGATTTGGACACGGCGCCCGAAACGGTACAGGCCATGGCATCGTTGCTATTCCGACTTGTACCACGGCTGGAGAAGGTGGAGCCTATACAGATATTGGGTGTGGAGGACGAGAGGTACTGGGACGAGGTCATGAAAGCGTTGAGGTTCAAGCAGATGTGAGTCTGTACGTGTACTGTTAATAGTCATTATGTTTATAATGTTCTCTTAGTTCTTGGGACCTGCACTGCATTGTGAATTTGGTAAACAGCCATTCTCGATCGTGAACGGATGAAGAGAGCGTCATTCAGAAGTACTGGGAGATACGGCATCACCAAGGGGCATCATATAGCACGGGCGCGCGTGGTTCCCACGAATACATCGGCATGAGGGCCAAGCTTCCCCCTCGTACTCGTACACTACAAGTTGACCGGCGTTGGATAGCAATCACAAAGTAGGGTACGTTTACGCAAATTGTCTATTCTCGGTTCATGCATCGTTACATAGAACCATTTTGCGTCGCGAAAGTAAGGCGTTTTTGTAGCTTGCACTGACAGAGATAAGTGCTTGAATGTCTGCCTGCTCGATTTAAGTGGCCGATATGTAGAAGTAGTTTTCTAGGGCATAGCGTAACGTCATCGGCCGTCAAAAATAAACTTCCCCAGTCGACGTGATCCAAGAGCCTAATAATATTGTAAGGATACTACACGCTCCGCAAGATGCACATCCGTTGGGGTCATAGCGTCCATAACATCCACCAGGTCCACCCGGTGCATGATGCGATTAATCGATTCCTAAAATGGTAAATATCACCGCTGCTTCTTTTCGCCGCGGAGTCTACCTCGTAACAAAAGGTAAATTTATTGCAGATGTATGAAGTTCTACATTTTATTCCGAATCTGCGACCAGCACACGTTCAGTCTCGAATATGGCCATTCACCGTACTTTCTCAAAGCCTCGAGCAATATTGACTCCAGAGCTCTGGAACAAACACGCCATTGATGAAGTTTCAAGGAAAATATAATACTCAAGTCTCACCAGGAAGCTCAATAACCACCCAGCTTGGTGGTGCGCCGGATGCCCATTGGTGCTGCTTTTTGCAGTGTCGACGGATCGCTGAGCCATCACATGTACAATAGTGACAGAAGGCACATCTAAAACGCTTGACATGGAAGCTAGAATGTCGCAAGTGCAAAGTCAGTGAAGACGATAACGTGCACTTCTGAGCCGTAGTTACGGCACACGACGCACTGTTTTCCTTCAATGTGGCTCTTGGCAACTCTTTTCTGGCGAAATGTTGAGGTGCAGTTTAAGAAGGTACAGGCGAAGCTCCCTTTATGATTCTGATGTAATATCATAAGTGGAGAGGAAATAACAGATGGTACAGAAATAGTTGACCTGAAAAGGGGGAGCAGAGAAGAAATGAGACATTGTGATATCGACGTGGTGGTCGATGTGCTTGTATAGAGGAGCAGGGGGTAGTTTATATGGCCTGAACTAGTGGCGCTGTCGCAGCAATGGACAACAGATTGTCGCTTCGTGTACTTCCCAAAGGGTGTCGGGCCTTCTGTTCCTTGACCGGCCCCAGCGTGAACAGAAAGCTATCACCTCAGCGGGAAACGCTGGAGGAGTGGACCCGGGGAAAAGGTTCGCATTACTGCCAGGACCGGGAACGGATTCGGTTTAGTATTGCCAGGGGGTTTGTTTGTGTATTACCGTCCAGGGAGCAAGCGCCCATTGAGCGGGCCGGGTTGGGGGGGCTTTGTCAACTCATCGGCGGATTCCACAATGCGTGTTTGTTTGTCCATCCGGAGCGTTCAGCCGTTTTGTGTAGCGCCCGGATGGATAGGTTATTTACGTAGCTTCGCACGAGCCCTCAGCCCGCCAATGGAACTTCATCGACCATCGTCTGTAAGAGACGCAACCTCGACACCTTGATGTCGCAAGTAATACGCTCGCTGGGTGTCCTCGCCTTCTGCATTGGAATGTCGTAAGAGGGTAGTTCCCGGCATCCTCGGTGCTGACACAGGGATTAATTCTAATACTGGACTCCAATCATCTGAACTTATCTGTTGAGGGGCATGGGTCCGGACATTTGTTTGCGAACGTTAAACACAAATGTCTCCGGGTCCGCAGATGAAATAGGAATCAAGAGCGGCGTGTAAGTTATTTCCCAAAGGGAATCGGACATTTGTTCCTTGACAAGCTCCAGCGTGAGGGTGATTATCATCAGAGTCTTGCCCACCGGTGATTCAAATCCAGAACTGATAAGCTGGTCCACCTTTCTACTACCACGTTTCTAGATCCGTCACGTAAACCGGTATAAGAAACCTCCATCACTGCGCTGATCAGCGTTAGTACCTATATGCATGACCATCTTACTGTAACACGCTGCACTCACATGCATGCTGAGCACGACCGCCTCTCACTCCACAAATATGCTAAGGTGATCCCGAAAGTCTCTAATTTGAGCCCCAGAGATTATCAAGCGCTGTCTTCACACCTCCTCCACGGAACCGTAATTTAATTTCATAGGCGAGCTGCCATTGTTCAGCCACTATTTTGGTCTCCGCCGCAAAATGCCGAAATGTCACGCCGTCGGCTAGGTCGGGCTTTGCGCTTGTTTAGCCAAGCAACCGCAAAGCGCAGTGTTCGCTCGTTTGCTCGACCTCCACCCCATCCACCGTTTTCGTACCCAAGGCAAGCTTCTCTTCCGACAAGCTCGTCCCTCTCTGTACTTTTCTCGTGAGTATTCTTGTGGTCTATTTTGGGTGAGGCACGATGAGGGCTGACGACATTTCGGGTGGAGCACAGCCTACTCGAAGACCCGACAGAACTACGCAATACCATCATGTCTGACCTTTGCCCCGTCTACGCGCCCTTCTTTGGTGCTATGGTGAGTACGCTTTCGCTGTTGGCTGGGGTGGACACGGCGGATGGATGGGTAGGAGGATGAGGGACAGTGATGGCGATGGGAGAGCGCGTGATGTAGCGGGGTTCGGATGCTGACTGGTCGCTTGCAGGGCTGCACTGCTGCCATCGTCTTCACCAGTAAGTTTTCCCCCTCTGCATTTACATGAAGCTCGTTGCTAACATTCATGTTCAGGCATTGGAGCCAGGTATGTCAACCCGCCTAGGGTGATGGAGCGCGCTGCGGGAACAGAAGGCTGACTTTGGCGTCACGCGCGCAGTTATGGTACCGCCAAGTCCGGCGTCGGCATCTCCGCCATGTCCGTCCTCCGCCCCGACCTGATGATGAAGTGTGTCGTCCCCGTTATCATGGCTGGTATCATTGCCGTACGTAGCCCCTCGTGCCCTCGTGTTTGCAGCATGACACATTCTTACGTGTTTCGTGTTACGCCGTTCCCTGCTGCAACAGATCTACGGTCTCGTCGTCTCTGTCCTCATTTCGAGCAACCTCGGTGGCCAAGTGTCGCTTGCGGCCAGCTTCATTGATCTCGGCGCTGGTCTTTCGGTCGGTCTCGCTGGTCTCGCTGCTGGTTTCGCCATTGGTATCGTCGGTGATGCTGGTGTCCGTGGTACCGCTCAGCAGCCCAGGTTGTACGTCGGCATGGTGAGTTTCGAGTTCAAGTAGGACCGTGTGTAGGCTCTGACATTGAATATGCTCCGAATGTAGATTCTTATCCTTATTTTCGCGGAAGTGCTGGGTCTGTACGGTCTCATCGTTGCTCTGATTATGCACACCCGCGCTGGTGACATCGCTCCAGTAAGTAGTCAGCATTCTTCCCCGCGTTTGCAATGCTGACGTTGTTCATTTCTACGCAGTGCGTATAAGCGGAGCCCATGGTCGTAGGTACGAGACCTTCGCAACACGATCGACTACCTTGGAGGAGCAGTTGGCACGCTTTGCCAGGGTTGGCGCGGAGCGAACGTGGCTGGGTACAATATGCTGTTCGGCTCTGCGCGGGCGTCTATTCCGTAAAGTGCCATATCGCGAGTCATTAATGATACGACGTTTTCCTGTTTACCATCTTTTATCTGCTTCGTTTGAGTGAGATCGTCGTGTGACAAAGTGTCGTGGCCTGTGAGCTGGAGGTGAAGTGTCCACCACGTCAGCCGCCCTGAATGAGGCATTTGGGCTCAAGGAACGAGGAACGGAGTTAATTCAACCGAATGAAACTCGTGCCGGCTTCCGTGCTGGAAATATTCGCTGTTGAGGAGGTGGCGACGTGTCTGTCCCTTGAACTTGACTCTCAGCGTACTCGCACTCTCTGCTTTTTCATGTCTCTCATCCTCTCGTGAATCCCGGTGGTCGCATCTTCATTTCTGAGTACAGCAGTCTCGCGTGTCATCGACTTGACGTACCCGGTCGCACCGGCGTCTCTGCCATGCACTCACTTTTTCTGCTTCCGCCTACTCTCCTCACCTTCCTCCTCGCCTCTCCTATTCTATTTGGACCCACCTCCAGCTATGCTGCGTCTGCGGAGCCCACATCCCACAATGACCAGTTCCGCGAGATCGCCATTCGGAGAACGCCCGCCGACGCCAATGCACCAGTTTGCTGCCTCAAGCCCCTCGAACCGCTCGATTCCGTCGAGGAAGACATACTTCTCTCGTTCGAGGAGTGGAAGGCGCGGCAGCTGCAAGATGTCAACGCCTCCGGGCGTGCAACTTCGCGCTCCTCCCCTGGTCACGGCGCAGACACGGAGTACAACGACTCGCTCGCCATTCTACCCCCGGGTGCTGGAAGCGGAAGCGAAGGTGCAGAGGGCCCCACGGCAGACGACCAGCAGCAGCAGCAGCAGCAGCAGCAGCAGCAGTACCTCCTCTCCCCGCACTTTCGCATACCGCTGACAGACCGGTTCAACTACGCGTCCTTGGATTGCTCCGCGCGCGTGCACGGTGCGCACCGCAGTGCCAAGTCCCCGCACGCCCTCCTGGATGCGAAGAAGGACAAGTACATGCTCTCTCCGTGCACGTCGCGCGCCCCTGCGGGAGAGAGGCAGTACGTGGTTGTGGAGCTGTGCGACGATATTAGGATCGACACGGTGCAGCTTGCGAACTTTGAACTGTTTAGCGGGGTGTTCAAGGAGTTCAGTGTGTCTGTTGCGAAGACGTTTGTTGCGGGCGATGGGGAGGGATGGGTCCCGGTCGGAACGTATAGGGCAAGGAATGTGAGGGGACTGCAGGTGCGTTTTGCCGCTGCATTGTGTGTCGAGTTTAAGCTGACGTTCACCCGTCTATCGCGGTTCGCTACCTACCCTTCACTATCTGCCCTCTTCGCATAGTCCTTCCACCCACCGACGTCGCTAAGCGCCTTCTACCGCTTCATCCGGATCGACATCCACTCGCACTACGGCAACGAGTTCTACTGCCCCATCTCGCTCCTGCGCGTGTATGGCCTCACGCACCTCGAGGAGTTCAAGTGGGATGTCTGGGTCGAAGAGGCCGAGGAGCGCGCGGGCATGCAGCGCGCTGCCGCGGCAGACGCGCAGGCACGCTTGGCTGTCGAGGCTGCGCCGTCCCCTGCTCTGGAAGACGCTGAGGCTGAAGCTGAGGCCCCAAGAACGGCGACTGCGTCGGACGAACAAGCCACAATGACTGGGTCAGCAAACACTGACGGGACAGTACAGGGCCAGGAGGCGATCTCGGCAGAGGCCCTCCCGGACGCGACGAGCAGCGACAAGACGGACCTGCTCACATCGTTTATGGATGCGCTCGAGTCGGGGCTGCCGTCGCTCTCGGACATACGCGCTGACTTGCACGCCACTACGCCCTATATCCCCGTTGAAGACTTTTCAACTACGATATCGTTATCGACCAGCGATGCTTATGTTTCCTCGCCGGCGGTCACGGCTAGCGCGGAAGGGGGCGCGAGCGTGGTGTATGCGCGGTCGGAAGAGGTGGCAGGCGCTGCGAGCGCGGTCGCGTCGACCGCAGAGAGCCTCGCGAGCGCGATGGAGCAGGTGACAGCGGACGGCATGCCCGGTTCGGCGGCTGTGCCCACACCTGGTTCGGCCGCGGGCGACCAGGGGCATACGACCGCCGCTACTGCCGACAGCTCTGCGGTAGAGTCGGCGTCGTCTGGCTCTGTGACCTCGGGGTCGACGGCTACCGGTTCCTCGGTATCCACCTCTCAGGAATCGCAAACAACGCACTCTGTCTCTTCCACTCCGAGCCCCAGTTCGAGTTCCAGTACCACCTCGATGCCGCACCCACCGCCGCCTGTCTTTGGTGGTGGCGGGGAGAGTATTTATCGGACGATCATGAATCGGCTGACTGCGCTCGAGGCGAACCACAGCCTGTATGCGCGCTATGTCGAAGAGCAGACTACCGGCGTGCGAGAGGTGCTGAGGAGAATGGGCGAGGAGATGGGTCGGCTCGAAGGATTGGTGGGTTTTGCTCTTTCATTTTGTGTTACGTAGCAGAAGGCTAATTGGACGTTTTGATTGTAGGGAAAGATGCAGGCGCAGATGTATCAGCGAAGCGTGCACGAGTGGGAGCGGCAGCGGCTGAGGCTCGAGATGGACCACGGGGAGCTGCTAGAGCGGGTAAATTACCTTGCGGATGAGGTGTGTGCCCTCTTCGTTTCGCCAAAGTTCGTTCATTGACTGAGTGTCTTTGTTGGGTGGAATTAGATTGTCCTCGAGAAACGTCTCGGCCTCGCTCAGCTCTGCCTTTTGCTCGCCGTGCTGGTCTTTATGGGTCTCACTCGTGGCTCGAGGACTATGGATGCGGCGGATTATCGACGTATCCTTCGCCACCAGGCCAACACGCCTTCTCGGTCATCGTCGGTACGTGAATGGGGTAGACGAAAGCTTAGCCTTAGTGGGCTTAGTCATACGTTCGGCGCACCGGGGGAGTGGATCAAACTTAGAAGTAGGACGCCGAGCAGGACGCCGAGCAGGGAAGATGGGATGAAGCAGAGGAGAGGTGTCGGTGAGCCATTTTTTTATTTCCCGTTTTTTACCTGTTATTATCCAGGTACTAATCTCGACATCATCTACAGGGTTCGACTTGAGCGAGGACAAACTTCAGTTCCCGTCGCAGCCAAGTGTAAACGGGAATATATCGGACGGCGTTGAAACGGGATCATCCACCGTTGACCAAGGGCATCCGCCGGCCCTCGATCGCCCTCCGATAACCACTAATCCCGCTGCGCATCACTCGAGCCCGACGCTTGGACGCTCGTCATCGTCTGATGTAAACACTACGCCGGCTTACATCCACCTGGCGGCAGAGAGCCATACGACACATCGGCCCGCCCTCGTGGCATCTATGGCTGTACCAGCATCTGCCGTGGCATCGTCCTCTAAGCGCTCAAGCTCTGGTCTACGTACACCTTTACGCAGTCACGCCCACCACGCCCACGCCCACGGCTCGCACAACGCGCACCATCGCGCCGCAGACGTCTGGTCGCCAGGACTGGCACGCCCGCGACTCGTGCGCACCAGCTCGTCCGCGTCTGGGTCGGGCGCGGCGCATCCCCTCCACGCCTCGACTTCGCTCGGATCTGGGCTCGTCAACATCGATCGCTTTGCGACAGGGTCGGCGTTTGTACCGCGGAGCGCAAAGAAGTGGGCGCGGACGGCGCATTTGCATGAGGTCAAGCGCACTATGCGGCCGGGTAATGCCGGGCACAGGGAACGTGAGCGCGAGCGCGAGAGGGAGGTGGAGTCGGCGGGGAAAGGCAAGGAGCGGGATAAGGAAAGTGACGCAGAGGATGTTTTCGGTCCAACTATAGCTTCTCATGAACGGAATGGCTCGGCGATCAACCTCGCAAGTTTGGCGAAGGAGAAGGAAAAGAGGGTGCGCGTTGTCAGTGCAGGTACGAGCGAAGGCGACGCTGGGGCGGACACGGATGCGTGGATAGACACAGATACCGAGACTGATCTTGGGGATGTCAACGGTAAGGTTGAGGACGAAGTTGAGGAGCCTGGTACGTCGTAGCGTTCGCTTGGCGCACGGCTGTCTTCTGTCTAGAGTACTGTATGCTTTGTGCCATCTTTTACGTTGGCTTATTCTTGGCTTTTTGGATGTTTTTACGGTTCACCACGTTCGTCGCTGCTGTTTTATGCACTTATCACCCATCCTTTTATTGTAAATATAGACGTATGCATACAGTTAGAGGCCCAGAAGGGTAACAAAGACACACATCGCGTTTATGCACAGATACGCATGTGAGTAGGAACAGGCGATGTCAGACGGGCATTTCGCAAGGAACGAGTAAATGTGAGGAAAGGGGCATTATACAGTACCTTTCCTTTCGATCGCTTCGACGACGGCGGCCCAGTAATCCTTCGATTCATATGGTATAGGCGAGACGCTCTTCAGGCGGGGAACGAGGTGAGCCAACAACGATGCAACATTGTCCATAGTTGATGTGGGAGGATGGGCCTTGTTTTCGTATCCCATATACAGCGTTGATATTCGCGTAAAGCACGGGAGTGAGCTGTGGGACGTGAGGTACGACTCTACGTCTTTGGTGGTGATGGTGGTGGGAACCGAAATATCAGTCGCTTGTGGCAGCGCATGCATCAGGCTGACGAGATCAGCAAGGGTCAACGAGTTCTTTAGATACTTGATGGATAGAGTTTCCAAACGCGGCCAGTGAGAAGCAAGGTCGAGCATCTGTGTACAGGACATGGAGATGGGAGGATACTCAAAGGAAAGTTTTAAAGACGCGAAGTCGGGAAAAGACGTCAAAGGGAGTAGCCCCTCGTAATGACTGAGAGGGCTTTGCTCCGTGTCGTCACGGTGGGCTTCGTCGTCCGAGAGATCAACTTTCGAGAAGCGATTAGAGCATAGTCGTTGAAGCATCGCCGTGAAATGAGCGAATGAGCCTGTGCAGGCTGAGCTACACGTGAAACTTGATAGGCGAGATGTTTGATCGTATGGAGAAACGGATGGTATAGCTAGAAGACGTTCTAACGCTCGTAGAGCCGTGCTGGTGAGATCCGCCGTTATGACAAGTGCTTCCAAGCTGTTGAACCGGAAGATATTGCCAGACTTCAACCACGATGACTTTCGATGAGCGCGAATGTCAAGAGATTGGAGGTGAGGGAGCTGACTGAGATGAGAAAGCATGTCGTCGTTGACAGGCCCACATACAACCTCGCGGAGGTATTGCCATGAGCATATTGCCTTCGACATTGACGGGGACGGTTCAGCGGGCTCGCAGAATCGCAAAGCATTGGGGAAGTAATGAAATGCGAACTTATCCATCATAGGGCAGGCGAGAGAGATGTTCGGAGCGTAACGAAGAGGATCTCCTCCGGTAGCGTTGACGGGATCAACGATGAGCAGATCTCGGAGGTTTGGACCCTGGAAAGTGTCGCCAAGTCCGCGAAAACTGGTCTCTCCTCCTCCGAATAAGGTGAATGACTGCATTTTTGGAAATAGAGATGGGATGGGGCATTGACAAAGGTCGTCGAGAGCCTCCTGAGAGAGCGATACTTGAGCGAAGAAGAGGTGCAAGTTGAGGTTTACGACGCGGGCAGCGTAGGATTGCAGTATCTTCCAGTCCCTCGATGTTGCCTTACGCGTAAAGACCTGTGCCCATGTGGTTAGATCAGTATTAGTGGTTCATAAAAGAAAAGGCTCACAAGAGTGCTGCTGCTTCTGATCGTCCAAAGATCATCAGGTAAACACCTAACGAGATTGTGGAGCTCAATACTCGAATACAAAGCGTCAAGCGCGGTCTCTTTGAAGGACTTGTTAACTCTAGCGAGCCTGGCTAAAGTCGCGTCCCTCTTGAGGTGACCTGCAATGAAACATTGAATCTCTGAGACGTTCAAACATGGGTGCATGGCAGAAGGCGTGATGATCGGTAGATCAGATGGGCACTGGGATCCGAGACGATGAGGAGAAGAGAAAAGAAGGACGGGCAAGGGGGTCTCGGACCGGCGAGGGGTTAACTCAGGTCGGATTACCCCCGAGCCCCGTCGCACCCTGGACTAACTAACTATGTAGACAGGGGCTACTCCATATATAGTAAATAAATATCACGTGTGCATTGAATGTCAGCAGAATTACACTATGCTGCTAGCCCCTATATCCATCATACTGCCCGCTACCCTCAACGCCAAGCTCAACGCTCACGACAAGGCTCACATCGCCAGTGCTGCCTACGCTGCAAGGGAGCACGGGAACACTTTAGATGAAACTAGAGTATAGTTAGTTAATCAGAAGCAGACGAGGAATGAGAATAAAACATACCAGTACTGTCTCGCACCCGCGAGCCGTACACTTAATTATATCCGGCTCGGATGGCAAAACACGCTCGCCGCAGTAGCAGACCTTTGGGTCGTCGGTATCTCGTGCCTTGCGCTTTCGGGCCGAGCGACGAGAGCCGGCTTCTGCGTCATCAGCAATGGCGGGCACGCCTGCAGGCGGTATAAATGGGTTGAGGGCGATGTCGCCAAGGGATGAGAGACCGGCGTCGAGACTCGGACGCGCAAGGAGGGGAGCGGCGAGCGCGGCGTCATCGTCGTCCGAGTTGGCGAGGCTCTCGTCGATCACGCCGGAGGATGAGGGACCAGTACTAGTGTCGAGACTCGGACGCGCAAGGAGGGGAGCCGCGAGCGCGGCGTCATCGTCGTCCGAGTTGGCTCGGTTCTCGTCGAAGGATTCCTCGCTATCAGAGGATGACGAGGACTCCGCCTCGGGCTCCAATTCGCAGATCGTCGTGCTTGTAGGTTAAGAAGTATTAGAACCGAATACTACGAGAGAAACAATAAGTAGAAACACGTACCTTGTAGCCGCATGCACACTATGTGCTGCCGAGATGACCACCGGTACTTCCTTCCCCTTTTTCGAAGTCTGTGGTGCTCGAATTCGCCGGTTCCTCCATATTGTCTCCATGGCGGCGCTTTCGGCATTTGTGAGCTTGTACTGGCCTTGATAGCCCTCGTAAGCAGCCGGCGTATGAACCCTTTTGAGGTGAGCTTCGAAGTTGTAGCTCCAAACTGCGGGCGAACCACGTTCGCAAAGTGGACACTCGATTGGATGGTTCGTGGAAGGGGCAGTGTCAGCTCGAAACTCGCGTGCAACCCCATAGCGGAACTTGATGGGGTTGACACACGAGGTCTTGTCGTGGTCGATGCTGAACGTTGCGTTTCGGCCTCGAGTCTTCTTGAGGTAGGTGCGACAAGCTACAAACGAACGTAAGCACATCCCGCACGGTTCGAGCTCACGCTCGACATGCGGGTCAAACAGAATATGTGAGCCGATATGGGCAAGGGCGAGATGTGCCGAGTCGGCGTCGAATGTGACCTCGGGGGAACAGCTAGGGCAAGCATATTCCCCGGTATTGTGAGGGTCGGATGATTCACTGTCAGCTGAAAAACATAGCGCGCCTGAGAACGTGTGATAAGTCATACATCGAGTAGAGTCAGTGGGATGAGCACTCACCAGATGCCTCCACGTACGGAAAACCAAATGAGCGAGGGTCAATAGATACGATTCGATGTTCATTATGAGGGAGTAGTCGATCACGGAGAGTTGCGGTGAGGGAGACAAGAGAAGTCGATTCAAACAAAAACACCTGTTGGCCCAGAGAAGGAACAACAGTCACAGGGTCAACCGGAGATACGAGAAAGCCGGGCAGGTTGGGGATGTGCAATGATAGGAGCAATGCCGACTGCCAATCGTAAGAGTTCCCATCGTCATCGTGGAAAGTTCCCGCACTGAGGCCGAACAACTGGATTGAAATCCGCGCGGTATCCTCGCCGAGCAGCTGGATAGGGAGATCGTCGTGCTGCACCGAACGAAAGCGGATGCCAGTTACTTGTCCAAGACCGAGGAATTTTCTGCCGTTTGAACTGAACAAGGATGCTACTGGGCTTCCGATCAGAAGAAGGGGCTGGTCCTCCTTATCCTTGGCAACATGCAGAAGTCCATCTGGACCGAGCATCGCACAGCCAGAGTATCGTGCCTCCTGCCTCACGCGTCGAAGGCGATCTGTTGATGTGGCAGACTTTCTGTACAGGAAACGGTTTGCAAGGGCACGGGACTTCGGAACCATCGTCCCGTGCCCGTCAATGTCAACCAAGTTCGAAAATGAGGGCTTAGCAGTTTTCTTCTGAGGATCAGCTGCTAATGCCCACTCCGCTTCAGCTGCGGAGTCCTCAAGTTCCTGTATACCTTCAAGACAAGACCCTTGGATACCTGCTGCCAAAGACGGCACGGGATCTGTTACACTCAATCAATAACTATTACATAAACTCGTTTGTAGGAATAAACTCACCATGTCGGGTAGAGTCGACCTCTTCATCATCCTCAGCGGGCGGTGACACTGCTTCGGACATGTGGCGAGCTCCGCGCACCAGTAGCACACCATGAGGGGCAAGGATCGATGCATTCGGTGTAGCATCTACGAATGCAAGGCGAGCTTTGAGAGAAGGGTAGGCGTCCTCGATCAGCCGACGGCCTTGCTTCCAACAGGTCAATAAAGTTACGTTCGCGGGAATGAGGTTGCTCCGGAAGGAGCGAGGATTAATATGGTCAGCATCGCGTAGGGGTATTTCATTACGGTCCAGGCTTGGAAGGTGAAGCCGGCGAGGTGCCTTGTCCCATCGCGGATAACGTGCGAAGATGTTGGCGACTGAAACTGTAGAAGTGGAACGATCTCCAAGCTGGATCATATCAAGGTTCGCGTCATTGCCAATCATGGTGCGAAGCACTCCAAAAAGCGATTCTACCCGGTCAGTCCCAAGGAGCACAAGGTAAAAGGGGATGGTGGGGCTGCCGACTTTGGCTTTTGCAACAGTGAAGTAGACGTTCTTTATCATAATCATGATGTCCACATAGAGCGGGACCGGGAGGAAACGAGATCCACCTCCTGGAGATGCAAACAGAGCGAGTGCAATGTGGGCGGCTGCGCTGAGATAGGTGAGCTGTTCGGATAGGCTGAGGTCGATACAGATGTAGGGGAGGAGTAGATAGCGGCAGAACTGCCCAAATGTTCGTAGCGCATCCCGGGTCTGTGCATAGATGGCGGCAGACCCATCTTTTGCACAAGGGAGATCCCAGATATCCCGGAGAAGCTGATATGCTGTAGTGACATCCTGCTTGTCAGCTACATTGAAGAGTGAGTCAACATGAGATTTAGAGTGGCCCTCATCCTGGAGGTGCGTGCGCACAACACCAGGCTGGAGCACAACCTCCTCCACAGTGGTTCCATCAGGACGAAGTACAGTTACTCTCGCACGCTTGAAGACGTGTCTTCCGTCTTTATCGCAGGTGATATCGTCATCGCCGACGTGATAGTCCATCAGACGGAGTTGTGACAGGTGAGCATAAAGCGGTGACGAGGGAGAGAGCGTGGTCTTGAATGTGAGTATTGCCAAAGCACGGCCTCGGCGGGCCTCTCCATCTGAAGCCAGGCTCGCTATGCGGATGTTCTTGCACTGAGGACTAGACTTCACACTCTCGAGCGCTGCATTCAGCAACTCTGCATGAGCCTCAGCGGATTCACGCTTAGAGGTTCCAGAGAGAAGGAATGGACGTGCAGCGTAAACACGCGTGTCGTCGCTGTTGAGCAGCCCGAGGGCACCGACAGTGGCCTGGAATAAGTGAACATAATTAGAACAATAGAATTAACGGCCACACGCGTGCGCGTGTGACCACTGAAGTACTGATACTTGTTTCCCACTTACCTCCACCGCCAGCTCTACCTCCCCGGTGTCGACCTCCTGTAGCAGTGAATCGACGTCCTCCATGCTCGAAAATGTAAGGTTCGTCTTGTCTGCTGACTCCCGTGCAACGCCCATGATGTTGTTCGTGCGATCGCACCACCTCAAACGCTTCTCCACCGCAATTTCATCGAACATCAAGGTCGCAAGTATTTGACCTCCCTCGAGTTTCTTCGCCGCGTCTGCAAGATCTTCTTCAATCAACGATAGTGTCGCCTCAAGATTATACATCATCTCTTCAATGGTTGGGAAGGCTGCTGAGGGCTGGAGTCGGGGGACTACCGTGTGTTTCCGGAGGGTAGACGATGCAGGCGTGTCCATCGTTCGGTGAGCTATATCAGCTACTCGCTTGCCTCCCAGATATAAGAAAAGCAGCCCGATCATATAGTGCTCCTCTTCATATCCCCGGGGGTGATACGCCCCCACCGCTGCCTTCTTGACGAGTTCAAGGACCTTGAACACGCTGTAGCCACGGCGGAACGCCGTCGACAAGACACGATCAATTGCGGGAATGCGCTGACTCGAGATGGCCACCAATGTCTGCCTCTGGATGTTGAACGCCTGCTCGATGCGCACTAGCCTGCGTGCATGGCTGAGGAGATGGATGCGGGTGTCGTCAATCATCTTTGACTTTGCCCGAAGCATGGACATCATGTGGCCCGGACCGAAGAATGCGTATGTAGTACCCTCTGCAATTCCCTTCGTGAAACGGTTGATGATCCCAGACAGCGTGCCATTGGAAGCCAGCTGGCTGCACAGCAGACAAACGACGCCCACGCCTGATACAACCCCCTCACATGTCCACGCGCGCAAGAAGAAGCAGCCGCGTCTCGTCTCGATTTCCCATGGGACGCTTTTAACAGCGTGGAGAGCGATTGGGTACAGGAGAAAAGGGCTTTGGCCCTTGGGAACATGGAGTTCAAGGCCAGTGCAACGGCACGTTCGTTTCGGCCGGTGTGTGACAGTCTTGATGTACTCTATCTCTTGCGCAGGCGTTGCCTCCTTGCTCACCCCGTCCGGCTCAACACCGGCGATATCATCGCCATCGTCTACATGGCTGCCCTCTCCCTCTTGCGGCGTCTCTCCCAAGCTGGAATCAAATGGTATGTAGTCCATAACTCGACGAGGGAAGCAGCTGACGTACTGCAGTTTCATTGCCCCAACCATAACACCAATCTTTCCCTCGAGAACACTTCCTCCAATCTCCCAAGCCGTCACCTCTGCGTTCAACCAATCAACCAGTCCGTCCATGCCGAGGCGTCCGCGTCGAAGGTGCATCGCAAACTCGGCGGCACTTGTCCCATACCCAACTAGGTTGTTCAGGATAGGGTCAAGGAGCTCCCAGGCGTCCTTTTTGCATGCAGGCGTGAGGGGCTTAAGTGTCGACATGAGCTTCCCAAGCTTGTCGTCGCTACCACCCTCCGGTATCGAGTCTGGCAGTCCTGCAAGCGCCTCACGAAGCTGCCGCATGAGGTCTCTGGCCTTGACGATGTCTGTGTCGACAGCCGGCTGTGCTCCTTCCTCAGCCGGAGTTGATGCGAAGGCAGGATTGTCGGCGATTACCTGGGCAGGCGTTGACGCCTGCACGAGCATGGGTGCAAGTGCGGGCGCTATGGGTGCAAGCGCGGGCGCTACGGGGGGAGCTGTCGACGAGCCTTTGGACGAACCAGCCTTCGCCCGAGGGACTAAAGAAGCAAAGAGGGAGGTGAGTGTCTTCTGGACTTTAACCGTTTCTCCCCTCTTCTCTGCTGCCTTCTGTGCCTTCTCCCGTGCTTCCGCCTCCTTCTTCACCTTCTCGGCCTGATCCTTGCATGCCTTGCTCTTGAGGTGCCTCGAGCCGAAGTTATTGACCCCTCCCATGCCCAGCTTCATGGTAATGCCGCATTTCGGGCAGACGACCTTGTTATCGTCGACCGGGAGCTTGCTGAGGTCAACGCCGTCTATGATACCAGGTGGATCAGTCTAAATCGTAATTTAGGATGTTTTTATGTTTATTTAATGGCGAAATCACTGTACCATGCCTCTGGATCGTGTTTGGATAGAATCAACAGACCATCTCTGAGGCCCGAGCACCGATTCAAAGGCAAATAATTACTATATCGGGTAAATACTATGCAGGTCAAACTACCGGCGATCCCGCCCCTACCCTGGACTAACTAACTAACCCCGGGTCCGGAATCACCGGTCCGAGACCCCCTTGAGGACGGGAGCAGACACGACTGGGAAAACGCATGTCGGGTTTTGCCGGGATGGATACTTTCTAGAATCGTAGTCTCTTTTGCAAACCTTGAGACGTGTCTGCCTAAGGAGGACGGCGCTGAAGCGTGTCACTAGTCTTATGTTGTTGATGGTGGGCAGGGATCGTCCAATATTTTAAATCAATGTCACGAGAAAAAAAAATAGAACAGCAAGATAGAAGAGGAGAAAATAGGGGTCAGAACGACTCTAACCCAATGAAAGCGATAATTTTACGCCAACACGCGCGATGTCAAGCCACTTGCGACAGACATAGGCGCACGAATACGGAAAGAGAGCTTGATCGTGGGCAGTCTTTGATTGCTGAGGTTGTCCTTTGGGCACGCCGAAGCTCGGGAGCCGCGTCCAGTCGTACACGGACTGAAATATTGCGAGCAAAGTTTCGTTGGGGAGAGACGAGATTGATGCGCACCTGGCCAGCAATGAGTTCAGTTGGTTGGTTTTTCAAAGTGTTACATACATGTGCGATGGATAATTCTGTGAAACTAGCCCTCCTTGTCGACTGTAATCATTACTGCTCAATACTGGGAGGGAGAGCGGAACACAGTACTTGGCGTCATCACCGCCCGTTATAGCGCCGCCGTCCTCCCGTCCTTAATAGGCAGGTACGTGTCCGAAAATGCGTGGTAAACGCTGTTCTGCCACAGTAATCCCCACCCCAATAGAGGTTTTCAACGCTTTCTTCGATTAACTTCCACCCTTCCTGACTCGGATGACCTGCGTCTGATCTGACCCACCCCCCGCTTTGCACATCTGCGTCACGGCACGCGGAGTCCAAGAACAGGTACCCTCAAATATTGTAGTCACGTCAATCAGTGTTATATGGCTTCTTGGTGTAATGGACAAGTCTTTTAGCATATACTGCTTGAAAGTAACTAGAGCTCCATAACAGCCGCGAATTCGGTAGCGATATAGACAGAGGAAAACGAACTGTGGGTTCATAAAGCGAGCAAGCTCCAGGGGTAGCACATATGGAGAAAGCAAACTGCGTTTACACCTTTCTTCATCGCAAGGTCGTGTTCTAACATCCTGCTTCGCCGCCATCCCCAGTCACCCCTCTGCCCTCACCACATTCCAGTCGTCTCCAGTTAATATGTCATGGGCCAGGAGATATAGCCCACGTTCTTCTCGATCAGCTTGAGTTCTTCTAGGGTGGGCATATTCACTGTTCCCGAGACATAGAGGCATTCTAGAGGGGATCTAGCAATCTGTCTCACTTCACACAGCCGCAGAAGAGCGGCAGGAGTGAACAACGTGCAGTCGGCGATCGTGATTCGTCGTAGGTTTGGGCAGAAACTCTGATCCTCCGCGAGTGAGTCCAGTATGGCGTCGTCAAAACCAGGCGACTCGCTGACGTGCAGATGGTTACCGTCCCAACACTTTAGTACTGCGCGTACACCGGAAGAGCTGTTGATCTCGCTCAGTGTGATAGAGGAATGCAGGCCTAGGCGCTTGCGTAGCCTGAAATCTGCTAACTTGCAGTTCGTGAAGCTAAGCGACAGTTCTGATCCCTTCCTCTCCAAATATTTGATAAGGAAGTCCGAGACCGATGGACCATCCATAGATGATAGGTCCCAATGTGGAAGTTCGTCGTCATTTAGTGGTGGCTCGACTGAGAAAGGCGGAGTGTCGTCGTGTGGTAAAGAGGGACTATGTGAAAATTCCACATCTTCGAGGAAAGCGTACGTAGTGTTCGTAGATGCAATTGAATCAACGAAGTGAGTGGTTGAAAGGGGGTAGATCCCCTTCAACGGTCGATACCGCGTAGCGCCGAGATAATAAAGCTCCGGGTTCCACATGGTTCTCAAGCGCGCGAAATCCGCAAGGCTGCGGGCGTCCAGAAACACCGAGTCTAGCTTGGGACAGTCGAGCAGAACAACATCAAATGAAGCGTCTGTGTCCGTAATTGATGACGTGAGCAACAGTTTTTCCATCTCTGGCATGGTGGCGTTGTTGAGATAGTTGCCAGCGAGTATGGTGGAAGAGCGGTAAAGGCCGTCGAGCTTCAACTGGGCACATCTACGGAGATGAGGTTGAAGGCACTCCATGGCAGACGTAACGCGGCCGTATTCGTATTCGGGGCTCATGAGAGGCGCTCCGACGTAGTAGAGATGGACAAGTATCATCTGTCTGCGTGATGCGTCGAAGAGGAGCTGCATTACCTCGCGAGTTACATGCGGAGCATCGATGAGGATGGCGATCCATGTCCAGAAGCTATCATCCATAGCCATGACATCAAGCCACCTGCGGCAAACCCAGGCGCATGAGTATGGAAAGAGGGTTTGGTCGTTGGGATCAGCATGGTACTTGGGCTGCTGTGGGGTGCCGTTGTACACGGACTGGAATATCGCAAGCAGGGTCTCGTTAGGGAGAGACGACATTGAGGCGCATCTGCAGGTAGATGACCCATGAGATTAGTTACTTGGTTCTCGGCGTTGCATGAGCAGGGGGAAAGCTCAAGACACATACACTGCTTGACGATCACAATCCATTGATGATTGACTTCGCAAGTAAGACTGGTAGTAGGGCGAAACTTAACCTCAAGAGCTCAAGGTCTCACACGCGTCACCCTTTAGATAGATCGTGGGAAACATGACCATCTGTGTTGTTTTATGCCGGTAGTGCTAGTGACCATGGACTCAGAGGACCATGGTATATGTTGTATCATGGATCTTTGCACTTCTGAGTGGACTAACCTCAGGCTACAGACCTCTAGCGAATGCTTTACCAGCTTGCAGGGTGATGACACCGTCTCTTGTCTATATCGCCGCTCAACAGAAACAATATCCCATCATCAGCCCAAGGTTCTTGCCAAATCCTATTCAACGCGTTCGTAACGCATTAGGGTACGTGATGATTTAGAGCTCCTACATCGTATAGGTCACTGAATTTTCGTACAGCGTTTACTACCATGTCGCGTCCCGATGAAAATTTCAACACTTTCCGTTCGATTAACCTCAACTCTTCCTGACTCGGCCGACCTATGCCTACCGAGATCTCTACCATCTCCAGCATTCGTTCCGATCCACGTCTCGCTTTGCACATCTCCATCATGGTGCGCGGAGTCCAAGAACAGGCACCTTCAATCGCCAGCGAAGCGAGGTTTGAGCAAAACTCCAAAATCTCCTCGATCATGTGGATCAAAGTATCGTCAAACCCTACACAGTTTCGGATTAAAAGGCTTCCTACATCCCATCGAAGAAGGATTGCACGGACACAGGCTGGATCCTCAATGTTGGCAAGTTCGAGTCGGGTTATAGGCGTAGATCTTTTGTTCTGTTTCGCTCTTAGGGTCAACACGGTTGATCGCATTCTTATCTTGACCCGTTCGTGCTAAGGCAGACTGATTATCGTATGGAGGGCATGAAAAGTGTGTTTGGTATTATGCTGAGGTGTTATATCCGAGCTGATCTACCCAGCTGTTCTCGGTCCCTGTGCTGCGAAACGTGTTGAATAATGTGTGGCACATGAGTGGCACATGCCGAGTCTTTTTCCATGCGGCTTCAAAGTGCCCGCTTTCTTGGCACTCTCAATATGACCTCCGCGTGACGCCACCACACTGCTTATCCAGCGCAGCTCACTGAAAGGAGAAAACACTGGTCGTGAATCCGTAAGTACTACCTCATCTTAATATAACACCCTCGTCTAGCCCCTATGCCAAAAGTATCTTCTTCTCGAGCCTTCGTCATGAGGCGTGAAAGTCGTTTTGTTGCCTGGAATAACTCATTCATCAAAGTAAACTCACCCCTTCTCGAGCTTCTGGAGCACCATTTGAAGGCCACTATGACATCAAGGATAATTTTGGCCCCAACAGGACTCTACTATCGGCCTCGCATTACTGGACAGATGGACATAGAGCGCACCGCTAACAAGGTCGGCCCAAGCTTAGGTTCAGCTATCTTATCACTGTTGTAGTGCCACAAACTGCTGGGCCACTACAATATGTTATCTCTGCACCTAGTGCGCGCTTCTGCGTCAGGGGTTCTCCGTGGCTGGCCCCGACGGTCTGGCCACTAGCCCAGCCCGAACCCCTGGTCTTGGGTCAAGAAGCCATACCACTCCGCGTGGGACGCGCGGTCCCGTATTTGCCTCAGAACACATCGACCCCAGATTTCCAAAGTGGGATGCGCGATTTGATGGATACCCAACGTCCGTTCGCTATTGGTCCAAGGGGGATCCACAGGAACACACCGGGCTGCAGGGGTTCCGCCCGGTGGAGATGAGGCATTTCTTGAACGCTCGCTGCAAACGAGCGCAAATATGCCTCTCAAACGTATAAAAGAGGGTCGGGTTTTGCGCTAGAGAGGCATCGACACAACAATTCCAGTCGTACAACCACATCCACCACTACAACCCACAATGCAATCTGTACGCACTCACCTCTTATTTACCCTCGAAACACGGACAACTGACGCTTGCGCCCTATCCATAGACCACTCAGACCCCCGTCAACAACGCCGGTGCTTGCGGCGTCAGCAGCTGCAACTGCGGTGACTCGTGAGTGGACCTTCACCGTATGCCTTTAATTCGAGTCCGCTAACGTCCTCTTAGCTGCCAGTGCGCGGCCGGCTCCTGCAAGTGCTAAATGCGCTGTTACCTACGCGCACAAGCATGCTTCGCTCACTAGTTACGTTGTTGAGTGACGCAACCAAGGAGAATCAATGTGTATATGTCGTGTATTGAATATATGAAGGTGTATCGTGTTGCTTCGTAGCCTATGAGCAGGAGGTTGACCATTTCAAAGTGCGAGTTAGATTCAACTTGGATCTTCTGTCTCAGAGCAACGAACGCTCACTGACCAGCCTGCTATATTGCCGTGAATAACACACAATCGCATTAAATCGTACATGCAGCGTGAACATTTGTTAGACTAGTACACGTACAGGACTTTGACTTCTGCGAATATTACAATGGGAATCGATATGCACCACCCTTTCCCTCAGTCGCCTCCCTCTCCAATGCCTTGTTGAGCTTCGATAAATGCCGTCTAAAGACCCAGCTCATGGCGATGCTGAGGCCGGAAGCGGCGATGCATATGCCGTATGAGTACCGGTACGACGGGCCGTAGTTCGTTGGCCAGATATACCTTCGAGAGGAGACGGGGTCAGCACAGGAAGAAGATCGAATGAGGCAGGGAGGCACGCACGACCCTGCGATATCACCCAGTTGGGAGAACGCGTTGATGAACGCAATGGCGGCCGCTCGCCGCGATGGTGGCCAGTAAAACGAGCTGTTCATCCACGCGTACGAGATGATCAGGCCTGAAAATGACTGGGCCATGAGAAACCTGCACATCCGGCCGGTTTAGCGTTGACATCGAGACGCTCAATGAGCGTGCACGTACAATGAAAAGTATCGTGCACCAATGTTCATCGTGCTCATCGCAATGATGAACCCAAGTATGCCAGCTCCTTCAGAGACAGCCATGAGATTGAACCGTATTTGGAGTTTGTCCGAGATTCTGCGAACGCGCGTCAGCCAGCAGCTCTTGAATACTTGAGGAAGGCCTCACCTGCAGTACGCGAAAGAGAACAAAGTCGCAAAAATATAAGGGGGAGCGCACATGAGGAGAGTGACCGTCCGACCGTAGCCCATCGTTGCCGCCAGCGTAGGTAAAAACAAATTAAAGCTTAATGCCATGATCCGCGCCGTCATCGCCATCGCGTACCACCACGTCTTCCAGTCCGTGAGCGCGAGCCGGAGACCACTCGTACCGGCGTTTCCCTGAGATGTCTCCCCGATAGATGCGTCCTCCTCTTGCATGCGCAAGACAGCGAGTGTGCGCTCGGCGTCTGTTAGGCCCCTAGTGTTGTGTGGGAAGTTGGGGAGGATGAACAGCGCGAGACAGGCGAAGAAGATGGTGAGGCTTCCTTCGATAAAGAATAGCCACCTAAAGTGGACGCAATGCATCAAAACCAACAAGCGCTCGACTGACGCGACGGTGCTTACCTCCACGCAGCTTGACCAAGCTTACCCTCCATAGTGTCCAGTATTCCCGCCGCGAACAACGATCCAAACGCATTGCTTAGAATATTCCCGCAGAACAGAACGGCGATGCGTAGACCCAGCTCTTCGCGTTTGTACCACATGGATAAAAGAAGCAGTGACCCAGGGAAGAACGCTGCTTCGACGAAACCCAGAAAGAACCTCGTCATGAGGGCACCGACGAAGCTATAAATCTTTAGAAACCGACAATGAAGATGACACGATAACGTACTCATGACAGATACCTGGTCGCAAAGAACGTTTAGTCTCATCGGAGCATCGCACATTGCGGCATTACTCGTACCTGTAAGGATGGACATCGCACCCCAGACAACCATCGATCCTGCTATGATCATAGCAGGAGCGCCGCTCTTGTCAATTAACATGTTTCTGAGAGAAGCATCGTTATCCCAGCAATCATCTATGGCACCGTGAAGAGACTTACGCTGGTATTTGCATGATGATGTATCCGACGTACGCGATGGATATGATGGAGGCGTACTGTGAGTCCGTGAGATTCAAGTCTGATTGGAAGCCACGCAGGCGTGCTGCGCTGAGAGGGGCCGTTCGTCAGCGAAGTGGCATATGAGGGACGTGGCGACTGACCTTGCATTGTTCCTGTCAATCTAGTGTTGCAAGATCAGCAAGGTCGCATGTGGAAGATCCAAGATATGACGTGCATAGTTCAGGATATAGATGATACCCAGTATTGACATGCGCAAGTCGATCTTCCAAAGGAGCCTCCTCTCGAGCTTGCGTCGCCCCTCAGGCCCCCCAAACCCAGCATCGCGGCTAACTCCTGCGACCTCTATCTCTTCGCTCAAAGGTTTGCTGGGTTCGATAGGCTGCTTCTCGGTCATCATACTGGTAAGTTGTGCGATGACGGAGATAGGGAAACGGGCAACCGCTCGACATTATGCCCTTGTTGACCCTGTATACCGATACCGCTCCAAGATGAACGTCAGGAGGTGCATTCATTTCCACTTTAAACAAAGAAGCGTCTCCAAAATTAGGTCGGCTCCGCTGATGGCCGCAGGCCATGTGATAGACGGGACCGACCTCACGAACATTGAATGGGAAAATTCTGCAGTGTCGTCTTCCAATATCGTCTGAGTATGGTCCAAGTACCGGTATTCGCCACGACATGCATGAACCGGAGTTGGATAGATATTCCAGCTGCGTTGGTAGCACTATCGTGTGGCTGCAATGTTTGGAGAAAGAGAGCTAGGTCGTATCAGTCCTGGTGCTATCGGTGCCGCAAAGTATGCACTTTAGGCATGGACATAGTGCGGACGTACCACTATGCACCGTGATGAGATTCTGGTAGGGAGCTGCTGAGCATAAAGTAAGTTGACTTTGCAGTGATTGCCGCTGGTGTGAATTGTGTAATAGTATGCTCACGTACGCGCAGTTCACGAGGCAAGCGCAAGAGCGCAAGAGAGGTCTCGGTATTCGGATGGTCGGAAGACTCGGAACAGGTGGCCCAGCCATACTTCTCACGGTGGTCGGACTCAATCGCGGGATGTCCGACATTTGTCTGTTGTCTGTTCTTCCATCCACTTCCATCCCAAGTCAGTTCGCGATCGAGTGGCTAAGACTCAGAGTACCCGCAGAATATTCAACTCATAATGAACCCGAAGTCTCTGCTCTCGCATGCTCACCAGGTAACTGATTCTCCAACAAGGAACCAAGGGACTATATAGCTAAGTGATGTGGTGAGAGCACCAAGCACTGGGACGACAGCTTGAGCGACTTTCTAGAGCCAATCCCGGCATCAGGGATCATATGGATACTTCTCTGATTTTGAAATGACCATAGGTTGGAAACATTGTACTGTACATGCACCCATCATATAGAAAAACAACCGAAATTCTACAGCTCTTCATTCAAGACCTCGCTAGTATTTACGAAAGCCTGGAAGATGGCTCTCTGAGGTTGCTGTTTTGAGTTGCTGAACTCGTAATTATACGTAAGTTATATGATGCATAACCAACGACAACATAACCAACGACGAACTCACTAGCCTCTGGGCCTAACTGAACGGTAATCATGGAGCCGATCGCATTCAGAGTATTAATGCTAATCGATCCGGCTTGCTCCTTTCCTTGTTCCTGGGCATTCCCTACCCTGTTTTGGAGCCCAACGATATGAGATCCCACGCGCTCGTGCATAAGCTCGTCATGGCGTGCCCAGTGTGGCTGAATATTGGCTTTCTATAACAGGTGTACTACACTTTAAGATCGGTGGCTTACCGAGATAAACGTTCGTAGGGCGTGACACTCATTGATGTGAATTGTTACCTCCTTACAATTCCTGAGACAGAACGACTGGAAGGTGGTCAATGCTTGGAACCGCTGTTCCAGCGTGTGTTGTGTCTCTCGGCATCTGATACATGAATCAGATCAGCAACTCCGAAAGGTCGTTTAAGCAAGAACGGGGGAACGTACCGAGTCAATCGTCTCTCAAACTCGGTGACGACCTCATGAGGCATGCGCTCGCGACGCCAGCCATGGTCGTCTTCGGCAGCTTTCATGGAAGATGCCGCGACCTTCAGCTGGCGACCAACAGTAAAGGAGATTGAGTGGGGCATGGTGGGAACGGTAAAAGCCGCAAATTTCCCACACCTTTCCCTTGCGCTCCTTTATAGTCCGAGCTTTGGGCTGAGCCTCCGCTCACATCCTTTTGGAACAAATGCTGTATGCGTGCTGTGTGAGGAAGCGTTGTCGTTTCTGGCTATCAGGGCTTACGTGGTACGGGTCATCATTGAGCTATCTATCTATGGGATGGCGTCAGCACCGTGCAAAGGCAGCTGACTGGTGAGAATTTTGAGATGCACTGTCTTTTACAGCATCAGTGTCAGCCCAACGGGCTGGTACTACGTGTTCTCGTGATCAATCTACCGCCATCGAATACACCCCCGTTTCTCACTCGAAATATCTATTTACGGATTTCACTTGGTGCGTCGTCAACATCATGCCGCCCACCTGGTCATATGTGTATCGATCATGTTGATTTCTCAACCCAAACACCGCGCCCAAGCCCCGTTTCCGTTTGTGCGAGCATAAGCCTGACTCTCAACGAAGTTATCCACGGTGCACATGCCATCCCTGGCTCCGCAAAACGTTAGCGGTTGCACCAAGTCATTCACTAAAATGCGGATACTAGGCGTCCCATCGCAATCCATCTTCTCTACAATCATAGGCGCAGAGAACGGGACCAGCCTAGAAGCGAACCACGTTCTCTCCGCGTCGGGATGGCTCGTGCTCAGGTTTTCAGTCTGAGGGAAGAGTCCGAGCGCCGAGAAGATGGCGATCATCGTCTTGTCGTGCGTGAAATCCGCATAGAATGTACGATTGAGCGGGAACGTCTTGGGCGAGCCGTCGAGAGTGCTGTTCGTCTGCGTCTCGTCTTGCACTGGCTGGACCGTTAGACGGGCGATCAACTCGTTCACCCACCCAACACCTTGGACAGGCCCGAGCGGGTTGCCGTATCCGGTCGAGTAGAAGTCATCGAGGTCGATGTAGTACTCGAGGCCCTTGAAGTCGTCTTGCGTGAAGATGCTGCAGAAATTGCTCGGCTTCTCGAACGCGACAGTTTCGAACGGGCAGAGCTGCAGGAGGTTGACAATGTCGGTGCTGTTCAGATGGGCCCCATGCGCGGCGTTGTTGATACGGTCTGCGATTGGAGGGGCGAACACGTTTGTCCAGGCGGCAGTTTGATTCTGGGACGTCGGAGCGGTGGGGCACATATGATTGTCAAGGGTGTCATTCCGTGACTCGTCGAGAGTGACGGATAACGGAGGTGGAGAAGGAAGGGCTTTGTCGCTGGCGAAGGCGAAGCCTTAGCGCAAGAGTACGGCGTGTTCAAAGGCTGACTTGAGAGGCGAAAACGGGCTACTCACCAGCACTCCAGTTCAGGGCTGTTTCCACAACTCGCTCCGAGCTAGACGCGCGCACAAAAGGGAGCGTAGTCGAATTCACCAACGATGCGTAGCGCGTATAGTGAACCTGGCCCGCGTCAAATGACCTAGTATCACTGTCATATCAGGGAAGGCTATGAGACCGTTGACACAGCGAAACATACTGAGCCGCTCCAAAAGGTATGAGGACGTCTGTCCCTAGCTGGTACGTCCAGTTGGAAAGGAAGCCGTACTGCGACCCATTGAAGCTCTGCGCACCCTTTAGCTTCTCTGCGCTCGCCTGGATCAGCGGGCCAGCACCACTGGTCGGATACCGGGCACCATGTCGCTCGAGCTGGTTTCAGTGTAGGTATGTGGTTTAGCGCTCTCGCCGGACGCAAACAACAGCGGGAACGGGCGACGCACGAGATTGACCTGAGTAACGGTGCATCCCTCCGGCGGCGCAGTGTAGTTTCCGGCATTGTAGTATGGCGAGTATGCTCCCCAATATTGTGTGATCGAGAAAGGGACATCGATGTTAGGAGCGGTGGGGACTACGTCAGCCGTAGCAAGACCTGTGAGCGCAAGCACCCCCAGAAAACGGCACTGCATCGTGGTTTTCATGGAGCAAGAGGGAAGTAGGCCCATGAAGCAAAGCAAAGCCGAGAGGTTCATGGCTGGGAAAGGTTTCTGGCTTTATGTATTGTAAATCCTTGCAACCGGAAGAACCTATGCCCGCACCTGGATTAATTCAGATGGATGTCTTCCTCGCGCGGCTTTACAGAACTTGCTCTTGGCCATGGTTGCTTCTGATTCCTGTTGTTTCAGCACGGTGTTACCAGCTTATCCCAACATCAGCGCAAGATTACATACTTCTTAGAGTTGACACACTGAAATGTGTTGCACTCGGAGATTGGGGACGGTGCAAAGTGTCGTTTGTAACGAAGGTGACATGACAGACGGGCTCCGTCCATGTAGGAAAGCGCTCCTGGGTTAGGGTTCCGGCGTTAGCCGGGACGCCGGGTCTTCGGCTCCATGCACTTGGGCAACGCCAGCTCACCATCACGCACCAACCTCGCGAGCTGCACATCTTCAAGGGAGCCTGGCTCTGCTAACACCCTACTGAGAACATCCCAAGCTCATGAGCTTAGCTTCCAGACCTTGCCTCAAAAACTTCTTCCGGATACATCTGCTGTTGTTCACAAGCTGTCCAAGCTGACATGACGACCTGCATCCTCAGGACGGTAGCAGGGATGGCCACTTTCGCTATATCTGGTTCGGCTCTACGAGATCAAAGTCCGCTCACCACAATCAGACTTTTTCACTACTGGTCATAGGTCAAAGGATTGAGGATACCCAAACGCAAGCCTAAGCACCAAAACACAGCCCTGCTTCCATACTCGTGCGCATGAGTTTACCGCAGTTAACTTGACTATTTGACTATGGGTGCACGCTTCTGGACGCGGGAGCTCATTCATGCCATTGCTCCGTAGTTCTTGGGAGAGGTTCATACGAATTTTTGCCGACGCATCCTACAACAAGCTCAGACGACTATCAGCTCTCTGTTACGGACAAATGAGACGATAACAAGGACATTGGGACGTCTAAATCTGTATGTAAGGTAGGTGGCGTCCTCTTACTGAGTTCAACTTAGCGAGAAGAAATGGCGAGAGTATGGTGCAGTCACTTGCGTGGGTCACGCTTTCTCAGAGATTCAAGTTTTGGTCAGTCGAGCGCCTTATTTATCCGCAAAGGTTTCACTGAGAACGTTAAATGCGCATAATGACGTTCATCACTCCGGCGAATACAACACAACAACAAGGCACATCGATATTTGCTTCGTACATCAAACACAGTTACTAACACATCCATACTTCCACTTCTTTCCAAACTACGTCGTTGATCGCGCAGCAGAATAATAGGCCCTTAGCACTTGCAGGTGCCCGCAGAGCATTGGCAACTGCGAAGGGGTCAGCCGATTCAGGAAAATAAGATATACCGAATGTACTGACGTGTTACCGCAGCTGCAAGTCGAGACGCCGCAAGCGCCTGCGTTGTTGACGGGGGTCTGAGTGGCCTGACAAGTGGAGAGGGAAGTTAGTATCTTCGGTGCGGAATATGGCAGGAGTAGTACTCACAGAGTGCATTGTGAGTAGTGAGGATAAGGATGAGTTGTCGAATTGAGGTCTTTGTTTGGTGGGGATTGTTGTTCAGCTTGAGCCCTTTTTATACGTTCTGAAAGGGCGATTTGTTCTAGTTTGCGACATCATCCACAAAATGCCTCAGTACCACGACGGGGAACCGCTGGAGGCCCGGATTTCCCCTGTGCATCACTGCCAACGAGTGACAAGGGATGGAAGTTCCTCCATCAAATCGCGCATCTAATTTTGGCAACGCGATGATCATGAGACTTGTCAACTTCTCTGGTTCGATTGGTCACAAGAGCTAGAGAGGGTGCTTTGACGATCCAGGACAGCGGTCATCGGTACCGAGCCATTGGAGGATTCCCATGATGAGGGTCATTGTGAAGTAGTAATTTTGAGGTTATACGCCTTCCTATTACCTCAAAGTCAGTTAGTTCTTCGATGACATACAAAGGGAAGGTACCGTCGGGACCCGCTCGTGCAGTAGTTTTTCCTTTACTTTATAGGTCCTCATAATTAGTTCCTTGGCTAAACCGAGGAATTAGCTCTGCTGACATTTTTTGGAGCTGAGGTGCTAAAGGCTTGCTGGTTGCTGCCTTCAAGGTAAATGTATATCGTACGATGATTGGCAAGGACAATCGAGCGTGCAAGAGTTCTCGCCACCGCTCTCATTGGCATGATGTCGTAGATGGGCCGTCATGTAGTAGTATTTACTGCAGGGCCGCGCCAAACTCAACGAATACTATGCGGAATAATTCATTTATCTCCGCCGTTCAGAATCATGTGTATGACAGATAAGATAGCTCCCGCTAATTCGCCCGGCTGGGTCCAGGTGGAGAGTGAGCTTACACTTGGAAGGCATTCAAACATATCCGATGTAGGTTAATGGTGACGGCACCGAGTAATGTGCTAAGGGGTCAATGACCTTAACCAAGCATAGAACTGGTATAGGGCCCACTTGGTTAAGCGTAAGTAAGGCCTGCGACTCTAAGCTGTCATCAAACGACACGTGGGAATTACTTTGTTGTCTTCTTTTTGCACTTCATCGGATACTATCGGCCGACAATAGGTACGAGCCGCCAGGTTGCATCAGGGTACTGTTAGGAAGGAGAATCAAAGATATGGCAGCGATCAGGTCGGCAGGAGGCAGGAGCTGAACCCGATCAAGCAAAGCTTCGGTTCCATCGCGAGACATAGAAGGGGGAAGAATCAAGAAGCCGAGGATACCAGCTGAGAAGTCGGAGAACGTAGCGTATAGCGGAAGTTACTGTCCTAGTCGAGGTAGGAAAGAAGCTACAACAGTGTAGAAGAGCAAGCAAATTGGAATGCTCAATAACAACTCATGGCATGCAGATTGTTGCCTTCCATGAATAGAAGACATAGCAAGAAAGAAGACGCCCCGAATTGTCGGCTCCAGCATTATGCCCTGGAATGCTTGTGACGCCCTTATCTCGGGGACCTCCAGTCTAGACTGCACCTCAAATTTCCTCCTACCCTCCATCACCGCGCAGGCCCAGCCAGAAAGCCCCCATGCATCCCTGCCTCAGAGTGGTGGAGCTTCAGTCTCTCATTGCCCACTCGGTTGAGGATAAATTTACTCTTTCTAGCCTTGCTCGAGTCAGCAAGTCGCTCAAAGAACCTGCTCTAGACGCCCTCTATGCCGAAATTGATTGCCTTGTCACATTCCTCAAGGCTTCACTTGCAAACGTAGCAGCTGTGGAGGAGACGCCAGAAAATAGCAGGAATGGTGCGGAGCGGAATCTAGTAAGTCTTCGTCTTGCTTCTCGCATGAATCGTTTTCATCAAAAATGATCTTTTCTATGGTTCTTACTCGTCGTATGTCGCTTAATGACTGGGGTGTTTTCCGCTCTTTTGCTGCTCGCGTGGTGGTCATCCGAGATTCCACACTCTGGTCTCAGCGTCGCCCGCCTGGTCTCTCCCGTGACCTATGCGATTGTCTCTGCCGGTGCCCCTTCCAGCGGCCGTTTTCGAGACTTCGGTCTATGACCCGATCTCTCACGCTCAAACATGAGTGTCGTATGATGTGTTTCCTGTTACTCGGTCCTGAGCTTCGCTTCCTTTCTATTTGGGTCTCTCCAGAAGAATTCCTGTCTTACGCCCCAAACCTCGCCATGACGTGCCCCCTGATGCAAGATGTTCGCATTGCGTATTCCGATAGTCCAGATGCCCTTCTCTCTATGTCGGAGAATGTATGCAACTGGAAACACCTTCGAAGCGTAGATTGTGGACCTGTAGACGAAGACATGCTTATTCACCTTGCCAACATACCTTCTTTAAACTCGCTCACGGTCTGGGTTTCCAAGGACTCGCGATGGTTGACGTCCATCCGAATCCCTCCTTTCAGAAAAATTTCCATTCTAACTCTATAGACCGACGCTAGCAATACCGTCGTACAAGCGTTAGGGTGTCTCTTGGGTGGCTCAACGACTGAAGTACACGACCAGCGTGCTATGCTTCCCGATATGACATGGCTCTATGTAGATTCTGCATATCTGCTAGTATTTGCCGCATCTCTTCGGCGGCTCTGCTCGGACACTCTCGCAAGTATCGTCCTTTCTCATTCCGTCGATCACAAGGATCGCACTCAACCGCCTTCCAATCTTCACTTCCAAGCTCTCTCAGCTTTGGCCTCGTTTCATGCTCTTAAGACTCTCTGGATTGAACTGGAGATGGAAGATCGGGTTGAAGTATCCGGGCAGCAGCTGATCGCACTTGTTCCAAATTGGCCCCAGCTGGAGAAACTACGTATCTACCCCTTCGATACCAGCGACGGTATTTCTGTATCGTCTCTCGCTGGTATTTTGCAGCACCTTCCAAATGCATTCGAAGTGTCTGTCCCCACAACGATGTTTGACTCCGACTTCGATGATCTTCCTGACATGTACCCGACGTTCAAGCAGGTGAAGCGGCTCTGCATAGCGTACGAGGAGCACGACGTCGATGAGGTGCCAGGATTCGAGGGCTTTGACGAGCTTGTGAGCTTATTATACAGGATAGCGCCTTCCTTGGACGAGCTCGACTTGTATTGGGGGACTTGGGGGGGGAGCCTTTCTATCCTGAAGTGCTGCGTGGTATAGACGACATGAGAGAGGGTAGGTGGGTTGCGAACCAGTACGCGTCGGACGAGCGGTCTTCGGACGAGAAACATACGAGTGTGGATAGCGGAGAAGAGGAGTAGTTGGGACCTGAGTGCAAAGGGCCGGGCAACGAGCCCCCATTTTGTGCCGACCACTCTGCTGTCGTCATTGCATTCGCCCGCCCAAGTGTACTAGAGTACAAATAGCTACTTTTGTCGTATATATGCTGCTCAATCATCGCTCAGAAAGGGTACTTAAGCATCAAAGCATTCATGGCCTGGATGGCCTCGACGCGATAGTCGTCTTGCGTAATGTTAAGAGGGATATCTCCGTCGAGTAAAGTGAGCAAGCTGGGGGAATCCGTCGTGTACTTGGGCCATTCGACGTCGACGTTGTTCCCGTTGGGGTCAAGATTTGCGACGAAGCGAATGAAGTAGGCCGCTAGATCTCCACCTCCGTAAGCGTTGGTAAGCTCCGAGCCATGGTCCTAGAAGAAGGAAAAGGCTCGTTAGTGGGCCGTATCTAATGAGAATGAGGGGAAGGAGCCTACCGATCCAAGGTAAGGAGTCGACTTTCCGCGTTTGTAAACTGGACTGTAGTGAGGGATAAACAGGAATCGATATGTGCAACACGTACGGTATGCCCAGGTCGGCTGCATTGCAGACCTCTCCTGCAACAAGAAGCGGTGCGGTCCTTGGAATGTCATGTCGCCCAAGACCGCCGCGATACGTTTGAATTGAGGGGTCAGAGCGTTTTGGTTAGAGGTGTTGAAGGGAGAACCGTAGACTGGATCGCTTGAGTAGGATGATAAGACATGTTCGATCTCATCGGAGGTCGCGTTCGGAGCGTAGTACGTTTGTATGTACGTGAGCAGCTCGTCATCGGTCCTGTGGTACCGTCAGTTTCTAGTCTCGATAAGCAAGGCTACGCGGCTAGCTCACGTTACATTAAGAGTCGTGAATGAGAATAGGGTCCCCTCGTCGTCGTTAACACCGTTGATGAAAGGCACGTCGGCTATAGATCCTTGCTTGACGAGCTGCTGAGGATTGTCAGTCAGGAACACGCCATCTACGCGAGGGATCCAAGCTGTAGCCAATGCCTTCGAACGTCCCTCAGTTACGATATCAAAACCAGATGCACACCTGAGCCTACCTGGTATGAAAACATATTTGGCGTGCTATTGGTCGCACTCATGAGCGCTTCGAAGGGTGCATTTCGAAGGCAGTCGAGCGTGTCTGACGAGTTCGAGCATCCCGTCTCGTCAACGATATGATCGTAGTAAGGCTGCCCATGGGTGATGTTGCCGAGCCACAGCGGAGCACCGGAGTCCATGATAGCTGCACGGAACAGACCTTCATTGTTCCCTTTGTTGGCGACCAACTGTGCGCCTACTGAGATAGCACCCGCGCTCTCGCCCCAGCTGCGTTTACCACGTAAGACACCAGGGGACTATACACAAAGTTGATGCTCATGCTTACATCGTGACCTTGGATGGGTCGCCCCCAAACTGGGTGATGTACTGCTGGAACCATCTCATTGCTTGGCGTTCTATGCATTCCGTGGGTTAAAGGATATAGTGAAGCCTTCGTTACGCTTACGATCTTGCAGACCGAGGTTGCCAATGCCAGCATCCTGGACTTCCTCACTGGCCAAAAAGCCGAATACTACGCCGATGTCAAGATCAAACGCCGCTGTGAGGTAATGGAGGATAATCACTGTTTAGCCTAGTTGAAGGTATGGGTCAGCCTCGATATTGCCGATTAGTTCAAGGATTGTTTCTCGCTTACCTATAGTTCAAGCTTACGTACACCACTGGAGTACCAAGGGAAACGCTCTGATTCACGAGAATAGAGCCATCGGTGCTTCACAGGAAACGTGGCTGAGTCAAAATCAGAAGACAAAAATGCATCGCGTACGAGCTGGGGTACCCGATCTCAAAGCCACCTTGACATAGGAGGGAGGCTTCTTTAGTTCCTTACTCGTGTGTTACAGTCATCAGGCGTACCTCCGAATATCCACTATTACGGTCACCGGCGTAAAAATAGCGAAACGGGGGAAATAGTGTGAAACGCACCAGGACCACAGGTAACTTCGAATCAGGCGTTGCGTCGGCAGGTGCGATGATGTTCACTGTTAAACCTGCATACCGGACAATTCGACCAACCTCACATGGGAAATATGAGCAAAACCTACTCACAATCTTCCGATATCGGCAAATCGACCGGAGCGCCAATGCTTCCCATCTCTTCGCTTACTATTGCAGGCACGTCGTCCGGCAAGACCAGTTTTTGAAGTTGCTGAGGACAGATCGGCCCGTAAGTGGTAGCTGAGAAGCTCTGGTTGTAACTTGTGATAGGATGGGGCTGTCGAAGCCGAAGAGACCCGATACTAGCAAATCGTTTGGTTAGTCACTGAAACAAGGTAGTGACAGATGAAACGCTGCGTACGGAGGCTGAACATAAGGAATACCGAGAAACTTGTTGACGGTCCCGTTTGCGACTCCGGTGACTGTTGCATCGTCGAGCCGAACCGTAGGACCAGCTCGTTTCGCGGCTCGCGTTGGGACAGCCCAAGACGAGGTTACCTGAAGCAGAAGCACAAAGAGAGTGCATTGTGCGAGCATCTTTTTGGTGACGCTGAAGCTCGGAGGCGATGCCGTGATGGAAAGAATAATCTCTGCGACTTAAAAGCAAAAACCTTGCAGGAATACGTCATGGCCGTGACTTTGTCAACGTCCGAGCAGCGGGCTTTTCGTCGTGCGTATACACTGACTCAGCGGGTATCGACAGGACGTGTCAGGAACCCACATGGATGCCGGTGGCTTGGTAGCACCACAAAGCAGCATACTCGTGAGTATATTCGTGAGTAGACACACTGATCTGATGATCGCCTTCGTTGAATGCTGGGCTATGCGGCGGGAGTGAGGTCAAGTTGGGACTGATCGTCTGACCGGAACACGGGTGGGTATGCGATTAACCGCTTGGGCCGCGTGGATGCTCATATCTCGGGGAAATCGTGGATTTGGGCCCGAAGATAAGCCAATTGGGATCTTGCCTGGACTTTCGCTTTCGCGAGCGGATTTGATGCAGAGCCTCATCAGCGTATTTTTAGGAACAGCGAGATGATGTACCGGTGATGATGCGCAAGGGATAGCAACATAAGATTGCAAGACCATACATGTCGGAAATCGAGTAGTGGACATAATATATCTGAAACTTTAGCGATGAATACACGAGGGCTGTGAGACCACCGACAGACTCACAGAAATACAATTCTGTGCTTCACACTCTCCTCACCTCACATACCTCCGCCCTTTCCTTGCCCAACCACGCAGCCCTGATACCCCTTCCACCAAGACCACTAGCAACAACGACCTGTTCATCCCCAGGCACCACGTCCAGCATATTATCGCTCCATTTCACCCCATCATCACCCCTCTCAGGATCATCCACGCCGAGTACCAGCCCCTTAACGGGCCGGACCACAGTGGCATGCACAGTCTCGCCGTCATCCTCCACACGTAGACTCAGCCCGGGCTCGGGAGGGTCAAGGAACTTGTACGGTTGCGGCCAGTCCACGGCACGCGCAACAAATTTGCCGATGTCGGGATCTCGGAGAATGGCTGTGACGACGACGGAGTAGGTTGTAGTCGCCTCTGGATTTGGCAACTGCGATGCCGTCTTCGAAGAAGCGGGCGGGCCATGGCAGGGTACGGACGTAAGGAATTCGGTAGACTGGTTCGGCGCAAGAGCGATGTTCCGCATAGACTCGCTGTGCGTCCAATCAGACTCTAGGTCGAAATAGCGGATTTCGAGACTCAGAGTGCGCGATGAGAGGGTGCTGTTTGCGCCCCAGATGTCCAGTGTCGCGCCTGTGCTCTGGAACGCGCCGAACTCGTAGAACTATAAAAATGAAGTTAATGATGAAGCCCAAAAGGTAGGTGCGGGATTATTCACCTGCCGAGGCCTGTCGCACTGCCTGTTCTTCGTTACAGTACGGGATATGCCGATCACGATGGGCTTGAGCTCTCTGGAAATAGTATAGTACGCCGGCTTGGGACGCAGCTAACAGGTTGATGTTGTCAGAAGAACTATTCTGGCAGAGACCTTTTTCGTACGAAATAGTCAACTATAGCCCACGACATGACAGGCCAACTGTCATTCAACTGCCATACGATGGCACCTGCAGTCTGTAACGGTGAGTTAAGCAGAAAGTCTTGGACTAATAAGAACATGATTGAGCTCACGTATTGCTTTCCGGGTCCGCGCCACGCCCTCCTCCACTCCCTATATGCAAACCCCATCGCCTCGGATTGCAGCAACTGCGTGTTGTATACATGCCTACACGTAGTGCCTCAATCAGCTCTCTTCATTCATGCCACCGGGAAGTGAGAAACGCACGTCTCAAGGTCCCCCGTAAGCCTCAGCAGCTCATTCATCAACACCGCAAACCTTCGCTCATACGACCCAGCCTTGCAGTGCTGCGCCATCGCCTTGCTCTGCGCGTAGCGTTGGCTCTTTGGAACGTCCGCCGAGTCAAGCCAGTATTCGATCGTGCGCATGCATGGGAAGGATGGGACGCCGAACTCACTTTATCCGATCATATCACATCAGCCGAGCGCATCAATGGGCGACAAAGCAAGGAAAACGCACCTGACAAATCGCCCGCCCATCCGATCGTAATCATGCCACGGCTTCTCCCCGGCCCAAATGTTCCACTGATGTACGTCGCCCACCGTCGGATCCGCTGTGTCCCAGCCTTCTCCGCCGCATGGCGATCCACGGTGGTATGGGATCTCCGGAGACGTAAGGGACGAGACAAGCGATGGGAGCAGGTGTTCGTAGATCTTGCGCGCGGGGAGGTCCGGGACGTCTGCAATAAAATGCATCAACGAGGGGCAGCGAGAACATCATGCGAATGATGGACATACCACCCCACTGCAACACCTGCTGATAATCCTCGTTGTTCCCGCACAGTAGCGCAATACACGGGTGGTGCCTCAGGCGGACGATATTGTCGATCGCCTCAGCACGGACGCTGCTCACGAACTCATTGTGTGCGGGATAGACGCCACATGCGAACTGAAAATCTTGCCACACCAGCAGCCCTAGTTCTGCAGAGGCGCCGGATTTCAGCCTCGGAAGGGTGTGGCTAGGAAACAAGGCGCATATACGCACCATCACACACGTCATAGAATACATCGGGCTCGTATACCCCGCCACCCCAGAGCCGGATAACATTCTGCCCGCCATCGCGCGCTAAGGTCAGCCAGTCGCGGTATCGACCGGGAGTTAACATGGTGAGGAAGTTGTCGCCTGGGATCCAGTTTGATCCTGCTCGTGCATGTAGTGAGTATGATTGAGTAAGAATGCTTGTTTCTAGGCGATCGTACCTCCTAAGAACATGCGCACCCCGTTCACCTCAAATAAGAACGTCGTGCCCTTGCCGTGTATGTCGGGCTCCTCGATGGACTCTTGGACAAGCTTGACGCTACGAAAGCCAACGCGCTGAGTGTTTGTGTCGAAGATGGTGGTGGACGTTGCCTATTGAAGTTGCGTTACTTATGTCCTCTGGGGTGGAATCGAAAAGGTCTTACATCCGCCCCATCAAGCAGCTCCACCTGAACATCGTACAGATTCTGCTTGCCATACCCCACAGGCCACCACAGCTCGACCTTCCCTACCCCCATATCTGACGAGGATGTATCAAATGACCATGTGAGGGCTTCAACAAACACGAATGCGTCCTCGTCATTCTCGCCGTCGGACCTGGGCCGCATGCTCTCGCGCTTCGTGAGCGACACGACGTCTTGCCTAATAACCCCACCTTGTACTGCGTCCTTGAGCGTGACCCGCGCGCGAGGCGCTTTGGAGGAATTCGCCAGGCCCTGAAGGGAGATGTCGACAATGAGTGACGCAGGATATACAAATTGCGTCGGCTCGGAGGCATTCGGTGAAGCGACAAGCTGGGTATATGCGCGAGCATAGACATTCTTGATACGAGTGGTGTACGAGATGAGCGTGATGGGGCGGTACGGACCGCATGTCATCAGCTCCGGCCCCTGTAGCCGATAAGTATTAGCTTCTGAGAGGAACCGATGAAGCGATGCAAATAATACTCACCCAGTCCCACCGCCAATCGTACTGCGCCTTCCGGACGTACACTCTGCTTGGATCGCCGAGATTGACAGACCCGGCGCGGACAATGCCATATTGAGCCTCTAGATCCTTCGCGATGTGCTTTGCCGACTTGAAGTACAAGAAAAGGACATTTTGTCCAACGACGGGCTCAACGGGCGCTTGCCAAGTGCGGAATTGGTTGTCGGCTGACAGGATGAGTTGGGAGTTCTGGGGCGCGCATATAGTCGAAATGGCTTGGGCAAGTGATGGAGAGGAGGTACGTACCAGGTAGACGTCGCAGAACGTATCGAGCCCTTCGAACTCGATCAGAGAGTTGGAGAGTGCTGTAGCCTCGTACTCAAACGTTGTGCGGTAGAGCCATTCCTTGTCACCAATCCCTATGCCATGCGCAGATTAAGACAAGGAAGCAGAAGAGGAGTAGACAAGGCACGGAAGGATAGACTCACATTGCACCCTGTGCTCGTTGAACCCCACATACGGATCGGGTATCTTCCCAGCCTTGAGAAGCTCAACATGGACCTCCGAGGGAAACGCGTGGGCTGTTGTCCACTCGCTCGAGGTAAGCTCATCGAGCATTGGTTCATTCGTGTCCTCGCTGCGCTGCTTCCAGCTCCATCCAGTGTCCAAGCTTTGGCTTACGACGGCCATGGTCGTCGGTGAGAGGGCGGGTGAGTGCCATCGCGGTTGTGTCCGACATTAATGAACTGTGCGTTGTGAGAGTTTTCATCTAAGAGAAGACCGGATTGCCCTGTGACTTGTCCCGTGAATGTAGATGACGTCGAAAGCAAGCCAGATGACAGCGGTGGTGCGGAGGTTGTGCCGAGACCTGTGCGCCTGTGCTCAACGCTGCACGCGACGGAGAGCACAAGGTCGGCATTTTCCGCGTCGGCTTTTCCTCCGACCATCACCATGATCGCCCACCCATCTTTTCAGCTGGTTGCCGCCAGCCTTGCGCTCTCCACTTTTCCACCTATTTGCAGCATATCTGAACCGATCGCCTAGGCTCAGTGCCCACGGATGGTTCACGTTCAATATAGTCGCTCACACGGCAACGGTTCATCGGGCTTTGGCCCATCCGCGATCTGCTCACCGGATGTGTATATGTTCATACTCCCCTTCATCATCAGGAAATGCAAAAACTTGAAAGAGCCTCTCGCGGAGCACTCCTGGTTCGTTGTCGTTGTTTATTATTCATTTGCCCATCCATCCATCGTTGCTGTCGCTTGCAATGCCGCCACTACTGGCAAACTCTTCGCATTCAATCCCAGATAAATTGGCTTGTCGAGGTACCTCCCATCCCCGATGAGCCTCATTCCCTGGGGAGATAAATGTCGCCTCCAACATCTCTCTTTTAGTGTGCACTTGCTTCTCTTCAGCAGTGCATGCATCGATGAAAGTCAGACATCATTTAATTTCCCTGCCTTTATTCGAGCTTTTCTTCATGTTATCATCAAACTTATCGGCCCCAATGACATCCATTCGATTTCACTATGCTCGCTGTCTGACGATATGCACCCTCCGTTTAAATAGGATACTCCAGCGTTAGATCCGTAATGCCCTTCATCGCCGCAGCGCGATACGTGTCTTGGGTGATCTCCAGCGGGGCAAGCCCGTCGAGAAAAGTGAGCAACTTGGGCGACTCAGTCGTGTAACGCGGCCATTCGATGCCCGTGTCGCCGCTCGGGTCGAGGTTCGCCGCAAACCGGACGAGATAGTCCTACATATCATCGCCCCCGTAGATACCGAGGAGGTCCGAAGCGTGAAACTGTTGTGCCTTGGTCAGCCTCCAGTCCTCGCGCTCAGGAGGGAGACAACGACGACAACTCACAGATCCAAGTACAGGTACCCACTTGTACCTTCTGCTCAAATATGCCCACGTCGGCTGCTTTCCGGACTGACTCTCCAGAAACAGGCGACGCGGCGCTTGGAAGACGATGTCACCCTGCACCGCGGCGATGCGCTTGAACTCGGGCGTGAGTGCATACAAGTCGGATGTATTGAACGGCGAGCCGTCCGCCGGGTCGGATGGGTACAAGGCCATGCCTGCCTCGATCTCAGACTGTGTACCGTTGGGCACCCAGTACGTTTTGGGCCAAGTATAAAGATCAGAATCTGTGCTACAGTCGGTGGTAGCGTCATGACATGCCTTGCAGAAGTCAGATGCAAAGATCGCTCACGTAATGTTCAAAGTGGAGAGGGAGAATAGTGTGCCTTCGTCGTAGCAGTCACCAGTGATAAACGGTACGTCTGCGACGGATCCTTGCAGAACAAGCCGCTGTGGGTCGTCAGCGAGGAACACTCCGTCCACCCGTGGCAGCCACGCCAAGATCAGCGACTAGGCAAAAGCCAAGGTCAATCCATCCCTTCTTTGAATATGCATTCATCGCTGACTTGCCTGATAGCTCAAGATATTTGGAGTTTCATTTATCGCGTTAATCAAAGCCTCGTATTCGACGTCCCTGAGACATTCAAGGGTGTTGTTTGAGCCGGTGCATCCTGTCTGGTCAACCAAGAAGTCGTAGTATGGCTGTCCATGCGTGATGTCGCCAACAGGGATTGGCGAACCAGACTGCATGAATGCGGCACGGAACAGACCCTCAGTGTCCCCGCCGTTTGTGAGCATGTGAAGGGCGACGGAGATGGCCCCGGCGGAATGGCCCCAGCTGCCAGTGTTCAGCGGTTATTGGGTAACAGCGTAGTATGAAGGACAAAGGTGCGCACATGGTCACCTTTCTCGGGTCGCCGCCGAAGCTGCTGATGTACTTCTGTATCCATTTCAGCGCCAATCTCTCTACACATCAACTCAGCCTCTCTGGGAAATCTGGGGGACCCAGCAGGTGGGTGAAGTATACGCACGATCATGCAAACCCAAATTCCCGGCGCCTGCGTCTTTCACTTCCTGGCTGGCGAGGAAACCGAATGCTGACAATGCACTAAATCAGCATGTTCACTGGCTGACTTCTGAATACACCCACCCGATACGCTGGTGAGAGGCGCATGTGTCAAAACCAATTCAAGCATGAATAATGGATATCTTCTCACCGATAGTTCATGCTGACGTATACAGCAGGAACACCGAGCTCAGTCGACTTGTCCACAATCACCGATCCGGGGTATCTAATCCAGCACACCTCAGCTACGAGCGCCACAGAAGCAAACCGATGGACTTACATGCTAGAGCTGCCACCCTCAAAGCTTCCTGCGAGACCATTGAGACTACGAAAGGCGAGAAAAAAGCAGCGGTTGCCTGGAGCATACCTCCAAATATCCACTGAACAAGGACCAACGCATACAAATGATTAGCAACCAACATTTAGCGGAGCTATGGATGTGCGACGTACCGCAATGACAGGTAATTTCGATTCTGGCGTTGCATCAGCGGGAGCGACGACGTTGATGGTCAAGCCTTCGTACCCATCCGTCAACGCCCATCACGCGAGGTGAGCCAATGTCCACGCTAGAAAGTGAACTCACAGTCCTCCGAGCTCGCCGTGACCACGTCGTATATCAAGGTAGTAACGTTGTTGATCGCCGCGACCGCCTCCGCCGGTAACACAGACGGAAGAGGAATCGAGATGTCTTGCTGCGGGCACGCCGGGCCGTATGTTGTCGCGGAGAAGCTCGTGATGTAACTCGGGAGGGGCTGTGGGAGCTGGAAGCGCAGTGAACCCACACTGTTGAGGGGCCGCCTTGTCAGCGACTGGAGGTGACTACGGAAGTGAAAAGAAATATGCACGTACGGAGGCTGAGCGAATGGTATTCCGAGCCACGAGTTTGTTAGAATTCCCGCGACGCCTGTCACGGTCGCTTCGTCGAGCTGGACTGTCGGGTCTGCCCGCTTCGCAACAGGAGTAGGCTTTGCCGTAGCAGGAATTACTTCCAGAACCAGTACCAATGCACCGAGAGCAAGGCGAAGAAAAGTAGCACGTCTGAGCATCGGTCCTAGCAAGGAAGAGAACAAGTGAAAAAGGATAAATCTGTTGCTCGCAGATTGGGTGCAGAATGCACGTACGTAGTCGAATTATAAATCCTAGTGCTAGTGCGCCTAATGACGTACAGTCCATTCCCGTCTTTGGCTTAAGTCTGTCCAAACGTGCGCGCAAGCGCAGACACAGGGAATCAATGTACACCGTCTACATGCAGAACGTGTTATATGAGCCGATTTGGAGCTTACGGTGGGGGCTACCCGCCATTATATTTGTTCTTATTCGGCAGCAATGTTTCTGATCCGCGCCCTGTAGCCATCGCGGAAGTCGGGTCGTACACACGTCAATATGAGCGCCACATCCACACTTTACGTGAAGTTCACAGGCGAGCTTGTGAGGCGTTATTTGACAAAACGAGCCAAGCACTGAACCACCATTACCCTCAACTGATACTTCCGTTGGAAATCAGTAATTTACACCTACTTTGTCCAGATTTCGTTTATCAGATCTGGGTTCTAGGCTACTCGATTTAGTTTAAGCCAACTGTTATCATGTTCCTAACGTGATGCTTATGGTAGCTGATGATTTCAATAGAATGAGGAATATTATGGTGACATCTCTTAAGATGCGTATGGCGATATCGTGCAGTGTGAGAGGCCGCGGTCTTGAGGATGAGTACCGGGAGAAGCAACAAAACAAGCACTATTCAGGCATTCCGAGTCTTGGCCATTGAGCATCTCATAATTTAATCTTACTGTGCATGATACTGTCACAACGCTTTCATTTTTGCGTACTCGACTCGAAAACAGGTACAACAACAGTACTACTTACTTTTTGACGAGTCAGTGAATTGTTGACCATCTAGGTGTAGCTCGTGATGGGATTTGTCCATCATCTTCCCTACAAGCATCACCACTAAGCGTCGTGAATCAAGTACCAGTCAAGAAACTCATGCAGAGTGCATAAGTTGACTCGCAGTCTGTCTACTCCTGCCTCCTTCTTACACGCCCTTACAGGTGCATCGTGGGTGCAGACGGGCCCAAACCTAGCTCCCCTGTAGAAGATTACCACTAAATCTACTACCCTGCTCATCGCACGCCCTTCTCTTCAGCAATGTACGCATAAACGAAAGTCAAACCTCAGTGCTCCGGATCTCGGTGACAACAAATACATATGACCATTTAAATAACCCAAACAATATATCCAATGCAGATCCCGTCAACATATGTCTGACGCAAACTCCCGTTTCAAATCGGATACTCCAACGTCAAATTCGTGATGCCCTCCATCGCTGCAGCACGATAGGTGTCCTGCGTGATCTCCAGCGGTATGAGCCCATCGAGGAACGTGAGCATGTTTGGCGAGTCGGTCGTATATTGCGGCCACTCGATGCCTGTGTCGCCGTTCGGATCAAGATTCGCCGCGAAGCGGACGAGGTAGTCTGCCATGTCACCGCCGAGGTAGACGTTGAGGATGTCCGAGCCGTGGAACTGTCGCACCCGGGCAGCTATTGGTGAGCCATCCAATCCTAGCACTTGCCGAATGACAATTGCGATGACTCACAGATCCGAGTACAGGAACCCATTTAAACCGCTTACTCAGGAACGACCACGTAGACTGTTTGCTCGACTGGTGTTCCAAGAAGAACCGGCGTGGGCCCTGGAAAACTGAGTCGCCCTGGAATGCGGCGATGCGCTTGAATTCCGGGGTGAGCGCGTACAGGTCCGAGGTGTTGAACGGGGAACCGTCAGCTGGGTCAGTTGAGTAGAGCGCCATGCCCGCGTCAATTTGTGACTCGGTGGCATTGGGCAACCAGTATGTCTTGAGCCATGTGTATAGATCAGAGTCGTCGCTGTTTCAGGGTGAGTATATGATGCATATTAGCTGATGCGGAGAGCGCCAGATACTCACGTAATGTTCAAGCCGGAGAGAGAAAACAGCGTACCCTCGTCGTCGCAGTCGCCAGTGATGAATGGCACATCTGCAACAGACCCTTGCAGCACAAGCTGCTGCGGGTCGTCAGTGAGGAACACCCCATCCACTCGTGGGAGCCACGCCAAAATTAGCGACTTCGCAAATACCATGTCAGTTCAACTCATTTACTGTCCCAAAGCATCCAATAGCTCACCTGATAGCTGAAGATGTTTGGCGTTTGATTGATAGCATCCATCAATGTCTCGTACTCCACACCTCTCAAGCATTCGAGTGTATCGTCCGAGCTGGCACACCCCGTCTGGTCCACCAAGAAGTCGTAATACTGCTGACCGAGCGTGATGTCACCAACGGGGATCGGCGAGCCGGACTGCATGAATCCGGCGCGGAAGAGGCCCTCGGTGTTCCCGCCGTTCGTGAGCATCTGCAGAGCAACGGAGATGGCGCCTGCGGATTCGCCCCAGCTGCTCAGACAATTCCATAAACCGCGGTCTGTTGCGTTGCGACAATACATAGGGTACGCACATTGTTACCTTGGTCGGGTCCCCGCCGAAGTTGCTGATGTATTGCTGGATCCATTTCAGTGCCAGGCGCTCTGCAAAACCTATTCAGTGTTCCATCTCAACGATAGGGGCCAAAGTATACGCACGATCCTGCAATCCGAGATTTCCGACACCCGCATCCTGAACCTCTTTACTTGCCAGGAAGCCAAATGCTAACGGTGAGAAAGTACCACATTAGCTACACGCCCATTGGCTTGCGATCAAGGACACCCACCCGTGACGCTGATTGGAGGCTCAGTTAGCCAATAGATTGAAATAGGTCAGGGATAGCTTCTGTTCTCACCGATAGTTCATGCTGACGTAGATTGCAGGCACGTCCAATTCAATTGCCTTGTCCACGATCACCGATCCGGGGTATCTGGTCCGGCTATACTCAGCTATGCGCAGGCAACGAAGACAAGATGGTCTTACGTGCTAGGGCTGCCAAGTTCGAAGCCACCTGAAGTCCATCAGAACACCGGATGTGAGACCTGACGCAAAGCCTAGAACGTACCTCCAAATATCCACTGAGGAAACAGCAACGTAAATGATAATTTTATGCCACACCGCGGATACTTGACGTACCGCAATGACAGGAAGGTTCGAGTCCGGTGTCGCATCGGCTGGTGCCACGACATTGATGGTCAGGCCTTTCAGAGTGGCCAGTAAGTACCCAATTTATAACGTGGGTCCAACAGCGACCCTAGAAGGCGGACTTACAGTCTTCAGAGCTCGGCGTAACGACCCCATACAGCCAGTTCGTAAGGTTGTCAATTGCCGTTACAGCGTCTGCTGGCAATACAGACGGGAGAGGGATCGAAATGGCCTGTTGCGGGCATGCGGGACCGTACGCCGTTGCTGAGAAGCTCGCATTGTAACTTGTGAGGGACTGCGGGAGCTGGAAGCGCAGAGAGCCGACGCTGTACTCCACATCAATATAATTAGCAAGCCAAAACAGACTGCGCAGGTAACGCGAGGTGGGGCGTACGGAGGTTGGGCGAACGGGATTCCGAGCCACGAGTTTGTGGTTAGGCCCGCAACGCCTGTGACAGTCGCGTCGTCGAGCTGGACCGTCGGGCTTGCCCGTTTCACGACGGGGGTAGGCGTTGCAGCAGCCAGAGAGGCCTCGAGCACGAGCATCAAGGCGCCGAGCGCAAGGAGGAACATTGTGCGTTCGAGCATGAGCACTGGCAGAAGGCGCTCAAGAGAGAGGGCTAGAGTGCCAACGAGAAACTGGCTGCTTTGATCCAGAGTGCACGTACGCGCGCGACTTAAAAGCGCTCCAGGCAACAAGACCCGTGCGCTATGTCATACCTTCCATGCCATACAGTATGTCCTATTTTGATGCGGCAAGGAACCAGTCAAATTTCCTGAGTCACACTGTCGTGCTTCTTGAGCTTCAATACGGACCTTCTTTCCGGAGACGAGGCAGTTTTTAGCAACTTGAGCGGCCATTGGCTCCAAAGGTGCCTAAAGCATAGACCCGCAGCCGGGGATCCACATGGGTGACACAGAACACGAGATGTGAGACAAGTATAAGTCCGTAGCCTGAGCAGGCTTGGACTGGTCGTTGCCATTAGCTTATTGGGACCCGTCAGCTCCGATTCGACAGAAAATGATGTGGTCCGCGCACCGCGAGTGCGGCAGCGAGTCTGATGACCACGAAGAACTGCGGGCCAGGAGGAATCGTATGATCAAAGGGACAGGAGGAGGAGCAAGTACACAATTGACTGATTGGATATGACACGACATCTCCGAAACTACCGAGACCGAGGCCGCTTTGTCTAAAAGTGGACGACGTAAGTTTCGCGTGCGCGTTACATCACATCAACAACAGGGAAGCAGATATAACTGTGCTCACCAATGCAGATTGCTGCTGCGTCATGTGTCTCGTATTCAGGATGGATTCAGAGGAACTGCAGTATGAATGCAGTACAGAGAGCCTCTCACTAGTTCAATCCGAGGTAGTGGGGTAATCTGGGGTATGTAATTATGGCCCCGCTGCGGTCACCATATGGACCTCAGAAGCCAAGGGAAGTTATAATGGGCACCCATAGAAACCGGGTATTAGGCAGACGAAGAAGCCGCCTCTGTGATTGCTTCAATGACGCCAAGGATGTGTCGCTAGAGTGCGAGCATCGCAAGCGCGAGTGAGACTAGGTCTTGAAGGGTTTACCCTGGCGAAACCTCGTCAGAAAGCGAACAGGTAAAGGGAGGCTCAAAAAAGTAAAACACACACTTTAGATCATAGGTTTGGTTAAGGAAACGCGCGGCCCGTACTTTGCCTTGGGTTGGGAGGTGTCCTTGATTAAGCTTCGCCTCCACCTTAACAACAGGGCACTGCGGAAAGTCCTATGGAAGTGCCCAAGCCAGAACGAAGCACGAACAAAAAACCTCGGGCTCAGGCTGCAGAATAGCACAAAGACTGGCATGGAATGAAGTAGCGAGCGCTGGACAAGCGCTGGCGCCAGGCCGGCGGAGTAACCTGACGACGGAGAATGCCGATTTTCATGCATGACCTTGCTCCTTGTCCCCCTTGTACATACCCAACCATCAGCAATCCTATTGATCATATCGACTTTGGACTTAGGGGGACCAGAACTCGAAACTGCGTAACGTCAACCACTCTACAGCCTTCCTGTGCCGCAGCATGAGCTCAAGAGCATATACTTAAGGCCTGAGCGCATTCCCCTTATCGACCATCTCACGCTTGTCTCTTCCTGTACAGGATGTCCGCAAGCACTCTTCCCCCCGAGATCGTCCTCAGCATCCTCGAGAAGACCTACTATCAGCCTGATGGACGACCCGACCAACCCCTACTCACATCTGCCGCTCTCGTGTGCACCGCGTGGTCCGCGCCCGCACAGGCCCTCCTCTTCCGCACCGTCACCTCGCTCAAGGCCACCAACGTAACCGCGTTCTACGCCGCAGTCGGACAGGACACAAAGCGCGCACGGCAGCTGGGCGTCTACGTGCGGAGCCTCGAGATCTCCGTCGGCAACAATGCCAACCTCAGCTGCAGCGTCGCGTTCCTCGTCAACGTCCTCATGCGCTGTCCCCGTTTATACGAGCTCGCACTGCACACGTACGGTATCCACGAGCTACCGGAGGATATTATACAGAATCTGCAGGGTGCGAGACTGGACGGGCTGCGGGCGCTCAGCCTGAGCAACTTTGGAGTGCAGAGTCCGATCGTGTTCCAGCTACTCGCGATATGGCCGCACGTCCAGTTCTTCAAGCTCGGCTCGGAGGTCGCGGCTGTCCCGCCGGGCATGCGCCGGGGCATATGGAGGCAGCCCGCATCTGCCGCACAGAATGCGAATGAGCCTCCTTCCGCCACAGACGAGATTCAAGGATCCCCAACCCGGCTCTACGACCTCGTCCTCTCCCGCTCCCCATCCGCGACCGCACTCGGCTGGCTGTTGGCTTCCAGCAGCGGCACGCTGCGTATCCTTGACGTGCGCGACGGCCTTGGCCCACTCACGCGCGCGGTCATCCTCCCGCACGCGCCGCATCTCCGCTCTTTACGCTTCCTCCGCTTCTCACTCGACTCGATAGCCCTGCTGAGGGAATGCACCCACCTCGAGGAGTTCGTGCTATACCACATACCGACCGTCGTGCCTGTCGCGCCGCACGTGCCGCGCACCGTGCAGCACTTCAAGTTCCGCAACCCGATCTTCAATCACAGCACGAAGCTGCAACCCGTGCTCGATGTCGTGCGCGCGCTGCCGAACCTAAGTATCGTCACGTGCGATTCGCTATGCGAGGAGCTAGAGGACTTTGGGAGGATGCGGGAGGCGTGCGAGGAGAGAGGGATCGAGATGGAGCGGGACGATAAGCCGATCTGGGTGGTGAGTGGTGTTGTCTTATTTTCTTTCTGCATTGCATTTGCTTTTCTCGCCGCGTATCGCGCAGGTTTCGCGATATGAGACAGCTCATGAATGTTTTGTTATCGCAGCACGAGGATCCAGTGATACCGCGCCGGCTTCCGAGGCGAAAGAGCGTATCGAATTTTGCACTCATGGTGTGAGACGTATCTCGAATGTTTCAATGTCCTCCAAAGGTAAATAACTCTCTTCTTTGTACGATGATGATGGCGTATCGATAATCTTGACGCGCAGGCACAGCGATCGGCGTCGCAGCAATGCTATGATGCAGTTGCGTCAGCGTCGATCCGGCTGCTGGTCTCGACACGCGCACACCCTGCAGGCACTCAATGGCGTACATGTCGAGTCGATTCCGCGTCTTGCCTCAGAAGTGTCGATAACAGGTTTAAGATAGCGTGAGAGGGCTGATAAGGTTACTTGTCAGATAACGCAAGATAGAGTGAGAGCGCGAAATGAAAGATGGCGAAGACGTTGCTTGTTGTACGGTTTTATTCCCGACATATCTGCGGCGCTGATGTTCGCGAGCCCTCAAAGCATCTACGACATTCCCCAAACTAGAACAGAATCATATCTCCAGGACAGTGCAGTGAAAAGCGCGCCTTTGTCGCAATCCCGTGTACACTGCTCGTGTGTGCGCTTTAGGTTTGCGCGCTCATCGCGCGCACCACCCAAGCACCACCTGACACACTTAGCTTCTCAGCTTTTCTTGTCTTTCTCTTGGTCTTCCGCGAGTACCCGTTCTGCCGACGCTGCCGGCCACCCGACATCCAGGGGTCCAGGGCGCACCCGCCGCTTTGAGTCTGAACCTATGGGTGCGGTACTTAGAGCACCGTACCTCTCCATTCCCCGGTGTGAACGGTGCGCCGCAGCTGCCACCACCCCGCACCCACCCCTGCCGATGTGCGCTGCGCTGCTCGATATAGAGCCGGTCGATCTCGTCCGAAGGCGAGCGTCAGTCGAGAAAGGATTAGTACGGTGGGCTGAAGCGATCCAGAGCTATTCTCGGATGGCAGTGGCATGTGGCGCCTGCCTCAATTGTGCGCCGCACCAAGAGGAAAGGGCAGGTGGTGGGGGGATCTGCCAGCGTGCCGAGTTTGGGTTTGGCCGGTCCCTATCGTAGATGGTCGTATACAGCAATTCGCAAGCCGAGGACAGCCTGAGAGATAATAGTCGAGATAGTCAGATAGTGGGAGTGTGAGAGAAGGTACCAGAAGTCTTCTGAGTTATGTGTCGACGTGTGGGTGGACACTGGACGCGGTAACGTAATCCTAACAAACTCTTGAACGGGATGCGTGAATATGTGATGTGACTCAGAGGTGTGGTGGAGTATTAAAGCGCGCTTGTTAGTTTTGCGCTTGCTAGGGTAGGGCCCATCCCGCCCTTCGTTCCGTCCTTGTTCCTTCCTCTTCTTCACCTTCAGTCTTAGCTCCGGGCTGCATCATCACTCAAGCTCCTTTGCCCTTTCCTGAGCTGTGTTCATACGCACACGCACTTGTAGCTCACAACTGACGTCGACGCGCTATACATCGCTACGCACAACATATACGGGGCGCGCACTCCACAGACCATCGCGGTCATCCCCAGCTTAGACGCGAATCACAAAGTGCACCGGCGACCAGCTGACCTGCCGAACGCTCCGAACGTCGTCATACTCGCAACTTCTGTCCCAAAACGTCGATCGGTTTGACGTGATCCGAAGCCCCGAAGGTGCGCTTGTTTTATTCGTTTCAAGGGAGAACGTGCCTGACCCCACACTTGCGACATCCACCATGCGCTTGTGCGAGGGGAGGTACGGGCGCTCGGCATGATGAACGTGTACTTATAGCACGTTTGTTCTGTTTGTTGTAGAGCGATAGTTGACGACCCACCTTTACCCAACACCTCTACTTGAGCCTGCACTCGCACTTCCTTGGTTTTTCGTGCTTTCCTGTCAACTTCCTATCGTAGCCCACACCGCGATGTGTCAAAGAGTAGCGTGAGCGCAGCTCCTTTCTGTACACCACCACGAAATGGCTGATCTGAGGCACTGGCATACGCAGGAGAGGATATCGCTGGACCAAATGCGGGGTAAGCATCATGCCGCTCCAATACGTTTATAAAGCGTAACTCACTTGCTTATTCGTGCACCAGCACTTCCAGCGACAAGAAGTCATCGCGATCGTCGAGTGTCAGGACGCCCGGTGCGCGCGCAGCGTCTGGCACCCCAAAGACTGCCGCTGGCCAGAGTGCCAGCACAACCCCGTGAGTTCCGCGCGCACCCTCTTCTCTTCTTCTTCACTGCACCAAACCCCACTCCTTTCTCGTCCACACATGCCGATGTTCCGTTCTTCTTTTGGGTTGGATTCATTATCCGTATGCCGTAACGCTGACGTCCTTGTGGGGCCATCCGATATTCAATGTTGACGCGGACGCTTGGCGCGCACCGTTATCGAACAGGACTGGGGCGACCAGATCGAGTACGACACCGAGCGGATACGTGACTACTGCTGGGCGTGCAAGAGCAAGTTCGAGCGCGAGGCGCGGGAGCGGGCGCGTCAGGTCGAGAGCGCGGTGAAAAGTTGATTCTTTCAGAAGTCGACAGCGCACCTTGGCAACGCGCGACGAGGGCTTAGGTGGTCATGAGGCAGGCGTCTGGCGTGGCCGCGTTGCCGTCTGTGTCGTCGTCGCGTCTCTCCGTGGCATGGCGTGGCGCGAGCGCTTGAGCTTGAGCTTGAGCTTGAGGTCCCATGACCTGCCTTCTGGCGTCCCGTGCCCCCCTTCCCCACACCACCTTAGATCCGCCCTCAGTCTTCTTACGTCCCGCCTGACAGGTGGGGCCGCCCCGACATACGTAGATGACTCGGCTCCGCGATCTACACCCATTCACCATGATTGCATCTCGCCTTGTTAGACACTCATGCATCTCACTCAGTGACGCTACCTTCGACGACTTTGTGTATCTATAGCTGTGTTATACCTCGCTATCAGTATCTTGTACAATAGACAGTATATAATAAACTCACCCTATACCTGTATACGTGAGTAGCTTTGAAAGATTGGCATGACTCAGGATAACACGGACAGGTAAACATGCGCTCTGTTGCCTTTGGGACATGCATGGCTTCGCGATGGTCGACAATCTACATTCTCAGAGGTTATTGATGTGTGAGCAGTACTGTATAGGTCATCGAGCTGTGGTCCAATTAGAACAGAGAGTGAGCTAAGAGCGAGCATTGCTGACGAAGAACAACTCCGGGAGATAGTGGTCGCGCGTTGTTTCGCGCAAGGCTCGCACGCTTGCTTAGGGGCGGTCGGAAAAGGGAGAGAGGCTTCGGCGCTTTCCGAACCCGTCATCTGTTGGTCATCCTAGGCTCTGCCGTTTGCTGTGGATCAAGTCTCATGACTTTCTGCAGGTAAGCGCTTCAGTACAGAGGTACCCAATGTTTGGGAATACATGCCTATGGCTATGTCGTGCTAGTGATTTGAACGCTATCGTGCATTTGACGCTACTACTCTGTATGCAGTTCAACAGCTTTTGTATCAATATCATCAGCAAGCTAGTGTTGAGCCTGAAGGTGAGCTTCTCGGAAGTTTGGGACGGGAGAGGTTTCCTCATGATCAGTCATAAAAGCCACACCAATTACTTATTGGTGCCCGAACAGCGTCCTTTTACCACCCATCGGGCTCCGTCGGACAGAACCACCAAGCCAAACAAGCGGCCGCAGCCTTCCTTTGACACGTAACCTCTCCTCCGCGACCGCTGCCATGGTGGATATGGACCGACTCACATTGAATGCCAAAACTCATAAGTACGCCATACCAAAGCGCAGTCTCTTCATCACTCCTCTCAATGCTTGCCTCTTGTGCTTCTTTCGCTCTCTTACTTCAAGCAACTTGATCGGCGGCAACATACGTCGACATCGCCAAGCGGGACTCGCCCGCTTTTCAGCTCGATAAAGCTACAGTCTCCCGTGTCGCAAATGCAACAGTCAACGGGTTCATGGGTAATCGTTATACGTAATGATGTAGATACTGGGATACTCCTGAAGGAATGGTAAATAACATAGGTGTTACGACTATGCAGCAACAATAAGCTAACGTTAGACACCAAATTGCATAGACACGGTGGCGACCAAGGCTGGATCACCATATGCTTGATCCATCACTGTTTCGCGCAACCCGAGAACGAGATGGTTGACGGCCATGGGAACGAGGGTAAAAAGACTACCACCAGCAATTCCAACAATCCCCGGGTGGGTGAAGAACAAGAATAACGCCAATAGCGTTGTCATGAAAGTTCTAGAAATCTGATTCAGCCTAATTGATTTTCTGAAAGATGAAGTTCACTAGAGCTGACCCCAAGTAAAAGAGAAAGGCTCCTCTTGCGAGGGTCTTCAGCAAACTCGCGCCGCTCCAACTGGAGTCCATGATCTCCAAATGGTATTTAATGGTCTTCCATCCGATAATTATCACCAAAACAAGGTCCGTAGTCATAATTGGTACACTGCAGTGTCTTCAGTAACAGGATTAGGCTATGTTTGTGATAACGCACCAAGAAAGGAACGAGAGAGTCGTTATTTCTTTTATTTGGCACAGGCCGTATTCTGGTTCAAGAACTAATTGAAGAATATGGTAGAGTATTTTTTATAAATTGGAGAAACGCTTAGGCTTACCTTGGCCTATGAAAAGTTGTGCTATATCACCTCCCATGTACATTCCGCTGGATACGATGAACAAGGTAGTGACGGGAATAACGACAAATTTGTCTATATGACCGTAGGTTAGTGCTCGCTTCGAAGCCAGACTTTTGAGACATTATGTATTTACCAAACGAGAAAACCGCAAAAAGATGGCACAGAAGGATTACTAGCGAGGTGTTATCGCAGCTCTTTGTTTTGAAGTACAACAGTGTACAAACTTTCTCCAGCAAGCCAAGCAATTATGTCTGTCAAACGTGAATGGATCAGTGAACGCAGTCCAGATATGGCGGAAGTTAAAAAGCCGACCTGACGTTATACTAGTTATTTGATAGATATAACCTGACATTTATGTGTGAAAAGTAATTCATCTCTGCGTCTCCGTGAGCAGCAACTAGTTCAACCTACACCTAAGGCGAATTTAGAGAAGTAACCAGCTTCAGTCCCTTCCGTGAACAGATCACGAAAACGCAATCTACGAACCAGTGTTGAGTTGCTGGATATTTCAGATTCACTGGAATTGCAATGTATATTATCGTGACACAGAACTGACCACTGTGCAAACACATGACCTACTAAAGAGCCATAGCGCTCCAGCGTAGAGGGAGAAATATCGATTCTGAATTTGATCAGCTCCTCATGCTAGATTGCTGTCGTAATTGGTGACGACTTACAAAAAGGAACAAAAGCTTTGGCACCTTGAACCCGGTTTTCTTAATTGGTTAAGTGTTTGATAGTGTTAGATATCTCGTAATTCTGGTATTCCATGGGAGAAGAGTACAAAAGTGACCACTTGCCCACGTTTCTACCTTGGGTCATTCATAAGATAGACGCTGGAAACAAGGTTGCAGCAAATACGGTACCTCACGTGGAAAGGTCAACGCTTCAGCAAACCCAGGCTGTCGTCAATAGCCACGATTATTGAGATAATTTGAACTCACGTACCGAAGTCCCACGCATATAAGGTAACCAAAGCAACTGTAAAGTATTTCCGCAAGCCAACAAAAGCTGGCAGGAAATTTGAATGATAAATCATACTAGATGCGTATTGAATGGTCTTGAAGTCGTGTAAAGCATCAATCGCGGCGGAAGATCCTGCCACCGATGGCTGAGCGGCTGTCTTTGTGAACAAAAACATGGAATGGAAAGAAAAAAGGGAAGGTAATATGAAGCAACCAGCGATACCCTAAGCCCTTTATAGTGAACTAGGGAAGCAGTGTTATATCCCGTGGAATGTACTGTGGTACTAACCGCTTTGAATTATCACAGTCACTCGCTTTGAGACCACCTGCTGCGGTATTGATCTTTCTAGCTAAAGGTATCATTATATCATTATGATGTTCACAGGAGAGTGTGGATGGTCGAGTTGCCAACTTGAACAACGCGGCGTTTGAATGAGCAGCCGCCCCGCCTTGATCGTTTCTGCTGATCTTTAATTAGATTCCTCTAAAAGTCTTAGTCATGTCACGTTCATTTACCTTTCTTACAGACCCACAACATGCGAGAGAGAAAGACTACCCGATATTTCTCGTGATCATCCATCTCATCCTAATCAATTCAAAGAAACCACCAGAGGATCCATACAATACGGATATGCATGGAGGTCTTTTTCAATCTCTTTTGGCTCTGTAGAAGGCGGTTACACATATAGATCTAGGAATGACATCGAGCCTGGACAAGATTGTTGCAAGATTTCAAATCTGGTCGCAATTGGTGTAGTCTTTTGAACTCTCAACTGCTATTAGCTGCCGCGTTAAATAAACCAGTATCCGGGCTCCAGTTTTCCGTACCCCAGATGTGGAGTAAGCTAGTAACCATTGTACGAGTGGGATAGAAAGATCTGGACGACAGTGTTTTCTGATTGAACGTCATCACGGGGCGATGCCAAGATCTCAGCTGTTAATTATATCTACGAAAGCGGATAAAGAAACCACGTCAGCACCTCTACTACTTTTACGAGGGCATGGGCAGGAATGCGCCCATGTTATTTTGGATCTCTTTAAAGTTCTATCAGCGAAGAGTACAGGAACGTACAAGCACATCAGATTAATAGCAGCAGGGTGAAAGCAGAAACGGGTCAAAGGCGGTAGGTAGGTACACGCAACACAATCACACTGCTAAAGGGTGCCTTGGTGGAAAGAAATGACTATCCTACTAGGTAGGGAAAACGTCCATGATATGTCCCTGTGTGATATTACCCGTGTAATAGCCCTTGATTTCCGAGGCAAGGTGCGCGTTGACCGTATCATACCTTACCCAGTAGCAGGTCGATGGTTGACGAGGACAGCCTGTTCCTAAGTAAGCTACGACTTGCTAGTGTGCAATCGTTCCCGGTTTCCAGAGAGCTTTCCGTGTCTTCATCCCTGTGTATGGCGTGGTAGGAACGTGGCGGGCGGTAGATAGATTGTGGCGCTGTTGCTAGAGAATAGTGCACTGCTTGTGTGGGGTTTGGCTGCGGTTTGTAGATTGAGAACGTTTCATATTGTGGTTCGAAGAGTGCGATCTTTGTGTCATACTTAGACACGCTGAAGAGAGCGAAACTCTTCGTCGCGTCTTAGGGGCTAATTTGCTCATCCACCCGGGCCGCGAGGGCGCGGTGACGTACGATGACGCGAGACGGAAGCCGATCGGCCTCCCGCGCCCCGCATCTTCTAGGAGCTGACTGAACATTCGCAAGATCCAACGTTCTCCTTCTCTTGTCCCCACGCGAACTTACCCTGCCGGGGCTGCAGAGTAGCCACCGACATGGCTCCATCACACAAATACACCCCTCTGCCCACCTCCGACACCAACCCTCTAATCACCAGCCACGACGACGAGCCCCTCACCGTCGAGGACTCTCCTATCCACCTCGGCCCATCGTACGGACACAAGACCCAGCGCCGCTTCGCAGGCCGCAAGAACAGGCTCATCGCGCACTTCGCTATCCTCGCCGTCCTCATGGTCGCCCTCATCTTCGGCACGCGCGCGCTCGCGCGTTCCCGCACATCGCAGAAGGCGTTCTGGGACGCCTGCGCTGCGCACAGAAACAACTCGACGGCGACGGTGCCCTTGAAGCGGCTGCCGACGCACTTTACGCTTCCCTCGGGCGATAGGATCCCGAGTGTCGCTCTCGGTACGGCTTTGGTGAATATCTCGTTCTTGCGGTGCCCAGGGCTGATTTGGGTTGTGCGCTGCTGATGCACAGGGGTGTGGCAGGCTGGGAAAGGAGAGGTGGGCAATGCGGTCAAGACCGCGCTCGAGAATGGGTATAGGCATATCGACGGGGCATGGATCTACAGGGTGCGCACGGTGCTCCTTGTTTCTGTGTGCTAGACTCGATCATTGATGTGGATGGCTCTGCAGAATGAGGCTGAGGTCGGTGCCGCGGTTCGCAACAGCGGTGTCCCGCGCGACCAGCTCTGGTTGACCTCCAAGGTGCGAGTTGCTGCCCGCCGTCGAGCCATTCCCGCGTTCTTATCATCTTTTCACCTCACTCGTGATCCTGTTGCCCCTATTTCTATTCCATCTTCACAGTTGTGGAATACCTTCCACGCCCCTGAAGACATCGAGCCCGCCCTCGACGAGAGCCTCGCCTCCCTGCAGACGGACTACCTCGACCTCTACCTCATCCACTGGTGCGTCCCACGCGCAGTGTCGTCCGCGATCTCACGGCTAAATATACCTGCCTATCCTCCCCGCTGCTGACAATTCACGACGACGCGATTCGTCGACGTCAATCTCAATGACGTCAACGACATGACGACGTACGTATGTGCGCAGGCCCGTGGCATTCAAGAAAGAGGGGAACAACGTGCTCGATGAGGGCCTCACCGAGGACCCGTACCCGACGTGGCAGAAGCTCGAGGAGCTCGTGGATAAGGGCAAGATCAGGAACATCGGGATCAGCAAGTGCGTGTCTCTCTCCCGTCCCTGTCTCCAGCGGTATGCGGCAGAGATCTAACTGACGTGAACGCTTGAACAATGGTAGCTTCAACGTCCGCCGCATCCAGAACCTCACCGCGAACCCGCTCAAGCACCAGCCGGCGGTGAACCAGGTCGAGCTGAACTACTTCAATCCGCAGCCGGAGCTGCTCGCGGTACGTTCCCCGTTCCCGCTATGATAACTCTTTTTGCAGGCTGAAGGATAGCTCACCGTGATTCTCATATGGACAGTGGTCGAAGAAGAACGGGCTCCTGCTCGAGGCGTACTCGCCGCTGGGCAGCAGCAAGCAGGTCGGGGAGACGCTGAGGTTGCCCGAGGTGACTGATATTGCGTGCGAGCTCGGGATTACGCCTGCGCAGGTGGTGATTTCGTGGCATGTGCAGCGTGGGGTGCGTTTTCGCCGTCGTCTACTGGCTTGGTGAGATACTGATGCTGCTGGTGCGTTGTCGATTGTAGACGGTTGTGCTGCCCAAGAGCGTGACGCCTTCGAGGATCGTCGAGAACTACGATGGTGCGCCTTGATTGCTTTTTTTTTCCAGCTTTGGCTATTATGCGGTAGTAGCTAACGGCCAGCTTTTGCAGTGTACGAGATCCCGCAAGCGCAGTTCGACAAGCTCGAGAAGGCCGCGACGGCGCACCCGCCGCAGCGCGTTGTGAACCCGAGCAGGGGGTGGAAGCTCCCCTGGGACGTGTTTGATGGGGAGTAGAGGGTTCGTCTGCGATATCAGAGCGTGGTGTGCATGCGCAAACGGACTAAGTGCTTGACAATCTGACTGTTATTATTGATATCAGCTGCAGGTTGTTGGTTAAGATTGCTTTACGAGTGTTGTTTGTATTCGCGTCGCATTGTGCAGAATAGATTTGTGTTATATGTTACTTGCCCAATTGCGCTTTGACATGAGCGTACTCGGCCTCGAGGCAGCCGCACCCTCCGACGACCTCGGCGAGCTCGGGCGGCCCGAACGCTGTTCCGTCTGCGTCATCCCGTCAGCCAAGGAGAGGCCGCTTATTTTTGAGAGCGGAAATGAAGGAAGGACGTCATCGGTCTAGTCGTCGGTTATTGCCAATGAGTCAGAGCGGACGACGACGAGAATGGCGATTTGATGTACGCTTTCGGACAGTTGTCGTCAGCATGAAGGTACAGCGTTGAATGAAAAGTGGGGATCGGGGTATGACGTCGACGTCGGTGGCCCCTGTTTTGGTGGCATGTCTCGGCCCGTCCGACGCATCGACGAGCGGTGTACCGAGTTTGCGTCCGCGTCACTTGCACGTCTCCGGCGGCTGTGTGGCTTGGCGCGAGTGAGTCATGCTGTCTGCCATGCACAGTGGAATGAACTGGAATGAAGATTTATGGGAAGCGGTTAGGCGTGTGCGGCCGGAGCTGGCTTGGCTGTCGGTGTTCCGTCGGGTTCCGAGGGTGCTGCATGATGCCAGGCGGTGTGTGCAATACAATACAGGAGAGCAGCAATAGATGAGTTTCACTGGCCAAGATGTAGGGGCCAAGGTTTTGACACGCGGTGAATCAGGGTGGTGAGTCACTTCGTCTTGGCTAAAAGGTATGGTCTGCTGTTCGTGAGCGAGGATTGTGCCGTGGTGGTGAAGTACATAATGGTATGTGGTGGAAGAACGAGCACATAGGTAATTTCGCTGACATGAAAGGTCCGTGCGTTTAGGGTTTTGGAAGTGGGTGCGCAAGGGGGAGCGAGGTGTTGCAGGACCCCCGAATATCCCGGTATAGGCCTGGTCCAAAGTCCGGATAGCACCTTCCTATTTGGGACACGAGGCCTGGTCCAAAGTCCGGATAGACCTTCCTAATGGGGAAAAATGCCTGGTCCAAAGTCCGGACTCGCCAGCGAGGTCTGAGCAAACAGTAGATAGGGGCTAGTCCTGGGTCCGGATTCGGATCGGACATAGGATATCATGCCTGGTCCCATGTCCGGACTGTGACCAGCCTCGATGCCCTGGTGCGTAGTCCGCAATCATAAAGGCCTGTAACCCCGTCCGGACTTCAGCCACTGTTCTTGTAGAGGAAGTATTTTCAAGTCATATCTTTATAATTAGTGGCATATGGAGCTTTTCCTAGTTACTGAATAACCATACTTGCGGTGGACTTCGAAGTGAGGCGCTCTTCTTCACGTATAACCAAGTATGCATTATTGGCGGGGGGAAGATTCGAACCGGCGGTGACGCAAAACAAAATAGCCGTTGTAACCGCTAAGCTACGGTTGTACATTTCGCGCGTTCCCAGCTTAGCTATATTATTAGATACACCACAACGGGGACGAAAGCAGACCCCCACCACATTACAGACGCTTGCTCTGGCTTAAGCTGATATTTGTTGACAAGTAGGGCGACTCCTTCTCGCTGCCTCACCTCTGGCAACACTCAATTTCTTTTTAGTCCCATCATAATAACACAAGGTTTCATAGGGACTCTATCATTGCTAGTGCTTGCAGACTGCCCCGACTGTTAAGACTTATTACAGACAATTGGTGTATGTGTATGGCCAACATTAACGACGCGCTGACGATGCCTGTTTCCATGTCCGGATTGTAATAACCCCTATCCCAAGAGGCCTGTCGCTCTGTCCGGATTGGCGACCCTGAATAGGGGTAAATGTCCGGATCGGCCAGCGAGATTTGGGACCAGGCCTATACCGGGATATTCGGGGGTCCTGGTGTTGCAGGATGACCACCTATGGTACCCACCATCTGCCATCGTATTAGATACTGTTTCCGTGACAGGTCTACATGCCTAATACGTTTGTGATTCGGGGGTTTCTCCGCCTCCTGCTAATTCGCTGCTAGCGCGAGGGACTTAGAGCCTGCGAGAATGAGTCCCCTCCCACTAAATGACGTGCCGAGCGTGCCGCCATCATTAATCAGCTGTCAAACACCAAATGGGCCGTTCCAGCCACCGGCAGCTCGGCACTCCATCAGCTGTCTCCCAGAAAGGCTCCATAGCCCCTAGCTGTCAGGCACAAGCCTCAGCTGTCACTCCGGTGATGTCCGTCGCTGTCCCCGACGTCGTCAAGGCCCTTCGAGCTCATCGTCCTCGACGACGAGCTCGCATATCTCTGTCAATACTATAGCTATAACTCCGGAGTTTTTTCCATCGTGTGCAAAGACGTTAAAGGGGTGCATTCGATTGATATCAACAAGTGT